CCTCATTCGGCATTTCGACATCCTCTATATTCAGCAGGGCGTATCGCGTCTTTCCGTAGCTGAACGGCTGGAACTTCTCCCGGTATTACTCCAAGGTATCGCCAAGGACTATGAAAAATCCGAACAGCATGCCTCTCAAATATTTCATCTTATCTTGCGCCTTTTGGTCCTCTTCAAGTTACCTCTCCGAGGTAGTAAAGAAGACGACGAGCTGAGAGCGACCTTGGGACTCTCCGATGACGACGCTCAATTCCTCTCCAAGTGGTTTGGAAAACTACTTTTGTTGACTATCGTTCGAACAAGCAACCCGCAAGATACCGCATCTTTAAAATGTCCCGGTCTTTCTTCTGAAGAATATAAGTTTCTTACACTTCAAGGAAAGCCAGATGCTTGGGATCCTAGTGCAGATGCCGGTCTGAATCTGCCTGAATCAAAAGCCCTAGTCGCGCGACTCATGGCAAGTGGGCTGTTCAATGATGACGAAAAGTTCTTGCCGGCACTGTTTGCATCCGCTGATACCAATTCCCGGATATCTGAGGTTGGCGAAGATACTTTGAAGCGCGTCATGCTATCCAAAGATATGGAGCAATCGGAACTTGTAGAGAGTTTGTTCGAACTCTACTTCGGCTCTAGTTCAGCTGGCGGGTCGCTTCCTGTAAAGACACCGCTGTGCATCAAGATCTTAACTGTGCTCTCTAAGTCTGTGAAATGCACAACATATCCACGACAAATAGCAAGGCTTGTTGAAGAAGGCCTTCTCTCGCCCGAGCTGAATGCGACCAACAAAACCGCGGGAAGAGAGGCTTCGAAATTCCGCTCAGCTATATTTTCTCTTGTCAACTTTGTTGCCCGACGTGGAGCAGTGTCGGATTTATCTCAAGTTGCCGAGAGTCTGGTTGGAAATCTGAGGGCATTCATTCAAGACCAAGGCTGGCCAACCCCAGACCGCGACCAGGATATGGAGCTTCGGGGATACGGCTATGAAACTATTGGACTCTTGGCTAAAGCTGCCCCAGAAAAAATACTATTGGAGCCATCGCTTGATCTTTTGGAATTTCTGTTCCGATCATTACGTGAAGATTCAGCTGGCAAAGATGTGGCGGTTAGTATAGAAGAGGCTCTTTCCTCTGTGCTTGGAGCGTTCTCTAAACCGTTTGATGCTGCAATTATGCCCAGATTCAGACAAATACTGCTCCGATATGCCACTGTAGATCAGGAGAATACGCCAGCCTCGGACAGATTCACGAGAAGTACTCGCTATGTTGCCACACGTTTCGCGAATCGCTGCCTTCCCTACGCAGACGTCCTTGCGCGATGGATAGATATCCTTGCTGTTAGTGGGGGTCCAAATGATCGACATGAGTTGATAGAGGAAGGAAGGCGAGGCCTTGACCCCTATTGGTTCAGAATGTCCAACACTCCGCCCGGTGAGCGCGAGCATAACAAATTGGTTTTTCCAGACTTTGACAAACTGGTCAACTTTATCATTGCACAACAAGGACATGATGTCGACGCGATGGAAATCGACCCGTCAGAAGACGCTCTTGTTCAGGTTAGATACTTCCAGCAAGAATTTCCAAGTGCTCTCCCGACCGTCATCAGCTTCTGCTCTAGCGTCGCTATGCAATCTGCTTTGGTCGAAAAGGGTATAGATCAGGATATCCCAGAAGATTGGGAGAGAAAGCTTGATACGCAGATGACCACAGATATGCGTGCTCGGCAAGCATTTCGCGCATACGCGGCAAACGACACCCATGCCCGCTCTCTGGCAGTGTTATTGCGCGCTAGCTTCGATAGGCTCACACGAGACGATGTTAGCGACATTGGAGATATAGGCACCACGTTTGTGCGAATACTTTCCTTACTCCCACAGCAACATTGGGTGCAAGCAAAGGTTGTCCAGGATTTCCGGGAACTGCGACGATCGATCATCTCAAATAATCCCGTTCGGCGTCTTGCTGCTGCGCACTCATACGGCCTGTTAGCGTCACATGAGAGTACTGATCAGACCGCACTACAAAGCGAGCAAATCGCCTTCTTTGAAAAGCTGAACACTTGGAAAACAGCAATTGGTGCTGACATCAATCAAATCAGTGGCATTATCCTGGCATTTGGTTACTACTACAGCAGAAGATTTTGGAGGGAGAACGCCACATCCCCAGTGATCACGGACGATCATCCTATTCACCAGCTGGTTCGCTCCCTAGTTGCTATCATACAAGAGTCTCGAGATGCGACACTGAAGAATGCAGCCTTTAGTTGCATCGACCAGCTTAGTCTTTTTTATGTGATCACCCCGTCACTGCTTTCCAAATACGCCAAGGTTGAAGATATCGCACAACAGATTTATGACTCTGCTAAGACAGGCACAACCACTGCGATACTGGCATTGGGCCATTTGTCTATGATCACTGAGGAAGCCCAGCCCGGCTCTGATGATGCACCCGACTACAAAGCTATACAAGATAAGCTGTACGAGCTTCATGAGGTGCGTCAACCAGAAGTTCACTTCTCGGTAGGCGAGGCCTTGAGCTGTCTTGCAAGCGGTTGGGAATCGAAGGCTTTGACTGCCGAGCTAGATGTCTTGGGTCCCAACCAGCCCGTAGAGCCGTGGGACGCACATCTCAAAACGCCGTCTGGACCCAAGCGGGAAAAGACACTTGGATTGGTACTGGAAAAGACTTTGAAGGGCTGTGTGCAGACGAAACCATCCCTCAAGAAAGCGTCGGTAATATGGTTGCTGTGTCTACTCCAGTATTGCGGACACAAACCTGAAATGCAAGGTTATCTTGGGCAATGCCAGGTCGCATTCAAAAACTGTCTCTCTGACCGCGACGAGGTTGTGCAAGAGGCGGCCTCACGAGGACTTGGGTTGGTCTATGAAAAGGGAGACCGGCAGCTGAAGGACGACCTTGTCCGCGACTTGGTCGGTTCATTTTCAGACAACAAGTCGAAGATGGCGGGTACCGTCACAGACGACACGCAGCTCTTCGAGCCTGGCGCGTTACCCACTGGCGATGGCTCAATCACGACCTACAAAGATATCTTGAACTTGGCAGCCGAAGTCGGTGACTCGAGTTTAGTTTACCGCTTCATGTCTATGGCTTCAAACAATTCTATCTGGTCTAGTCGAGCTGCGTTTGGACGATTTGGACTAAGCAACATTTTCTCAGACTCCAGCGTCGATGGCTACCTTGCACAAAATCCTAAACTATACCCGAAGCTCTATCGATACAGGTATGAATTGAGGAGACAACTATGACGGATCACTACTGACCAACATCTAGGTTCGACCCCAATACCAATGTGCAGCGTTCAATGAACGATATCTGGAATGCCCTTGTCAAAGACTCTTCAGCAACTATAGATAAGCATTTTGATGCGATCATGGATGATCTTCTTGTCAGCATTCTCACAAAAGAGTGGCGAGTTCGCCAGGCTTCTTGTGCGGCCATTGCAGATCTGGTTCAAGGACGCAGTATTGACAAGGTGAGCATTCATATCTATTGTGATACCTGAGCTAAAATTGTTTTGCAGTACGAGAAGTACCTCGATACCATATGGGAAAAGACTTTCAAGGTCCTAGATGATATCAAAGAGACGGTCCGTGTGGCTGCAGCGTCCCTTGCTCGTGTCCTGACTGGTATTTTAACCCGCTCTTTGGAAGCTGGAGATTCATCATTGAATTCTGCGACGGTTCAGCTTGAACGCGTCATACCTTTTCTCTTTTCAAACTCCGGCCTAGAGTCGTCGGCCGAGGAAGTTCGCCTCTTCTCCGTACATACTCTCCTTCAGATTGTGAAGAAGAGCAACGCAAAGACACTCAATCCACATGTACCTGAACTAGTCGAGCGCCTACTCGGCTTACTGAGCAGTCTAGAACCAGAAGCAGTCAATTACGTCCATCTTAACGCCAGCAAATACAACCTTACAGAGCAAAAGATCGACGACATGCGCCTCGCCAGCGTACGCCAGTCGCCATTGACGGAGTCTGTAGAGCGCTGTCTCGATCTCGCAGATGCAGACACTATGGCAGCACTGGTCCCACGTATCGAAGCCGCAATGAAGAACGCAGTCGGCCTACCGTCAAAAGTAGGATGCTCGCGAGTACTCGTCACGCTCGCCACACGCCATCGCTTCCTCTTCAACCCCTACGCCGACGGATTCCTCAAGCTGATCCAAAAGCAAATCCACGACCGTAACGAAACAGTCAGCTCCTCGTACGCAGCAGCGGCAGGCTACCTCGCACGCCTAGCATCCGACAAGCAAATCCTCTCCACCTTCGCCTTCGTCAACAAACTCTACTTCGAGTCCGAAGAAAACAGCGACAGAAACCGTTTACTAGCTGCAGATATAATGCGTGCAATTAGCTCCTACGCAACCGACCGCTTCAACTCTTTCGCTGCAGAGTTCCTGCCCTTCACCTTCCTCGCGAAACACGACTCGGAAGAGCAGATCCGCAAGAGCTTCGGCGAAACATGGGATGATCATGTCGCTGGACCCCGCGCTGTAGCTTTGTATCTAAAGGAAATCCTTGCGCTTTCAGATACGCATCTCGAAAGCAGACAGTGGGCTATCAAGCACACAGCTGCCAAAACTGTCGCGGATTGCGTGCTCCAAATCACGAATGCGGTCGGCAGCGAAAATATTGATGCTGCGACTGCGAAGACGATCTGGCCTGTGTTGGATAAGGCGCTTAGCGGGAAGAGTTGGGATGGCAAAGAAGTCGTGCTTGAGGCCTTTGTGCGATTCGTAGAGCGTTCCGAGGCGTACTGGATGGATGCGGGGAACAAGGATGTTGCGAAGCAGCTCGAGAAGATAGCGACAAGGGAGAGTAAGAGACAGGAAGGGAAGAACGAGAAGGTTGTTGCTGGGGTTTTGGAGAAGCTGAGAGGACATTTGGGGGTTTAGTACCATGTTACTCATTTACTATTGTAAACACGCTTTTCTCTGTTTTTAGAGATACATACAACTTTGGAATTTGGGAGGAGTATGCTCGTTCAAGCCCCGTTATCCTGCTCCAACGCCTTCTCCAACGCCCGATCCGCACTCACTTCCTTCTCTGCCCCTTCAATTACACCTCTCAACCCCTTTGCACACGCCTCCAATTGCGCTTGCTCCGATGCATCCAGCTGAATCGGCATCGCCCGTACAATCCCCTTTCTACCTATCACTGCCGGCATACTTAGACAGCAGCCTAATTCCGGCTGGTAGAAGGAAAGTGGGCGCACGGAACGTGAGTCGAATAAAATATACTTGCATATGCTAGCGGCGATGTTGCCGATGCCGAATGCGGTGCAGCCTTTGGCGGCGATGATGGCACCCGCTGCACCGCGTGTGTGGGCTGAAATGCTGGCTTTGAAGTCCTCAGTTAGGGTTGAAGGGGGGAGGGCGAGGGAGAGTGGTGTTGTGCCGATTGTGGCGGAGGACCAGGCGATCTATTTGATGTTAGTATCATTTCGTGTCCCAGCATCCTTTTCGCTACCAAATAAATATTACTCAGTCTTGTAAAAGTGTGAGAGACTTTATAGTGATGATCGAGTAGACTGTTGCTTTTGCCAGTCGTGAAGGTAAGAAAGAAGAAGAAAAATAGAGAAACTTACAAATTGACTATCCCCATGCTCCCCCAAAACATACGCATCAATACTATTCGGCGCGACCTCCGCCTTCTCCGCCAATACCCCCCTCAACCTCGCAGAATCCAGGCTCGTCCCCGTCCCCAACACCTGGCTCTCGGGCAACCCACTCATCTTCCTCGCAAAATACGTCAGTATATCCACGGGATTCGCCACAAGCAGCAGAATCGTATGCGGATTCATCGGCGCCATGGCACCGAATATGCTTTCTAAGATGTGCAGGTTGCGGCTGAGGAGTGAGAGGCGCGATTCACCAGGCTTCTGCTTGGCGCCAGCGGTAATGACGACAATGTCTGCTTGCCCGGCTTCGGCGTGCGTGGCGGCGCGCACGCGGACACCGCTGCCGCCGCGGTAGGTGGCGTCGGAGAGGTCGCGGACTTGGGCTTCGAGGAGGGAGTGCTTGAGGTCTACGAGGAGGACTTCGGAGCAGATGGGTTGGAGGATGAGGGTGTAGGCGAGGGTGGAGCCTACGTCGCCGCAGCCGAGGATGGCGATTGTAGTTTTGAGTTTGGGTTGGGGCATAGTTTTATTTTATTTTTTTCTTTGGATTCAGAATTGTTGTTGTTGTTGTTGTTGTTGTTGTTGATGCTGGTGGTGATGCTCTTTATTGTTTTGATAGAGTAGGATTTGCCAAGGACCCTGTAGTGGTTGTGGGAAAAAGCAAATAGATGTTGTTTTTCTAGGTCCAGGTATGGCGGGTAAAAGGGATATAAGTAAGAAGGGCGAGTGAAAGCATTTGAATGTTACATACACTACACTTTCCGTAGGTAGGCTCGGATGGTCGTCCGTTGTCCTACGTTGCCAAGAGCTAGGCATGCGAAATGTGGCGTGATGCCGCCCTGCAGATGGTAGGCTCAGCCACTTAACATGCGCTTCATCCCACTATATCAGTTGAACAACCGTATTGCATGACAAACACATGGGTCAACTAAAAATTCGTGCAAGCATTTGATGTTCCGCAGATCTACCGTGGCAGTACATTAATAGTGTTTCTATCATTGTTCCACGGACCGCTAAATACACTTCATCTCTCGCTATGACGTCTCTTGACAGGAACACTCGAACCTCACATAAGTTTCCCTTTCGCTGCACTGGCTCTATTTAGAGACTGATGTTCATCACATGATCTAGCCCTAGTCAGGAAATGAGGACCTTGGTATCCTAGGTAGCCTTGATCTGACGGATGAGAGGAGTGGTATTTAAAGCTAATTCAGGTGAATTACAATAGTGTAGTTTTTCAAGAAGACAGCGAAGATACAGGGATGAACTCGGGTCCGCATATAATCCAATAAAACGAGTTCTAGGAAATCCCATGGAAGCTGGGAAAATAAAATAAAAGAAATCTCTTACTCGTGTCCTTCCAAACAAATCACCTGATACTTTCCTGCGCCCACATATCCACAAGTTGGTAGCGATGGCTGCCTTATCAGCTTCCTCATTCCAATCCTACACGCTTGCACTTCTAGAAAGCAAGTTTAATGCCTTCAAACCAGGGGTGTTCCAACGCCTGACGAGCGGTAAGTCGCCGTGAGGGGTCCAGATTATTCAGTCCTCGGACTAAGTCCTTGAACGTTGAATCAACACCCGTCCACTCTGAAAACGGCAAATACGGGTGGTAATCTGCCACTCAGTCTTCCCAATCTATCTTAAAAGCCACGCGCTTGATCTCCTCATCGCCAATATGCTTCACGAGACCATCCAATCCTTCTTGGTTCCCAAAATATGAGACCTGACGCTGCAGGCGGATGGAGAGAGGTGATGCACCTTTTGATTTGTGTAACTCGAAATCGTCATCGCAGCCTAGTATAACCCACCCCAGGACAGCGTAGATGCACTTCGTACGTTAGCAGTGAAACTATCTTACTCATGTTAGCACTCACCACCAACCCGAATAAAAACAGGTCAGTTGGCTTGTTGAGAGTTCCCTTAAAGTTGGCTTCAGGGCTGCGCCAGTTTTCGTTCATGGCCCACATTCCTCTAACGCACATAGGCTGCGGGAGATAACCTGCATTCTCAAGATCAGAGACCTGCACCTTTTCGACCAAGATATCCTGGTCAATCCTATGGTAGCTGACCAAGATGTCATCGGGCTCGACATCTAAACAGAATTAGCCATTCATGTTGACATTAGGGAGCGCTGAACTGTTAGGCTTACCTAAATGGACAATGTCGCGGTCATGCAAATCCGCAATACCTTGCAAGATGGCTTTTAGGATTTCTTTTCGAGCTCGCACAGATACTTGACCCCGAACCAGCCTTAGGAGGTCTTCATCCAGGTATTCGCATACGAGTATGGGTCGATCTGGTATGGTATCTACTGGCAGTTGTACGCGATGAATGTCAGGAAGCCTTGGTCGGATATCCTTATTGAAGCCCAAAAAGATGTTTTCAGGTATGTCCTTGAGGATGAAGTTCTAATTTCTGGACCTTTAAAAGCATTACTTATCAGAGGAAGTACGATATGGGAGGTGGTTCGAACGATGCTAGCCAAACGCGACCAACATGTGGTCTTTCCTGGATCAGCTTTTTGAATATGTAAGAGCGCCCAGTTGAGCCAACTAAGTTGAACGACCTTAATGCTGCCATTTCGATGTATGCCCTGTGTATGTTTTGCTCGCCACAATTAAAGGAGGGAATGACTGTTGAGGTCTTGGCATCACGTGTGAGTGTAGTAAACTAGAGAGTCTCTTTCTTTCACTGTCAAGCGCTTCCGGACTAGCGTGTGGCGCGGGTGTATCATTCTGGCGCCCACTGTATACCAGCACTCCTCAACTAGGCATGGCTCATTTTCTAATGTGTGCTTTTGAAAAAGAAGCTACGTTTACCAAAGCGACCGCACATGACTTCCATGCAACGTCACTGCAGGCAACAGAGAGCTTCATTCAAGATAACAAAAGTTTTTTGTCCCATTGTCCTAGTCACATAACCCAACAGGATTAGCTAGGACTGCGGCGATGTCCCATCTTGCGGCTCTTTGTCTTATACCTCCACAGCGCCATAGACACTCAGATCATCTCACGTGAACAGAAGGACGCCTTTTCAATACAATTAACGCGTATCCCTTTGTAACGGAACAACCGCCGTGACGGACAACATTGCAGGTACTTTGACTTTGCGGCAGTATCATAACCTACAGACACAGTGAAAATATACTGGCCTATCCAAGTATATACTAGGATTGATTCTGCGTCGATTTATGCGAACCAATATAAAAATTACAATGGTGCAGATACCTTCCCTCTAGATCTACGAAGACACCTGTTTCATCTTGATAGTGAGCTTCACGGTTCGCAAGGCCACTACCATCATCTTTATTTGTCGTAATATATATGTCGCTTCTATATACGTCTAGGAATGCAATAGAATCCTCCAGGCCTGCTCGCCAGCTGTTGGGCTGTTCTGTGAACTGATTCATGCACGATAGCCATACGGTCTGGTACTTTTGTATTAGATGCACCAATTAGCAGTACTGACGTAATCTCAATCGCTGAGCTGACTAAACATAGGTAAGCTCAAAATAACAAGTCACCTGACGCCTGAAGCTTACTAGATAAGCATCACAGTGATAATGACAACCCATAAGTTCAAGTACGACGGTCAGCAGATATCAAAGTAAGCAAAGCGGCGGTACATCTGTAAAACAGCTTCACACTTATATCCTCTCTATATGTAGTACACTGACATGCAGGAATGGCTTTCGGTTCTGACATTACTGACACATCTGAACTGACAAGGGTCCCTGTTCGCTCAAAGGTTACGAGCCGTCTTAGTACCAGAAGCCGATTACGCATGCCAGTGTACAGTTGCTTGCCGAAAGGCGCAGAGATGCGGGAGATGCGCCAAAGAAGGCCACCACCACAAGAGCTGCAGCGAAGTAGTGATGAAGTGCGTGCTGTGCGGAGGACCGCACGAATCGTTCAGCAGAAACTGTCGGATGCTATACCCACCTCAACATGAATAGAGCATTCCGCATAATCCAGCTCAATGTTAGAAAGCAAGGCGAAGTACACGATAGTTTGATGAACGACGAAGAGTTACAAGACGTGGCGGTGGTAGCTATCCAGGAGCCGCATGCACGGAGGATCCAAGGTCGGCTGCTGACGACGCCCATGTTCCACCACAAGTGGACCAAGATGGTGCCATCGACGTGGCGAGAAGGAAGGTGGCCGATACGGAGCATGCTGTGGGTGAACAGAGAGGTAGAAGCGGAACAGGTACGGGTAGAGTCGCCGGACTTGACAGCAGCGATCATCCGGCTACACGAGCGTCGGGTGTTGGTGGTGTCGGTGTACATACCAGGAGGAGACCCGCAGGCGTTGCGAGACGCATGCAAAAAGATAGACAGAGTGATTGCGGAGGCGAGACGAAGGGCCGGCACGGTAGTAGATGTGGTGCTGGCTGGAGACTTCAATCAGCACGACCAGCTGTGGGGAGGAGAAGATGTGACGCTGGTCAGACAGGGCGAAGCAGACCCGATTATCGATCTGATGACAGAACACGCGCTTAGCAGCCTGCTCCCGCGCGGCACTAAGACATGGCAGTGCGGAGAGTACGAGACGACAATTGACTTAGTGCTAGTGTCAAAAGAGCTAGCAGACACGGTACTGAAATGCGCCGCCCACGACACCGAGCACGGCTCCGACCACCGAATGATCGACACAGTCTTTGATAGCTCCGTGCCAGTGGTGCAGCAGCAAGAGCGGCTTCTGCTCAAGAACGCACCGTGGAAAGCAATTAACGACAGGATCGCCAGAGCGCTCAGCGTGACCCCACCAGCGGGCACGACTCAGCAGAGGACCGACAGACTGATGGCGGTGGTGCTGGAGGCGGTGCACGCACTGACACCTAGGGCTAAGCCGTCACCATATGCAAAGAGGTGGTGGACGCAGGACCTGACACAGTTACGCCGCATCTACACGCACTGGAGGAACCGAGCGAGAGCGGCGAGACGAACAGGGGTTGCTCAGCCGGACCTAGAAGAGATGGCAAAAGGAGCGTCGAAGCAGTACCATGATGCCATTCGACAGCAGAAGAGAAAGCACTGGGATGACTTCCTAGCGGACAACGACAACATCTGGAACGCGGCCAAGTATCTGAAGGCGGGTAATGAGGCGTTTGGGACAGTCCCAGCACTTCGCAGAACGGACGGGACAACTACGAGCGACGTTGAAGAACAAGCGGACGAGTTGATTAGCACCTTTTTCCCTCCGCTGCCCAGCAGTATCGACGACGAGGGAGCCAGGCTGCAGAGAGCACCCGTAGCAATGCCGACCATCACGCTCGAGGAGGTGGAAAGACAGCTGCACGCCGCCAAGTCATGGAAAGCACCTGGAGACGACGGACTGCCAGTGATTGTGTGGAAGCAGATCTGGCCGGTAGTGAAAGACCATGTGCTTGCGTTATTCCGACAGTCGCTAGAGGAGGGAGTGCTGCCTAGCCAATGGAGACACGCCAAGATCATACCGCTTAAGAAGCCAGGCAAGGAAGACTACACTGTCGCAAAGGCATGGAGGCCGATCTCACTATTGGCTACTCTAGGCAAAGTACTAGAGTCGGTGGTGGCAGAGAGGATCTCGCACATGGTAGAGACACACGGGCTTCTGCCCACTAACCACTTTGGAGCGCGCAAGCAGCGATCAGCCGAGCAAGCACTAGTGTTGCTCCAAGAACAGATTTATACCGCGTGGCGGGGTCGGCGGACTGTTAGTCTAATTAGCTTCGATGTCAAAGGAGCGTACAACGGGGTGTGTAAGAAGAGACTACTGCAGAGAATGAAAGCACGAGGGATACCACAGAAGCTGCTGAAGTGGATAGAAGCATTCTGCTCAGAGCGCACAGCGTCAATCCAGGTCAACGGACAGGCTTCTAAGGTCCAAGAATTGCCACAAGCAGGGCTACCGCAAGGGTCTCCGCTATCGCCAATTCTGTTTCTCTTCTTCAACGCCGATCTCGTACAACGACCTATCGACACGTATGGAGGCGCGATCGCGTTCGTTGATGACTTTACTGCGTGGGTTACCGGCCCGACGGCGCAAAGCAACAGGGAGGGCATTAACGCCATTATCCAAGACGCACTGGACTGGGAACGGAGAAGCGGAGCGACGTTTGAAGCAGAAAAGACGGCTGTCATTCACTTTACTCGCAGGGCGTACAAGAGTGCCACCGAGCCCTTCATTATCAAGGGGCAGAGCGTCTCGCCCAAGGACCACGTCAAGATACTTGGCGTGCTCATGGACGCCAGGCTCAAGTACCACAAGCACATTGCAAGAGCAGCCGCGAAGGGACTGGAAGCAGCATTGGAACTCAGGAGGCTGCGAGGACTCTCACCCAGAGTAGCGCGACAGCTGTTCACGGCAACAGTCGCGCCGACAGTAGACTACGCGTCGAACGTATGGATGCATGCTTGCAAAGATAAGCTAGTGAGACCTGTCAACAGGGTGCAAAGAATAGGTGCACGGGCGATCGTAGGGACGTTCAGCACGGTAGCGACATGGGTGGCAGAAGCTGAGGCGCACATCCCAAGTGCACAAGAGCGGTTCTGGAAGCGGGCAGTCAAGCTGTGGACCGACATCCACGCGCTGCCTGAGACGAACCCACTGCGAAGAAACACATCGCGGATGCGGAAGTTCAGAAGGCAGTACCGTTCGCCGCTGTTCCAGGTAGCAGAAGCGCTCAAGGACATAGAGATGGAGCAGATGGAGACGATCCGGCCAGGTGTGTTGGCACCATGGGAGAAGAGAGTGCAGACCGTAGTGGAGAACGCGGCACAGAGCCTCGAGGCGAACTGGACGGTACGCATCGCGGTAAGCAGCTCGGCGCGGAATGGCGTGGTCGGAATGGGAGGCGCGATCAGCATACAGAAGAACGAAAGACAATCTTTCTCCGCTACACTGGGCAAGAGAGAGGAACAGAACCCGTACTCGGCAGAGCTAGCAGCAACGGCCGAGGCGCTGAGCAGGCTGCCGAAGCTAAGGTTTTGCAACATTGCACTGATAACAAGGAACAAAGCCGCTGTGCTCACACTCAGAAGACCGCGGCAGCAATCCGGGCAAAGCTACATCAGCCAGTTCTACAAGACTGTACAAACACTAAGAAGAGACGGAAACACGGTAACAGTGCTATGGCTACCTGCGAGCGAAGAGAATGAGCTTGCGAGCCTCGCCAAGCGAGAGGCGAAGGCGGCAACTAGACCAAACACTAGGCCACAGACACAACTCCCTAGAATGCGATCAACTACGCACAATATAGCACGTAAGCAAGGCATAGCTAAGAGGGTGCCAGTAGACGTGGGAGCATATTCTAAACGAATCGACACAGCACTACCAGGAAAGCACACACGACGATTGTACGACGGGCTTTCGCGGAAAGAGAGTAGCGTGCTTGCACAGCTCAGAACAGGCATGGCACAGCTTAATACGTATCGATACCGAATTAAAGCATCAGCGACAGACCAATGCGAATGCGGCCAGGCAGCAGAGACGGTGGAGCACTTTCTATTCCGCTGCCGAAAGTGGACGACACAGCGGACAGAAATGCTGCAGTGCACGCAGATAAGCAGAGGAAATATATCATTCTATCTAGGCGGCAAGGCAGCGACAGATGACGCGAAATGGGCGCCAGACATGGACGCGGTGCGAGCGACGATACGATTCGCAATAGCAACACGAAGACTCGATGCAAACTAATATCTAACTAACTACTAGGTAAATCATAGATACTAACATGAACTTATCAGCAGCCTCGTGTAGCCAACAGCAGACAGCGCTTCAGCCGCCGAAGATAGGACGTTGAACACTCGGAGAATCTCATGAAGATGCCGACTCTGAGCTAGTCTGCCACCAACAATACTAACCCACGAGCATCCGATGAGGAAGGATAATAAATAGAGAAGAAGCGTGCCATAATACCATATAAGGGCTCTAAATTGGACAACAGGCTACATGAAGAAGCGAGCCAAAGAAGATAGATGGGCTAAGGAGACCAAGACGTAGTATAAGAAGTGTAAAGTTAGACTAGCGTTAGTAGCCCTTTCGGCTCGGCCGCCGGGCGTAAATAAATTGTGTGTGTGTACAGTTGCTTGCACTATCAGCTTCCAGTTTGTGCCCGATGCGAAACTTCTATCCCCAGTAACGTTTGTCTATGCTTTACCTTAGTACGCACTCGTCGCGAAAGCAGCCTAAAGCCGGGTGACGTCAAAACTCGCATTACCCCACCAAAGCAGATCAATTGCGGGGGTTTCAGAAGCGTAGGGTTCTTACACTCTTGCTCTTCAAACTTTGAATTTTGCAAAAACTCTTTGTGAATTAGCGAAGTAGATCATAACTACCAATTGGTACCTCATTGCATCACTCATTATGGGCAAATTCTCACGCCAACGCGCCAGGAAGGAAGCCAGGACGAAGCTTGGCAAAGCACGACCCCTCGAGACTTTCTTCTCTTCCTATACCGATTTTGCATTTAATTCAGAAGCTCCCTCTGCATTGGAGTTTCAGCGTCTTCGCAGAGAGCAAAGGTGGAAACGTGGTGATGCAGTTGGAGAAGCAGCGTGGCAGGACTTCCGCTCAGCGCTGGTCTTAGAGTTCAATGCCAGATTTGGAACGGAGTCAAAGGATTTGCTCGCTTGGCAGACACTTTGTGCAATAGTTGGCATAGAAAAAGTGAATGAGATAGCCGATTGTGAGGCATGTGAGAAGGCAAGTGCATGGACGCACCCAAGCTTCAAACAACTGTGGTAGGCAGATTTGACTAATTCTTACCGCAGCTTTTGAAAAGCCGGCTTTTCAATCTCGTTGATGTAGTCGACGCACACCGTCGCGGTAAAGGCGAGGTTGTACAAACCTTTGCCAGCGTGGAAGCTCTTGAAGAACACACGAAGAAAGCAGCGGCATTCTTCCCACGATATCATGTGGCAGCCGGAAGTCTGTTAAAGCGTGTCTTGCGAAAACCTTTCTAGCATAGAAAGCTTCTATACAATAAAGGGGTAAACATTACGTACAACCTAGGGCAGAGGCACAAACAGAGGGAAGAGGAAGCTTTGGCACAATTGAATTTTGGAATGGAACCTGCACTTAGGCAAGTAGAGACACCTTGGATCCCATTTTTCTGACTCCTATAGCAGGTGGTAAGGGAGGAAGCGAGGGACGAACGAGCTTTATGGAACGAGAAGGTTTTGTAAGCGTTAAGATTTGGGCGTTATGACGTACTTACGTAGTGACTGCGCCATGCTAATCCGTCCTTTTCACAACTGTGGCTAGTCGGAGCGGCAGTGCGATGGACGTGATGTATAACGACTTTAGATAACTAGCATCTACGATTTCAAACTGCAATGACGCTTACTACTAGACTCGATACGGCAAAAGTTTTGACAAGGGCTTAGGGGCCGCGGCGGGCTAAATTGGTAGTGTGTAAAGCCCGAAAACCGATTGTGCAAGTAAGTGTAACTATGCAGAATACTATTTATGTGTTCCTCCTATCACCACATCCAGGCCTTGGGCGCACTCTATAATTCTAGCATTAGATCGACTAGTATTTAAGTTTCTAGCGTATTCTATTCTATATTATTTAAGCTATATGCTTCTAATACTATAGTTTTATACTTTTAGCTACGTCTCTGTATATCTACTTAGCCTTAATCTACCTCTATAGCTGTCACGATACTCTGAACTGGAGGATAACCCTCGGGCCAGGGCAGTCACAGTCACGTGCATAAAGTATATAGTCTCATCCTTGTATTGGTTGGGCTCTTTAAGCCGAACGTACAACTACTTACGCCAACCATTTTGCCAAAAAGGCAGTAACAAGACTTCGAGCTTGTCTTGAAGTCAAGGTAGTTGCGTAGATATACTCGATTTGCTTGGCCTAGCCAAGCCATACACACGGGCATAGCCCCTTACAGTCCGAACCTAAGGTCACTCCTTAAGGATTCGTCTTAATTCACTTCAATTGATATATTTTGTGCCTATCCGCGAAACAACTCACAATAGCTACCTTTATGTAACTATACTTTCTTTCCCCTTAGGCTTCTTTAGCCCCTTATTAAGAGCATAGCTTAAGTATGTAACGATATTACAACAACACCAAGGACCAAACCCGTATTATAGTCGGACCCGACTCGAATCCGACTAGGACAAGTATATATAGAGACACTCCTTGTGGCTAGCTCGGTAGTTTTCGATATCCTTTCGTACAAGACCTATAGGTGTCTGCTCGAATTAAGGCCTTTTGATATCCCACGCGCTAACCAAAAAGATATTGAAAGGGTGTAAAGTGTGCAGCGCCACAAGTCCTACTAATAGGGGAGTACGAATACCTTCGCCTTCAACTGCACCTTTCGGTTTACGCGGTTGTTGAATTAAGAGATAGAGCGCAGCAAGGTAGACGCAATAAACTAGAACTTGTAGAATTGGATGATAATCTACTGTGTACGGAAGTTCCCATCTTATACTCTTGAGCCTGGGTCGTAGCTCCTGCCCAAGAGTTACTAGTAACCCTTGGCACCGGCAAGATATATACTTTCAAAATGACAGATTATGAAGTGACGACCACACACATGATAGGGCACTTGAATATGAAAGCTATGAGGACCAGGTGCGTACTTAGTCAGGGCACTCCCAGGGCACAAGGAACTACTCAGGACCCCTAATTACTTAGTGAGTTGCATAATCCACACGGTCCGATTATGAGCTTCACGATCTCACCACGACGTATCTCCTTTGATAAAAGCCATTACTTGGACCGAATGTAATTTGCAGCTCAAGCTAGCTAGACCCCTTGTGGTGAATATATTCTCTTAGTCCAAGCAGATCCTGTCGTCTTCGAGAAGACCCGTAAGATACTTAAAGAAACATATATCTATCAAATCGTTCATGGCTGATCCCCAGAAGATTATAGAAGGGGAAATGATCGGCTCAATGATAGCTCCTATCATTTCAGAATGGAAGGTTGGCATGTACGTGTATTGGTTCTTGATCGTTCTCTTCTCTCCCCGTACCTTACATCATATCCGTACCTGAGCATCCTTTGAGTCCATCGCTCCCATCTCTCCTGGTTTCTCTACCAAAATACATGCCACTCTCTAAACGTAGGGTGATGGCGACTATCGAATGCACGGCTCAAGTGTGTCGATAAGATTTCGGAAGGTGGCTTTGTTCGTGCACGTGACTTTCACCAAGACCATTTGCTCTTCTCGTCAAGCGACTAAGTCCTGGCTAGTTTCCTGGCCTGTTTTCTACCACACAAAGAACAGAAGGGTGTTGTTGCATACTCTGATTTTTAGTGCAAGTAGAGAGAAACTTACCAAAGGCAATGCGCGCTACAATATGACGTAGCTCGAGCGCAACGCTGGCCATGCAATAGCGCAACAAAGGCCAACGTGAATTATAGCAGGCCTGGTCTCTTTTCAGGAAGCGTTATCTCTTTCGCGCAAAGGCTAGTAAATTCTGCATCAATGTATAGTTTGCTAATTATAAAGGCGATTTTGCGACGGGTCGGCATTGGCAAAATGTTGGCTGGTTTTGCATCGAGCATCGTACGATGACACAATTTTTCAGGCGGCCAGAGGACCAAGGAAAACCATATATCGGATGGAAAATATATACATCTTGCTGCATGATCAATATCGAAGGGACAAGGGACAAGGAAGATTCAGAGGAGCAAATATCCAGAGTCGAGGAAGCGAGGCTAAAAGAGGGTAAAATTGTTTCGAAACGGGCTGCACGGCCGTGCCAGCTGGGGGATCCGCGCTGCATGCAGAGAGAACGGCTGGCCCCAGTGCTGGTTAATTATGGGATTTGGGATTCGACAAAGTGTGGGCAGAGGGATATATTTAGGTGGGATTAGCCCATCAACTAGAAGTAGCGTACACGACCATGGCATAGCTGGGCCATCAGCGTGTTGGTGCTACCCCACGATGCAGCCAGCAGCGGGGGGCCAAAAATAAGCCTGCAGTCAGTGAGCAAGAAACGAAACAAAACTACCGCAAGACAGCTAGTGCGCGGACGACATGCAGATGGAGAGGGCTTTGCGGGAAGGTGGCGAAGCGGTTCGGGGACTAAGCAGCAGAGGGTGCAGGAAACATGTTTGTAAGTCGAGCACATGTAAGGCCAGGTCTGGGAAGCCAGGATGCAGCAGCGCTCACATGACTTGGCAGCGGCATGGACGAGGCTTAGGTGTAGTAGAACCAGGGCGCAAAAGCGTGAGTGGAGCTGGGATGCTGATGGATTGCGTACGTATGCACCGGGGCAGTTTGAAGCTTTATGTCGGACAAGCTGTGGGCATACGAGGACTGGAGTCAGCGAGTCGAGTGTTGGTGAGGCAGCGAGCGGTGGTGGAGCGGTGCTGTCAGGGCTGATGGTGGTTGTGTGCGGACTGGATGGACTCGAGAGCATCAGCGGGAGTGAATTGGATTCAGCCGAGTGGGCCGCTAACGCAGTAGGACGGCGCTTGCAAACCTAAACCGGCTTAGCCCGCTTTTTTCTCATGCGTCGTCCAACCACTCAGCTGCTGCAACCGCCATGTTACATTTTGCCCATTTTGCGGGCGTCAAATGTCTACCAGTAATTGGGTATCAGCCATTTCCATGCCCTGCCTCGCTGCACCAGCATCCTGGGCACAGGGCGCTCCCGAGGACACGCCCCCGCCGCCCGTCGCCCCATGGCTGTTTCCTCGGTGTTTCCTCGACTTGGGCCATGCTCTCTTAACGTCTGAAGGCGCTCCAGACGCCAGAGGTACATTCATCCATCACCTCAACCTCTGACCCATCTTACGTCGGCAAAAAAAGAGGAACAGAGACATAGACAGAGACAGAGCGCAATCCAGAGCGACAGCGTTGCATATTGCCACGCTGACCGACAGGATAAGCACAAAGCATTGCAGTCACATCTGCCCATAAACCAAGCTTCTGGCCGCATCATCTGTACATCCTCTATCGACTTCTCCCGGGCGTCTATTTCGGGCCACCACTCGCCTCGTTCCTCTGCGCGCCATTGGCATCCACCTCGTCTCCCCAGCCGGCCTATCATACGCGGACTTGCAGTCGTGCCAGCTGCCTGCCTCTAGCCGCCATACATTTAGAACGTTGTAAGTACCCGCCCGCTTTGCCATCTTCTCTCTCCCCACCTGCCACTATCTGTGCTCCCCACCTATCCAATCCTCGCCCGTTGCCGCCTTCCAAGCGCCCCGACAACAAAAGCCCAGCGCTTCGCCCACTTGCCACACTTTTTCCTTTTCTCCAGCAGGTCTCTTATTGTAATTCGTCGTGTTTCTTCTATCAACCATCTCTTGTAGCCTTTCTCGCGACTGGTCTTAGCTGGGCTGGATTATAGTCGTCGACGTTGTGGCACTGTTCTCTTTCTACTTCCCTTGCCCCCACTTGATGCCATTCCCCATTGCCCTCGAGTAAAACTCGCATATCCTTAGTATGGCCGCCAACGACAAGAAGCTTACCCATATCACCATTGAAAGACGAAGCTCCAAAGACTCTCTCGACGTCAGGACACCACGTGCAGCCCGCTTCGCAGAGGCAACATCAGTTCACTCGCCTATTGATCCTCCTCGGTCACCAGTCGAGTACCCAACAAACCACTACAAGCCACAGCCCCAGATCGCCGACACAGGCTTCGGCTACATGCAATCAGTCGAGATGGAGGAAACCGACCGAAGGTACCTCCCTCCCCCAACGCCAAAGACGCCCCTCAAGAGCGCCTTGAAGTCGCCTGGCGCTCCTCCACGGACTCCAGCCGGCGCAATGTCCATCATGAGCCCTACCTTTAGGGAAGAGCAGCAGCTTGAGAAGCGCGAGGCCATGACTGAGAAGGAGCAAGCAAAGGATCTGGTACGTTTCTGGAATCGCCATCTATGCCACGTGCATTCACTGACACCAACTAGAAAATCAAAGTACGCGTGCGACTAGCAAAGATCTTCCTTCGAGGCGTCAACTTTGCCTGCTCTCTTATCGTTCTCTCCATGATTGCAACCGCATTTGCCATTTTCAACGCGACCAAAACCCTGGCTCCACGCAATGGTCTGCCTCCATGGGCTAACAACACCAAAACCTGGCCCCAGATTCTCCTGCTAACCATCGCCTGCATTTCCCTGGTCATGTCCATCTTTGTCATCATCGCCTATTGGAGAGGAGGTCACCATCGGGCCGAAAAGGTGGCTGCCTATTACACTGTCTTCGCCGTTGGATTCTTCATCTTCAGTATCATTATGTGGGGTATTGGTGCAGCCGTCTTCAATCAAAGTAAAGCGCAGAACAACAACAAAGACATGTGGGGTTGGTCCTGCGTTGACAACAAGCGACGACATCTCTTTGAGGATGACATTGCCTACGCACTTGTCTGCCGTCTTCAGGTATGCATCGTTCCATTTCTTCATTCTACAACCGACTAACAGTATGTCAGAACTGGGCTCTTGTCTGCTGCATCATCGAAATCGTCATCGAGGTCCTCGTCATTGCCATCTACGGAATTGTCTTCTACCGCTTCTGGTCCAAGCGCAAGCTCCGCAAGTCCATGGCCATGCGCGACCGCGCTCGTTCGGATCTCTACCTTGCTCAGCTGCGCTCCCAGTCCGCTCCCAACACCCCTGGTTTTGGCCCAATGTCTCCTCGCTCCGGCGGCTGGCGCCCACCACCAGGCCACCCAATGTACGTGGACCCGCACTCTGCGGCCGAGAATGGTGAAAGCGACAAAGTGCAATACGCATATGCACGTGAAATCGCCCAGCCCCAGCCCTTCACCCTCCAGGCGCCGCCTATCAAGGTCACTGGTGCGACTCCCAAGGTTGAGCAGGAAGGCTTCGAAGCGCCTGCTCGCACAAACACCGTTTCACCACCAATTCCATCTCCAGCATTCCAAGAAAGGAGAAACGACCACGTTGCTGCTGCGCCAGGCGAACAGCAGTACGCTGCTGTGCCCATTCCTGGTGCATACACGCCGCTAGCATCACCCTCATGCCCACCACCACAGCAACAGCAGCCACAAGCGCCTGCTGGCTTTGACTTTGGCCCAACCGTCACCGGCCAACGATAAGCAAGCTGTTTTTTTTTGGGCATTTTGTGATTTAGCGCGCATTCTTGTCATCCTCGTTTCTCTTCTATCTCATCCGGAAAAGCTGCAAAAACTGGCCCCATCTCTTACCCACATGGAAGTGGTGGTACATGGTTTCGGCAATTTTTATCCTGGAGTGTACATTTTTCTTATCCATGCGAAAGCCGGCTTTGGCCGTTTACCTAGCGTTTTCTTTTGTTTGGTCCCACTACTATCGCTAACCATGTCGATATCTGTATTTTTGTTTTGACGGCAAATTGGGGATTATTTTTCATCGCTTGATACCTTTTTTTCTTTTTTGGAACTCGAGCAAGATTGCGCGAACTCGATCTTGTTATCACCACACCGCTCTCTGAACGCAGGTATATCTTTTGTATCGTTTGTTTCTTGACGAGATGGACGATATAATATAGATATGAAAGGGGGAAACTAGGATAGTTTCGCCATGCGAAGAATGAAGTAATGCAGACTGGATCTCTCTCTTTCTCTCTTTTTTGTCACGTGCCTTGTTTGATGGGTCTGTGAATGATGTTATTGCTAGTGCTATGCGTACTACATCATCTTTCGATGAATAACGGAATAGGGATGATAGTAGTCATTCCCCATTTTTCTGTCAAGAACCTACAAGGAGATGCGTTGTTTCCATCCGCTACGTACATTCCTTCTTGCTCTCTCTTGCTCTCAATGTTTGCTCTTCACATGATCTGCATGTATGCCAGCGTCTCGCCGGACAGGATTTGTAAAATGTCACACACATGCCTTCCCCATTTGAATAAGCCGTTTCTAACTCCCTTTGATGTTTCGTATACGTGATGGGTCGCAGAAGCGGTCAATTTACGCGTTCGGGTTATACTGTTGAGTTGGGGGTGGAGGGAGGTAGGCGCGCGGGATGTGATTGATGAATGGTGCGTGATACATGTTTTTTGTTGGTTTGAAGATGCAAAGCTTTATCTCAGCCACATACATGCAGTGGCTCAGATGACCATGACATCATTGTTGTTGGCTTTTTAGGCAACAACAGCCCGAAACCTCTCAGTTTGTTACCTCACAATATCTCTCTAGACATCTTGCGACTGACGACGCCCCAAATGCGATCTGAATATGACGGAAACAAAGTTGTGTGAGCCGTGCCGCAGGCTGTTAGTTGGGGACCTCCCAGTGCACATTGACAAGGAATGTTTGGACGAGATTAAATTCGATCACCACATCAATTATGACTCCTATAAAGAGGCCATGCAGCTACCATGCTCGATCTGTACCTTGGCATGGTTGAATGCAAAAGACTCCCCTCTCGAATTCAACAGTCAAAAATTCACAGCAACATACATCTATTACTCTATGGGATGCAAACTAACACTGTTGTTTTCCGCTGCTCACCACGACAGTCAGCAAATTGACAGCGCCAGATTGTTTCTTGAGCGTATTTCAAGTTCGTCAATTTGAAAATAGTTGTAAGCAATGGCTGACGTTTCCATAGTGTATACCGAATTTTCGATTAGTCACACTCTGCCCTCGGATACTCGGGAAGCTCTCCCCTTTCTTGTCGAGCAATATCATGAATGCTGTGCCCATCATGCACAATGTAGTACCCCGGAGTCGGCAGAATTGGATCAATACCCATCGAGGCTCCTTGATATTGGCCACGAGGGTAGCAAAATCATACTTCGCAACACGAAGATGTTCAGTAACCAACAATATGTTTGTCTCTCACATTGCTGGGGCGAGTCGAAGCCATACGCATTGAATTCGACAACGCAACAGGATTTGGAAGGGGGGGTTGATGCAGAAAATCTGCCAAAGACATTTCAGGATGCTATTCATGTGACTCGTCGTCTTGGTATCCGTTACTTGTGGATTGACTCGCTGTAGGTGATAAACGGGGTTGAGTATATTATATCAACTTACATTAGCAGTTGTATTATTCAGGACAGCGAGCCTGACTGGGAAGCTGAATCGAGTCGTATGGGACAGGTCTATGCACGCGCAGCATGTACGATTGCAGCAACTGCTTCTAGTGGGAGTGATGGAGGTCTGTTTTTTGAGAGGCACCCACAGCAGTCATTGCCACGCCTTCTGGACATTCATTTTGACCCTGATGCGCCCTGGCTAAGGGACAAAGAAAAAGGGTTGCATCTGATGGATACTTATCTATGCGGCATACGAAACATGACCACAGCGTGCATCGAACAGGCGCCACTAAATTCACGAGCCTGGGTAAGCCAAGAGAGGCAGCTTTCTCGCCGAACCATGCACTTCAGCAAATGCCAACTCTTTTGGGAATGCCACGAAAATAAAACATGCGAGACATATCCAAAAGGAATTCCTAAAAGAGCACTACCGAATTGGTATGATGATGCCACCATGTTGAAGGAGTATCTTCATGAGTTCCAGCAACAGGGCGATGCTTATTCGGATGGCAACGAAATAACACAGCGCTTGAAATCAGGCTTGAACAACAGACTTTATTGGGCCTGGTGTTCCTTCCGAGTACGTTACTCCAGAAGCGCACTTACTCGGGATAGCGACAAATTGGTAGCACTTTGCGGGATAGCGAAACAGGTTGGAGATGCCACAGGAGACGAACTTGTCGCGGGGCTCTGGAAGAGTCTGATAATCGAAGAGCTATGTTGGTTCAAACGATTGTTTCACAATGAAAAACTTGCCATCGAGCCCACAGAATGGAGAGCTCCCACTTGGAGTTGGGCTGTTTCCAATGGTAAGATATGGATTAGTACATTGTCCAAGTTCCACCGCATGCACGAAAGTCGACACTTTGAAACAGAGCTTGTCGATCTCGACATCGGCACAAAGCCATCCGGAGAACTCACACACGCATCCATGAAGATCAAGTGTAAGCCAATGCTTGCTATGCTCGTACCAGACCCCAATCAATCGCTCCCTAAATACGAGCTCAGGGGTTGTCTGGTACTGATGGAAGATGATGTGCATCCATCAGACGCAAAACTTAGTGAAAAGATTGCAAAGATTCCATCTAAACTCAACATGGATGATCCAAACGTGTGTAAACCACAGCAAGTTTACATCATTGTGATTCAAAGATGTTTCCATGAATATCATATTGATGACGACGACAAGAACAGTACACAAAACACTAAGAGCAATATGTCGGGCGATTCTCAAGAAAGTGTCAGCAGCAGTGATAAAGAGAACGAAAAGGTTGAAAAATTTGAAAAGGATACAAGCATGCTGGAAGGTTTGCTCTTACAAGCAAAAGGCAAGGACCTGGCGACCTTTTCGAGGATTGGAATGTTTCATGTTAATTTCTATGAAGGAGACCCTGGGACGATATTCAATGCTCATCTCAAGGCTGAAGAACGGATTATAACGCTCATATAGTTCCTCAACTTCATATAACCCACTCCGTAGCGAAACCAAAGCCTCCTTCAGTTTCAATAAATACCCCGATTGCCCTTATATTCACATCATCTATCTTAGCCACTTCGCGCGCCAATCCAAACTCTACAAACCAAACTGACACTCTTCCTGGAAGTAACTGCACACCATCCTCCCAAACCCCCCAACTATAGATAGGATGAATAATCCGAACTCACGGTTATCGAGGAGCAGACTTCGGGACCAACCACAGCCTTCCCTTCAGAAGCTTACGATGAAATCTTTCAACTCAGCACGAACACACGATCAATCCCTCGATAGCACCGATATGCGCGTTCAAATCGTTTTCTTAGCGCTACACTCCTGCCCTTATACTTCCCCAGCTACTAAGAAAGTGAGATACAGTCCGTATGTGTATATGCAGCTCCGTTGAAATCTCATCATCATGTATCAAAATGAATATGTATTTACAGGGCGTATGCAGCCAGTCCGAGTTTTCGATGGATAATTGGAATTCATCGATCTTGATTGCGAGATATCACGAGACAATTACATGGTACAAGGAAACAAAAAGGGAAATTGTGGGTTTACGGATGGTACGAGGAGTGGTCAAGTCTAACTGGAGGTGTGATTTGACATGCATTCTCCAGGATATTGCGATATAGATAGGGGAAACACGATGATGCGGTTTTCCATTGTCACAGCCTTGTTATCTGATATCACACACCATCACGCCCCATTACCCCCTCAAAACTGCTTCTCCAAATCATCCTCAAGCGGCAGCGTCGTCTTCTGCAACTCCGCCGCAACCTTATCGACTTCCGCCCACACCCTCAGCAAATTGCGTCCTGCAATCTTGGCAGCATCCTCATCGCTAACCCCCTGCCTCAACAACTCCGCAATCAAATCAGGAAACTTGGATACATCTTCCAATCCCACCGGCGTCTCCTCAATACCATCGTAATCCGTGCCAAGGCCAACATGATCATACCCGATTAGCTCGCCGATATGCTTGATATGGCGTACAACGTGCGCCAAAGTATTATTCTCAGGTACGAATTCCGGAAAAGAGTTCGGCGTTTTCGAAGCCTTGCAGGATACGAAATCCGGGTTGAAATTCACCATGACGAGCGAGTTGCGCTGTTTAACTAGCTGCAAGATATCATCTGGCACGTTACGCGGGTGCGGACAGATAGCGTACGCGGAGCTATGGCTGAAGATAGGGGGAGCAATACTGCCGTTCCAGCCTGGAGCGCCGTTGCCAACGAGGACGTCGCGCATGGTGTCTTGACTAACATGCGCAAGATCGACGAGCATGCCGAGACGATTCATTTCTTTGACAAGGTCGCGGCCGGCGGGGCTGAGGCCATGCCAGTGGGGTTTCGCAATGAGAGGGGTCCAGTCTGAAGCTGTTTCGATGGCGGCGTCGGCGTACTTGTTGTGGCAGTTCCAGGTGAGGGTTGCGTAGCGGACGCCGAGTTGGTGGTAGAGGCGGAGGGTGGAGATTGAGTTGCCGATTTGGTGGAGGCCTTCAATAATGACGGGGGCGATGAAGGTGCCGGTGTTGAAGGCGCGGAGAGCGTCTGCGCTGGTTTTTGTTGGGGTGAAGTATTTGGGGTAGGATGAGCCTAGGCGGTTAAAGAGATCGAGTTGTTCGAGGGTGGATTTCACGACTGGGGTTATTTAGTATTGGAGGAAGAAGGAGGGTGGGGTTTTTGAATTACTGTTGGAATATCTTGAGTCTGAGAAGTTTGTACCGTCGCCCAGGGGACATGGCCAGAATGCACTCCAGAAGACGCCGCCCTGGAGTCCCTTCTCTAGGCGCGGAATGTCAACGTGCTGTTCGAGCCCGCCATTCTCGAACTTCTTGGCGAAATCGCTGCCAGAGTTGTTGTAGATGTGGTTCTGGTATTTGGACCGGATGAAAATCAACAGGTCATTATGGCCATCTTTACAGAGTCAGTCAATGATCAGATGATGATGGTTCATGGCGCTAACCGATGAGCGGATTTTGCTTGAGTATTCTCACAGCCCTTTCTTCGACAGTCAGATTCCCCCCACACGTATGTTTGTGAGGTGTCCAGATTCGAGCGGGTATCTGTGAGGACCACATGACAAATGCGATAAGCAGGAGTCCCGCGGATAAGATGATGCCATTTGAAGGGCGTGCACGCCGTTTCTGAGAGCTGTCATTTTGCATGGCTGCATGCTTCTCACTGGGGGTAAACTCAAACGGCTTCTCCATTTTGAATACGAGAAGTGTGTAAAGGAGGTCAGATCAAGTATGAAACTCAGGGCGTGGTATATGTAGATATGAGTCTTGGCAGTAATACGGATGTGGACGGACTTTGGAGAGTTCAATCCGAAACGACACGCGACGCGAATGTTTGCACACGCATTGTAGCAACGCCATTCTTCATTCTACATTCCACATCCCAATCCGTCCCAATTACTGCATCACATATTTCAAAATGCCGTTAATATCAGCAAACAACATGATACGCAGCATATCGCTGTTCCACCTCACCCTCGCAGTTACCCTGCTTAGGAATCCCGCCTTGATAGCGAAGCAGGGCATCGTGCTTGTCCTTGAGCAATCAATGCAACTCGTACGCGTCCCAATCATCAATTGAGGCTGCACTCGAATGGCCAAACAAGTCGCTGACAGTTTCCAGCCCACACCGCGCGAATTCACCAAGCCCTCTGCATCAATCGCCTTTCTGGCCGTCCTCTTTGCCTTTATCGGCATCAGCGATCTGACGTCTCTCTCGCTTCACGAACAAATTTCAGACGAGTACTGGGGCCTTCAGGCACCCGTGCGCCTATTCTTCCTCTTTGCCGTCACCGGCTACTCGTACGCGTTCAAGGAGGGCGGTCTACTTGGGGCAAAGGGTGCGGACTACAAAGCAAGCGTGGGTGCAGGGTTGAACAACAGCATCCTCTTTACCTGGGGTTTCTTGGAGATTGGAATATGGTTTTGGGTGTACACTGCATTGAGGGAGGAGAGGGTGGCCAAGGCAAAGATTGTTGCTGAGAAGCAGGCCAGGGAGAACAAGCAGCTTTAGGTGGCTGGCCGCGTTATGGAGTCGGAACAAGCTTCCGAAATGATTCGGGGGCAGACGCCGCATTCCCATATGTACAAGGGTTAGTGGAGCTCGATTGCAGTGAGTGCTAGGCCGGTGGGAGCACTTTGGTCTTATCTGTACCAAGTGCATGGCTTCCTCATAGATTATGAGACGACGAACACGGCCGGTCTTTTTTTTTCGATATGATTGCAACGCGTTTACTTACACAAACTAGACTAGATAGACGGCGTATGGGGTTTGAATTGAGTAATTTGGGAGAATGCTTGTTACTTGATGTGCCATGCACGAATACGATGGCGCATTCCGAGCGTTCGGGACCGGCCGCATCTCTAGGCCCAGGTTACGACTCCGCCGTTCGCCTTCGCGTCTCCCCCACTCTTGCAAACACTACAGTCAGCTACGCTACGTGCTAACAAATGGTTTCCTTTGCAGACCCTGCTGTTTCCTCTTCTCCTTCGAGTGACTACGGGTGAACGAGGCTTTCTGCTGCATACTGCCAAATACATCGAACATCATGGACGAGGCGGGGTGCATTAGTTACAATGATGCGATCGAGGAGCTTCGCACCAAAGAATATCCCATGTTGCAGGGTGGGTGCAGCATAATTTATTCTAGGATATACGCTCACATTAGACAGACACAACCTACCTTGACCATGCAGGGACTACGCTCTACTCCAAGTCTCTGATCGAGCACTTCTCCACCGACATGATGACCAACCTCTACGGCAACCCGCACTCGGCCTCCAACGCCTCACAACTGACCACACGCCGAATCGAGGATGTACGACTACGTCTCTTGCAATTGTTCAACGCCGATCCGCAAGAGTTTGACGTGGTCTTTGTCGCAAACGCCACTGCTGGGATAAAGCTGGTCATGGAAGCGTTTCGTGATCAAGATGGGGGATTTTGGTATGGCTACCATCGAGACGCGCATACGAGTTTGATAGGCGTACGCGAGGGTGCCACCAAGCACAGGTGCTTCGCTTCGGATGCGGAAGTGAATGCGTGGGTCGAGGGTGACGAGAATGAGTCTGGTTCTGCACAACTATTCGCATACCCAGCGCAGTCCAACATGAATGGGCGTCGTCTACCGTTGGATTGGTCACGCCGCATTCGCACCAACAAGCGCAACTCAGTGTATACCCTGCTAGACGCTGCAGCCTTAGTCTCTACATCGCCACTTGACCTTGGGAACCCTGACGAGGCCCCCGACTTTACGGTGCTGAGCTTGTACAAAATGTTTGGCTTTCCCGATCTTGGCGCACTTATCGTCAGGCAAGCATCAGCATCGATATTCGACAAACGACGCTACTTTGGCGGCGGCACTGTTGACATGGTCGTGTGCCTCAAAGAACAATGGCATGCAAAGAAGGCAGAGTCACTCCATGAAAGGCTAGAGGACGGCACGCTACCTATACATAGTATCATTGCGCTTGATAGCGCAATGACTGTTCACCAGGAACTGTATACCTCGTTGGAAAGAATTTCAAGGCACACTGCCTTTCTTGCCCAAAGGCTACACCAAGAGCTCTTATCGTTGCGGCACGGAAATAGCCAACAGGTCTGCCACCTCTACAAGGACCCGGCGTCGACGTATGGAAATTGTCTTACTCAAGGTCCAATTGTTGCCTTCAATCTCCAAAACCAATATGGTGGCTGGGTTAGCAACGCAGAGGTAGAGAAACTGGCTGCAATCAAGAACATCCAGCTCCGAACTGGCGGGCTCTGCAATCCTGGTGGAGTTGCATCGTCTTTGGGGTTGGCACCGTGGGAAATGCGCGAGAACTTCTCGGCCGGGCAGCGGTGCGGCAACGACAACGACATCATCCGCGCGAAGCCCACGGGCATCATACGTGTCAGTTTTGGAGCCATGAGTGCCCTATCGGATGTAGAGTGCTTTGTCTCGTTCTTGCGCGAGTTTTTCGTTGAGAAACGCCCTCAGTTGGACGTGTCTCCAATGACGATTGTTGATATCGAGCCACCAACGCAAAGTCGCCTATATGTGGAGAGTCTCTGCATGTATCCTATTAAAAGCTGTGCGGGGTTCAGCGTGCCGCCGGATAGAGCATGGGATGTGCGTCCAGAGGGCCTTGCGTGGGATCGTGAATGGTGTCTTGTCCATCAGGGAACAGGGGCTGCACTGAGCCAAAAGCGCTACCCAAAGATGGCACTTATACGACCTAGCATTGACCTTGAAAAGGGCGTACTGCGAGTGAGTCTGGCGGGCGCGTTGCAGGACGCCGCTATTACGCACGAGATAACCATTCCTCTCTCAGCAGACCCACGTCTGTTTACAGAAGAAGCCATGTACAAAGATGCTAGTGCTAAAGTATGCGGAGATGCCATCAAAGCAAAGACGTACAGGTCGAGCGACATATCAGCCTTCTTTACACAGGCTCTTGGGGTACCTTGTCACCTGGCTCGTTTCCCAGCTGTTAGCAATGGCAGTGGCGTATCAAGACATTCAAAGGCGCATCTGCAAAAGCATCAGAAAACGGGCGCTATGCGAGTGCCCGGTGCGTTCCCAGAAACGGTCCCAGTTACACCTGGCGCGTGCGTTTCGAAGCCTATTTTACTGGCGAATGAGAGTCCTATTCTTACTATTTCACGATCGAGCCTCAACCGTTTGAACGAGTTAATCAAAGCGGAGGGCGGCAAGGCGGCGCAAGCAGAGGTGTTCAGAGCCAACATTGTGGTTGCGGAGAACCCAGCGTACCCGCCTGGGCTGGAGGACCCGTACGCTGAAGACGAGTGGCGCTACCTTCGGATTGGTCAACAGTATTTTGAGATGCTAGGGGCGTGCCGGAGGTGTCAAATGGTGTGCATCGACCAGCAGACGGCTGAAAGAAACCAAGAGCCGTTTGTAACGCTTTCGAAGACGCGACGATTTGACGGCCGCGTGTACTTTGGCGAACACACATGTCATCTACCATGGAGCAATGCGTCATCGCCCATTACGCAGAACCCCACTATTACCGTCGGCGACGCCGTGAGCCCCATTCGCGAGGACGAGGTAGAGCAGAACAGCCAGCTGCGAGCTCTCGTTGGCTAGGCGTGCTGAGAGAACCGAATCCTTGGTTAGGACGGGGCACAGCGGAAGCTGGACCGACTCGGTCGCCACTGTGTGGAGGGACCCGGTCTCTGTGCTTTTGACCTTTTTTTGTACCATAGACTCGGAGCATCCGCGCGTGGCTTCATCTTGCATGTGGTACGAGACGGTCATTGGCTGGGCCTCTAGGAGCTGTGTAACAAAGGATAGATGGGCGGATCGCCGCGTAGCCGTCCATGGGGGTAGACGAGAAGGTGTTTGGGCAACGTGATAGGCATCCAGGAAGAGTAGTATTGTAAGCGCTGGTCGTCGTGTTTCAACGGCGAAGCAGAGTCAGGTGCTTGGGGGGTAGAATAGGGTTGGAAGGGCAGAGGCAAGGTATGGGCTGGAAGCGCGCGCGCATTGTCCAGAGCAGCGTAGAGATACACAGCGGCTGCAAGCAAGACATAAAATCATGTCACGCTCGCACGACGAGGACATGCACTGCTTGCACACAGCTTCAGCCTGGTTGCAGCAACGTTCGTTGTGCCGGTACATTACGTTTGAGGCACTCTACTTTCTGCTCCTACCACCACTACCACTACCACTACCACTACCACTACTACTACATACTACTACTCTGCCATTGTCTGACGCCAGCGTCTCAGCACGCCGTGTCAGAATTCGTTACTTCACGCCAGCGACACTGCTTCTACCAGGTCGCCACGTTCAGCTTCAGGTTACAAGCCTGGCTCCCGCACATCCGCACCCACCATCACACATCCGCCCGCAGAGCAACGAATCAGGCGGCGCATCGAGCCGGTCAGAGTCTCTCGACCTGCAGGGGCCCAAAGGACGGCACATTTTGTTTCAGCAGTGGGCAGCGAATCGAGGGGCGGTGGAGGAGTTCACCAGTGCACGGGGCCTGTCCATCCTTGCCCTCGGCGCTTAGCAGACGCTGCAACTCTTCGCGCCCAAAAATAACCCCACCCGGCCCATACAGCGGCCAACGACAACAGCGCATCCGCGCCAAGCTGCCTTCGAGTACGCACAATAAACACCTGCCATCCCCAGGCGCCAGCAGCTGCCCGTCTGCCTGCCTCGCCCTCCAACCCTCTCCACTTTGCTGTGGACAAAGGCATAGCACCGCCCGCCCTCTGAGCCCCCACGCCCTCGGCCATCCATTCCCAGTCACTCGTTCAACTTGACTTCACCAACAATGGCTGCCACCGACTCCAAGCCCGCACTGTCTACCCTCAAGACGCCCATGTCGGCCACATACCCCTCAGAGCTCCGGTCGCCCATGGTCACTTCTGCTACCACGCCCATCTTTGCCACTATCAAACGGGAAGACTCGGACATCAAGACGCCAATCACTCCCCCAACAGCCTACCTCGAGTTCCTCAAGAACCTGTCGCCTGTTCTCTCAAGCCCCATGTCCACTGGTACTAGCTGCAGGTTCGTCTTTGGAGAGAGCCGTCCCACTTCAGTCACCTCGTCGGCCTCGAGTACGTCCTTTACATCAACATCAGCCCCATCAGACAAGGACTCGCCAGCAACGTCAAGATCAAACAGCTGTGGTAGCTGCGACACCTCAAAGGAGGAAGCAAAAGAACCAATGTCTGCACCGCCAACCAAGGTCCAAACCGTCACCATCCCACCCCCATCACCCTTTCGGCGGCATTCAGCGCGGACACCCCGCCTCTACATTCCCCAGTCACCCTATTCGCCTGCCGCAGTAAGGTCTCCTGCCAGCGCAAAGTCAATCCAGTCACCCTACTCTGCCGTCTCATCACCCAAGACATGGGAGGCAGACAAGAAGACTGGCCGGTCAAGGCGGGTCAGTGTGCGCGAAGTGGTGACGAGGACAGTGACTTACAGTCGCACCCCCGTCGATGCAAAAGCGCCACACTTTCCGCAAATCGACCCCGCACCCCGCGGCAAGAGGAGAAAAGTCGAGTAGAGAGTGTGTGAAGGCTGTTAGGCAGAACACACTTGTCTCTACAATGCCAAGTCGAGCATGCATGTGCACGCAACCTGCTCGGACTCTATGCTTCTCTTCACGCCCTGCATTGGCGCCCACTCGACGGCGCCTAATTTCTCATTCGTCCACTAAACACCCGCCTACCTTGTACACACACTCACATTCACACTCACACGCACTCGGTCTACCAAACCAACCCGCCCGTCCGCCAATTTCAAATTAATACCTTGTCGGGTCCAGGTGATCCGATCGCAAGCAATTACTCTTCAATCATCACACCACATCACCAATCGACAAATCTACCAACAAATCTACTCTCCTTTTCAAACTCACTTTGTTTATTACACACCCCCACTACTACCCCTACCAATGGAGAAACGACGTTACGGCCCACGTCCTTTCTCTCAACTCATGACTTCACTTTTTCTTTATTAACGGCGGAAAACATTATCACATTGGCGTTTTTACTTTTCTTGGGAAACCCCCTTGATCAACGTTTCTACATTTGTTCCTATTTTATTGTAGGCCAGGATACCAATATTAAAGGGCCCGCCGCTTGCGGGAAGTAAGGGGGAGGGAGGGGTGTGCGGTGCGGCCAGCGCATTGCGCGAGAAAGAGAGAGAGAGCAAGGGTGTGGGGTATACGACATCTATTGGTTTATCGCGCCCTCCCTCTCTTTCTCTTGCTTCCTTAGGCAGCCGGGGTTTTTTAATCAGCAAGGATTTTTTTGCTGCGAGGGCGAGAGGGTTTAGCGAATTTCCCGCACGTGCAGCAGCGCTTCATTTGAGGAGACCTGCTGGGCGGCTAGAAAAAAAACCTGCTGTCCCAGGCCTCTCTCTCTCATTTCTGCCACGTGCGGATTGGCTGTACTGTCTTTCGCCCACCCTATTGGAGCCGGGGATGGGGGGGCGTCGCGCGCGTTGGAGCGGGGAAGCCAAAGCGGTAAAAGAGGGCTGGCGGCGCTGGCTGGGGGTGTCAGATGAGAGAGCCGTATGTCGACGTAACACTAAGTTAAGTAGCAGTAGCCCTTTTCCTGACACGATGCATAATCTCTGCATCACCCATACTATCAATTAAAAAAATTATTCAAAATCTACCTTTTCCTCTTCGTGTTCGTTCCCTTGACACAAACAAGTTGTGTTCTTGTAGAGCGTATGTTGTACGTACCTTACCCCAAATCAACCATAAAACAATACTACAACCCCGGTCCCTATACTACGCATCCCAGACCCTTACTACACAACGCACGCAGCACACACCCACTTCTTTCTATCGGATCGCAAATTGCACAGTGCGCAAATGTATCCCCGTATGCAGGTCGCGATAACGCAATCCGGTGAGTTTGTGGGCCCCACTGCCGTTGTGCTTTGTTTCCAACGAGTGCGAGTAAAAAATATATGAAGAAGGTGTATGGGAACACCGCAACCTTCTACTATCATCGTACACGTAGCGATTCAATTCGCCCAATCACACCGCCGGATCAACATCATCTTGATCCCAAAAAAATCCAATAGATTAAGACTTTCCTTAACAACATGGAAACTTTTGTGCCATTTGCCAATTCATCGTTTTTATCTTTCTACATATGCCAGCAAAATGCATATGGGTGGGTGAGGGAGTTGTCGCTCACACCCTCTCTCTCTCGTAAATCCCAGCAAAAACACCCCCTTTCCCAGCCTCCTTACTACACTCGTATACTTCTCCTTCATACACTCATATATCACGGTTAAACGTGAGAAATCTCGCACAGCTAATCTGAAAAGAGAACAAAAAAAGCAACAGTACTTGTACCTCTGCTCGTCTCTCTAGCACAGCGCTTCCAAACCGCACAGACCCATCCTCCTTCCCCCCACTTTTCTACCCAGCGCCCAATCAGCACGCAGGCGCAGGGATACGCGGGGTAACAGCTGGGCGCTTAACCTTGCGTACCCGTACATACGGTGAAGAGCGAGAGACGATGAGTTGCCAGGAGAGCGGAGTTGCGAGCGTTGGAGGTGTTGGAGTCTTTCTTCCTCCCCTTCTTAAAACTCTCCAAGTACGTACGTACGTACCTACTACTTTTCCCCTAGTAGAGTACTACCTCGAACAAACCCCCGTTCAACTCAACGCATTAGCAACCGCACATGTCAACATGTTGTGTTAGAGCTAGTGCTAGAGGAATTGATCCAAGGGAAAAGGTACAGATGGGAGGATTGGGGGGGGGGGGGAAGATGCGAAATGGTCGTTTCGTTACGAGCTCCAACGAACAAACCCCAAGTATAGAAGTGTGGATGTGAAGCGCAAGCAACACCCCCGACACACACACACACACCTTCACCTTTTTTCTACCGAGAGAAGCGCCGTACGTCTTGTGGCACGGTAGAGCGTATGCGGCGCGCTCGCCTCGCTTTCTACCGCGTTTGTGGCACGGTTGGGTTGGTTGGTAGGTTGGTCACTCTGTTCGGCTGGTACACCTAGGCCGGCTGCCAGGCTGGTAGGTCAGTTCGTACACTTCCATCGGTGCTTCGGTGCTTCGGTACTTCGGCACTACCTCGGATGTATTGTACCTCGGGTTTGTATAGTAAACATGGTGGTGGCTGTGGTGGTGGCTGTGGTGGTGGCTGTGGTTGTGGCTGTGGTTGTAGCGTTTGCACTTGCACCTACCCCCCCCCTACACACCTGCCTACATACCACCACTACATAGCAGAGTAAAGTAGAGTGGTAGTCGGGGTGCCCGACGCAACCAGACGATTCCTCTTTGCGTAATTTTTCTGTCCCTTTTACACTTACTCGCTGGGGATTTATCGCTAAGGGCTAGTTTTTCTTCATGTGGTGAAAAGGGATAGTGGAACGATCTGTTTTCACGAGCGCTGTAGTGAGAGTGACTAGCGACATCGCTGTTGCCGTGCCGCGGCTCCCCTTTCGCGCCCTTTTTCTTCTGCGAGGGAAGCGAGGTGCATGTGGCGTGGATATGCAGAGAGACGAAGGGAGGGGTGGGCTGGTAGACGCGCGTGTGATGTTGGCAGTGTGGGATGTGCTGCGATTTGACTAAGACGGTTTGCACAGAGGAGATTTTGCTTGGAGGATACGTTTAGGACAAGATGGATAAGTTCAAATTCAATGGCACACAACGCGACTTTTTAAGCTTAAATGTGAGAGTGTGGGGATGACCCTTGTGCGTAATACATGATAGAATGGATAATGTGGGGTGGGGATAAGCACCTTAAGTTTTACTACTGCTTCTTGTAGAGACATGATTGAACTGTGTTGTTTGGTGTGGAATTAGAAAGGGTGTATGTTACTTTCTGGCGTTTTTCTTTGGAGTACTGTGGTAATCAATTTGTTGAATGGGCAGAGGAAAGTGAATGTGTGGAATAGTGCAGTCTGGAAAAGAGAACAACGACGCTTGAGGCGGATGTACATGGCTATGTCTACCTGAGAGGTGTGAATGTAGACAGGCATGAGTTTATGATACTCTACTATTTGATGCTGTTGGTTCGTATACATGTGGTGCTGATTTCTAGTCATTTCCCAATCACCGTGAAAAAAGTAAAAAGGTATAGCCGTCATCGACGAACGCCATAGACATTGTTCAACTATGATAAAGACATTACTATGCACATTACTCCTCAATTGATCTATATCCCAAGTCCCTTCCGACTAACAGAGGTATATCTAACAATATACGCCTCATAGGTATCATAGCTTTTCATGCTCCAAAATCATGGTATTTGAGAACAAAGAAAAAGAAAAGGAAAAATCGCCTCATCACCAGGATCAAGCCCTTGACGAGGTCGCAGTCACACCCGCCGCTTGCTCCAGGCTAATCTCATCCGACGACCTGTCGTCTATGGCATATGGATCTCTGGGGTTGCTCGACAGATTCCGCAACTCGGTCGTGCTGTGAAATTTGACTTCCTTCTGGATATAAATCGAGCTGCCCGGTCCACTCTTTGTATTCTGCTCGTCGTCGAGCCGCGTGCGTTGACCGTACGCATTGCCATACGCATTGCCGTAGGCGGACGAATCCTTGTTAGAAGATCCGAGCAGGACTGGTGCAATGCGCTTGACCAATGGCCGCAGGGTGGGCACGCAAGCGCACATTATGCCGAGATTTGTCTCGACAATGGATAGCATGGCGGTAGTTGCCATTATCCATGTGCCGTCTGTAATGTTCTTGTTCACGTGCACTTGTTGCGCCAGCCGCACAGCTGAGATAACACATACCCTGATCTGGTTGTCAGCATCGTATCCACGCATCAGGGAAAGAACTAGCAGACAGAAGCACTTACACGAGACCCAAGCACAAAACAATCAAGAGGTATGCTTTGCGCAGCTTGTTGATCTGCAACTGGACCACGGGCTTGATCGGAACCATCAGAATGGCAAAGTCAGTAACCATGTTCATGGCGCCGTTGAGAAGAAAGGGACTGTGCCTCGTGTCAGCAAATCATGCATCATGTATGTCCCGGGCGGGACATGGTGCTTACATGTCGGGCCGGATGCAAGCCACAGTCTTCGGATAGATAAGCTGTGCAATGCCGCACGCGAACGAAGTATAGATCCTTGAGTCGTTAGATCAGAACTCGGCAAGTTTTGCGAGTCAAAACTTACTGTTGCGCAATTCCCCACGCGATCAGAAATGCAACGCTCCAGTTGCATATTGCCCGCATTGTGCTGCTTGGAAATATGTGTCTGTATTGCAGCATGAGGGAAATCTTTGTTGCAATTTGTGTCGCGTTGTAGACGGCCATGGCAGAGTAAACTAGCTTCTCTGGTCAGCATATTTCTCAATGATTCCTCGCTGTTTAGGCCTTACCTTCAGAAACATGGGCAGTTTGTCCATTACAAATTGAATGTGTCGTCCTATACCCCCAACAGTGAAGCACACGATATTGATGGCTGTGAGGCCCAAGCCGAAGATTTGGGCCAAGAGAATAGCATAGTCGTCACTTGTGACATGTCTCAGGAGGATCTTTCTGGTTTGCTGTCAGACCATGATACGCCAAGTTTTCGGGCAGTCCTTACCGTGTGTACAGTCGAAGGGCGACTGTGGTGCACGAAGCTACTGTGAAGACAATAGTGACGGCGAGACCGGCAGGAGCCTGGGAAGTGTTAACGGGTTTGTTCTAAACAGTAGGCAGTTGATCGCATACGAGAGACTCTTTTTCCAGCTTCGGGTCGAGGTTCGGGGGCGGCGGAAAACCACTCATGTTGATCTCGATTAGTGTACAACGGCACGAGTGATCTTCATCTGTGTTCAAATGGGGTAACGAGGGTCCATGTGTAAGGACTCTCCAGAATGTTAAGTAAAGCTTCAAGGGAGACCAGGGAGCACCTCAAGGACTTTTTCTTCTAGAACGACACGGAGTGCTATTGTTATGCGGGGCGGGGATAATCCGGTTCATTGGGTGTATTACAAACTTTGAGATGTTACTAGTCAAGTCAGACGCCACGGCAAAGTTAATTAATGAGTCGTGGCCGACAGCGATGTCCCATACACTGGTCTGGGGAAGCGTAGCATCCATGTCAAAGCGCTGCAGGGCGCCCATGGAATCGTACATGCAAGTCGCCATCACAATCGCTTCTGGTTTGAAGCAGTCATCCATCTAAGCCGGATTCAGCTGCATGCCTCACAGTAAATGACACTAGTTGCCTTAGCTAGGGACTGGACATGACGACGCGCAAGCTCCAAACAGGCCGTAGCATTGGGCACCGATGCAATGGCAAAAGCGCTCGGTGGCCAGGCGACAGATGAGGACTCTGAATGGCAAAATATCAGCCCATAGTGGCAGATGCCCCTAGACCAAGAACCACCAGTGCTTAAAGAGTCAGTTGACAAGACTTGGTAATGCATAGCTAACATCTATCAGCTCATTCTGATGGTTCAGATGAATCGTCTTCAAGAACTAAAGTGAGACTTACCTGAAGAGGCATCTCGGAGAGTTCCGTCCGAACATGGACGTACAGCATTTGTACTAGATGAAGACTTAGCAGCGACCATTGGTTGCAGCAGGAAGCGTCACCCGTACCTTTATCAGCTCCAGGCCGACTGACCAATTGCACCATATTAAATGGCTAAGGGTGCTCGATTATCGTGGCGATGGTGGTTCGTGCAGATCGCCGTCCTGTCCTCCCGTCCTGTTCGCTGACCGTTCATCTCACCACCTTGCTGGAAAGAAAGGGTCGCGCGGTGGCACCGGGGATATTTCGGTGTGATCCATGCATATGGGGAGCACGTGTCGCCTCCACACACTACTCTAGACGAGGGGATAATCACACGGATCAAGACTACGGCTTATGATGGTTCCGCCGTTTCTGTCAATGAGGTCGTCATTACCTATCACCCTCCACATTCCGTAGTACACACCCCTATATACGAAACCATCAAAACGTAAACCGGGGACCAAAACATAGTGAACAAGACAAGTCAAGTCGAAACACGCGCGATACGTATCTTTAATGCACACCACTTGACCGATCGGGCGCAAAGTACCCTTGTACTGTGCATCAATAGTGTCGGTGCTCCCACGTGCTCACCATCTCAGGTACAGTGGAAGAGCGGGGCCCCTTGCAGATCCCTAAGTCGCGCCGTCTGTTTGGATCGATTCTTAATCTTCACTTGTCTATAACCGATTTTGCATAAGGTTACATGCATATTTGCGACATGAAACGCAACAAGAGTTTGAAGGAAGCATGGACTTCGTCACGTTTCATGTGTGTCTGTCAACTTTGGTGTGTCCGGAAAAGGAGAGTGCATGTAGTCGCCAGGCGACTCCCCTTTCTTGTATTCGACAACTCTTCAACCGCTGCCGTGTATTCTGGTATACCACTTTAGTATTGCACGATTACAATATCCTCCAGTATCATCTGTACCGGCCACAGTGCCCTCTCATGGAACAACCACACCTTTTATGCAGATGAATAATCCGGCTCACCTCCTTATTCCACTGCCAGCTTAATCTTAACCACTAGGCCAAAAATGTGTCCATGTTGGAACGAGGCATACACTGCAGCTCTCCTCGAGTCCATGTCGACATGTGCAGTCCTCGTTCCCTTGACCGGATCGCGTTCCGAAAGAAGGGTAACCCTGCGACTATTGACATCTATGTTAGTACCTAGCCGAGCTGAGCTGGCATGTTGGCAAACTTACATATTTGATCGGTACTTGGCAAGGAAAACCACGATGGATTCCTCATCTGCGTCCGCAGCTAGATTGGAGAGAATGAGACGGCGGGCAAGTTGGTGTTTCTTGTCCTTATCACCTATCACGTAACCACCGGTACCAATGAGTTGTTCGTTCTCGTTCCGAATCATGTTCCCCACTTCCCGTTTGTCATGGAATTCATCTGTATTGCTACTAAACAAGTACGTGCTCCAGCTTTTGACGTGTTCCCACTTGCAACTAGACGCCTCGAGCATGAGCGCCACAGCATATAGAACGATCTCCGGACTAAGCGTACCAGCTGAACGGGTACAAAGGCGGCTCGTCGGACCCATGCCGAAAGGAACCGCGGGTCCCATACACCTAGTATGCGGTGTGGGCTGGCAAGCTAGTGAATGGAAAGGCGGGTATGGGGTGTCCGGTCCCCCGCAGGCGAGCTCAAAGTCGCCATCAACATCCCTGGGTAGTTCCTGCCTTGACTCTGACGTGCTCCCCTTGATTCTTGAAGGCGTAGTTTCTAGTTCAACAAGATCACAAGTCTCATTGTGGACGGTGCCTAAGCGAATCATAGTTAGATACTCTCGGTCGGTGTCTCCACAGATGGCCGTCACGTCCTGGTCGATGGCACAGAGGCTGTCCTCATTACTCAAGTCAGTATTGTCACTCTCCTCCCTTTTAGTTCTTCCTCACCCTTTATTCTCGCTTATGATCATCCGTCCCATCACTCGTCGCTCTCGGTTTCGCAACTCTGCCTCCCGCTGGTCACTCGCTTTGAGAAGCGTATTTGTGATCTCTTCTAGTTGGCGGCGAAGCAGGCTAGTCGTCATCGTGGTGACAGGGCGAGATGAAAAGAGATAGATGAGTTGGGTTAGAATGGAAAATGTGTACGTTTTTGGTTGGTGAGAAGTAACGGAGTGTAGAGGATGTGAGGGGTTTGTTTGTCCAGTGACGAAATGGGCAAACAGCCCGGAACAACCACAAGGAAGGCACAGACGACCACCTCTAGCTTTGGTCTCAGGAAACATTTGCGGCGAGACCGATGCGTTCGACGGAAATGAACCGGTGTGACGATTTTATGATAGTAAATTTTCTTGTAGTGAGTTTGATAAACGAAGGCATTGGACTGGCATAATGAACGAGTGATGATACGGTGGGGAGTGGAATGTGAAGATTCAACATTACATATATAGCTCGAGATGAGATGCATACATATTGCTCTTTTCCATCCCTCCTACACCTAGGTAGCATACAGTTTCTTAGGTGAAGGAACACCAAACACACAACCTTACATGAACCCTCCAACAGTTGCATTCAAGGCGCAACGCATGTGAATTTGTAAGACCAGAGTCTATCCAGACACCCCAACCAAGCTCACATAGCTTTCCTTTGGACCCCAAGAGAAATAAAGCAAGCAATCATTGCTTCTTCTTCCCTGCTCCCTTCTTCTCTTCAGCCAGACGCTCCATCTCTTGAATCTCCTGCTCCTCGGCCCTCTTGGCATACCACTGACCCGCCTGCAGCACCAAGACGCCCACGAGGACAAGCGCAAGAATGGTATTGCTAGCTGCAAAGACCCTCAGTGTGTCTTCCCTCGAGATGTAGTCACCCATGTCTTCTTCGGTAATCTCGCCCGCGTTAGCCTTGTCCATCTCGCCGTAGATACCAGCCGTGACGACGCGGAAGCCCTTGACAATGTTGGTCAGGTAGACGGTGATGCCGGCCATGTACAGGACGAGCGATGCGCCGTCAAAGAGCATGTTGGCTTGGTTGGGCTTGAAGAGCTTGATTAGGAAGCCGAGGAGGCCGGTGCCGATGACGAGATTGAGGATGCGCGAGACTATCGGGGGCGAGGCATAGAGGAATTTGATGTGCGACTCGAGAATGTCAAAATAGAATGCGCGGTCCTCGGGTGTCGTCCATAGGACATTGTAGTCGTAGGGCAATTGCGCGAAGAGGATGCCGAGAAAAAAACATGTCGCTGTGCGCTCGTTAGAATGTGCTTTGTGCTGGATGCCCGAGGCTTAGGCTGAAGCAGAATTAAAGGGCCTACATACGTCCAACTACCATGAATTGCGCAAAGTTGTTTGCTGCGCCGACTGCCATGATTGCGATGTAGAATGGGATGCAGATTCTAGGGCATGTGCAATCAAGGGCCTTTGAGGGTGGATAGAGGCCAAGTGGAAACTGGCGCAGGCTTATCGTGCTCGTTTGCTAACCGCGAGGCGCAAGAATCGTCGTTGGGGGTAAGCCTATTTTAGAAGGTAATGCCGGGAACACGGCTTGGAAAAAGTCCTTCACTTGGCTAGCATCAAAAGCGAGGCCCGAATCGGTGTTGAAGCGGTGGTTGTCTGGTCGATTTACGAAGTTCGTTCTCACAGTTCGCTAAAGACCCCGCGATGGTTCATGCCGCTATGATGCTCGTCTGCAGATACGTGCCTTGGCATGTGATCGCATACCTGTGTCACGCGATATTTATCCCGAGGCGTCCAGCGTAGACGTTGTGATGGAATTGCTTCGTTGTAAGCTACACACAGCCATATACGCGGCTGTAAATACAATAGAAATGTCCTAAGCATCGCTTGGATATCCAACGCCTCGATACGCCATGTCCCAATTGCACTACTATTCTTGTTCCTTCTCATGCGTAATCTAGAAGTCATTGTCGGCGTCCATATCCTCGTCTTCCATACCAGCCTCGATGAAAACAAGTCGTGTTCCTTCTCCAGTCGTTTGCCAGACCTGTGGACTAATGTTAGCGAGCAATAGACTACGTTTTTGTGCCCAATACTTACATCAAGCATAGCGTATTCGTCAATAGCCGACTCAAACTGATCGGCAGTGAAGCCCTTGGCCAGGACTCTTTCCCTAACCCTGCGGAGGTCAAGTTCACCCCTGGTGCCGTCGCCAACGGCTGCAGCACCGCTCGCCTCCATGGACTTGATAAGGTGGTAGATCTTGCTGCTAGGGGTATGATCGTCCCTACGGTTCTCATCGGCATAAAGACTGGCCTTGCTGACCTCTGTAAGACGGAGAGCCTCGTCGACGTCTTCCGAGATGACTTCATCAGCAAATCGTAGACGCGCCAGAGCCTGGGCCAGACGAAGCACACCCAAGAGCGTACGCGGCGAGGTGTGCGTAAAGGCCTTTTTGTTGCCATCATCGCGCTTTTGTTGTTGACGCATGCGCACATAGGCGCCAACCATGTAGTCGGCAACCTCCTTAGGCACAGTTGGCCGGTAGGACCTGGCACGGGCAACCCACTGTCGAACTTCCGCAGGGCTGAAGACGATGCCTCCGGGGGCTTCGGGATGGGCGTTGTGCATGTGGACATGCGTAACGTGGCGGGCAAGCTCTTCGTCCGAGTCACGCGTTGGGGTATCAAGGATGAGGAACAGAACGTCGAAACGGGACAGAAGAGCAGCGGGGAGGTTGATGTTCTCAATGGGCGACAAGCGGGGATTGTACCGGCCGTACAGTGGATTGGCAGCTGCCAGAATCGATGTGCGGGCGTTGAGCGTGGTCGTGATGCCGGCCTTGCTGATGGAGATTGTCTGCTGCTCCATGACTTCGTGGATGGCTGTTCGGTCGCTGTCGTCCATCTTGTCAAATTCATCAATGCAGCACATTCCGTTGTCGGCAAGAACAAGGGCACCTCCTTCGAGAACCATTTCGTCCGTTACTGGGTCACGCATGACGGCTGCAGTCAGACCAACGCCACTGCTACCGCGACCAGTCGTGTAGACACCGCGAGGCGCAACCTTGGTAATGTACTTGAGCAATTGGGATTTGGCCACACCAGGATCACCCATTAGGCAGACGTTGATGTCACCACGGATGCGCATGCCGTCTCCCACCTCCTTTGTGACACCGCCAATGAGCTGGAGCAGAAGTGCCTTTTTGACATCAACATGGCCAAAGATTTCGGGCGCAATGGATCGCGACAGGTACTCGTACAGCTGGCCGGTCCTCTCAAGCTCGTTCATTCTCCGCAGGGTTGGTTGGGCAAGCACAATGTCGTCGTAGGCCTTCTTGTGCTGCAAGACGTACTGAGCCTCGAGATAGGTATCGGTAAGAAGACCAGCGCGAATCGCCTTGAAGCCAGTGTAAGGCGTGGGGAGGAAAATGCCGGTGCAGTCAATTACGTCTCCAGGGTTAATCTGGCGGACCAGAGCGCCGTGGCAATGGATGGTGAGCTGTCTGGGGATGTGGCCAACTGGCACTTGATCGGCCATTTCCTGAATCTTGACTTCCTGGAAGGGGAGGAATTTTGAAGCGCGAGTAGACAGAAACAGCTGACCCTTGGTCTTGTTGCTCTTGCACTCCTCTGAAGGGCATTCTACAAGTGGAGTGAACTGCTTGGTCGTCACCGGTTGGAAAACTTCGCTACCACAGCGGTCGCAGGAGTAGGCGTTGACAAGCACGGCAGGCTTGACGTCGGAGACCCTTGTTGCAATACCGCGAACTGTGATGAGGTGACCGAGGTGCTCTCCACGGACGTTTCGGACGGCGAGTGCTTTGAGACTACGCTGGCTGCTGGAACCTGAGGGCACTCTGGGCTTGAAGTTGAGCGTGTAGCGTCGCGTCAGGGCTGGGGGAAAGATTGACTCCGGAGCAGCCTGTTCGGCATCGTCGACGCCCTGTAGCTCTTGCATCCTTTCATTGCGCTTGGAGCGCTGTGTCATGATCACGTCCAGCACATCGTCCTTGAAGCTGTGTACAGTAAGTGCTGGTGCTGGCAGATTTCATGTAGTGCCATACCTCAGCTCTCTGGTGGGTTCTGGAAGGCACTTGTCCACGGCGCGCGAAAAGATCTCAATGTAGTGGTGGGCATTCCGCTCGATAGACTCGACCAGCCTAAGGTTTTGCTCGTCGTCGGAGGCTTTCTCGTACTGGCGACTATGAATCAGTTGCGGGGTGCCGGCAGCTGGTCATGGCCACTCACCGCCTCGACGTCGTTGAGGTCTATTTGGATCTCGTCGCGCATGCGATTGGCAACCTCTTGGAGCTGATCCATATACTTTAACTTGGACTTGTTGCGCGCCTGGGCTGCGGGGCCGCTGTCCTCGTCGTCGACCATGTCATCGTCGTCGCCGGTGCCATTGCCGTTGAGATTGAGACTCTCGAGCTGGTCTGCTGCCTCGGTCGAGGTGGACTTGTAGTTTTTGAGGAAATCAACAAAGGCAGCTATGCGGTGTTAGCAAAGGGCGGCCAGGTTGTTGTGTACGCGTATGTATATACACACCCTCCTGCTCATTGTAGTTGACGGGTGCACTCGTGGTGAGCAGCGCCATGGGGGGCGAGATTGAGAGGTGGCGGCCGGAATGTGAAAAAAAGACGGCCGTGGGTCTGGTGTTATTGGTGATATCTCGGAGACAATTGCAGCGGGGAGGGAATAGCAAAATCGGGGCTGGGCTGGGCGCGTTGCTGGCTTGGGGCGCGTCCACCCGCGTCGACAAGGGCCCGCATTCCGTTAGTTCTGCCGGCTGCCACCGCCCTGGGCCCATGGCCGCCGACGACCTCGGCTCGCTGGGGAGAGAGTGATGCGCTTGGGCTTGCGAATAGCAGCCGTCATTCTGCTCTCTCCACTCTCCATTCACTCTCCTTCCCCCAGCTATGCCGCCCAAAAAGCCTGCCGGTAATGTCGTTCAGGCAGAGGTCGTCTTGCACCAGTCGCTCAAGAACTGCCTTGTCAACTTACCGTCGTCGCTCGTGTCGGTGCTTGTCAATGCAAACACGGTACGCGCCATGAGCTGCACTCAACAACCGGCTGCTTACTCTCTGTCCAGGTCGCCCAGAATGTCGTCGTCGAGCTCTCATACCGCCAGCCTCCCCCTCCCGGCGCTACCGACAACAAGAATGCCACTCCAAAGTCCGTCTTCCTGGGATGGACGGGCATGCAGAGCAAGCGCAAGATTGCGCCCGTCGTCGGCAAGGATGGCCTGAGAGGCAGCCCAGCAGTCAGCCAACAAGACCTTCCGGCAGTCGAAGTAGATGCTACGTTTGCGCGACTGATCGGTCTTCAGCAGGGCCAGAAAGTCGGCATCATACTGCACCTCGACCCTCCCCAAGCCCACACCATCAACATCGAGCCATTGACACCTGTCGACTGGGAGATGATCGAGCTACACGCACAATTTCTTGAACTAAACTTCCTCTCGCAGATACGCGCACTGCCTAACCCACAAGCTCAGTCGCCGCACCCCCTGACCCTCCATCTATCCCCTACTACCACCGCAAATATCACTGTCACCTCTATTGCCCCCGCGCCGCAGAACACATCGCTCTTTGTCAAAATCTCGCCCGACGCAGAAGTCATTGTTGCGCCCAAGACACGACAAAAGGAGAGGAGCTCGACTCGGGAAAGCCGGAGCGTGGGCGCTGCTTCAAGAAAGAGCGGAAAGAGCACTGCCAGCACAGTCCGGCGTCGCAGCGGTCGTGAGGATGCTGCGACAAAGGGTGTTGTCTTCTTGCGCGGTGTTGACCGCAGCGTTGCCCAGGAGTGGTTTGACGACGAAGACGATGCCGACATAGAGGCACTGAAGGTCTGGGTTGATCCCGAGGTACTCCTCACGAAGGCACTCAGGGGGATCACTTGGGTCTCTGTATCAGTTATCAAGCCTGCAGGTTTACAAGAGCCCGTCGACATGTCCAAGGAGCAAGAGCAGGAGAAATCTGCGACTCGCATAGTAGCCAAAATCGTCCCATGGGAAGATGCGCCTGACAGCCGTCATGTGGCGCTTTCGGTCGGCCTGTGCAAGGTTTTGGGTTGTGAGAAGTTCGTTGGTGGATTGGTTCGCATCGAAGGCGCACCTGCCCAAACTCCCAAGCCACCTGCCATCAAGCCACAGGGTACCAAAGAGTCCAGGGAGCCAACTGTGAAATCAATCAAGATTGCACCTTTCGCCACAGTAGCATCGCTCAGCAATGCATCACTGAAATTTGGTGGCGAGTCAAAACAGGACCAGGAGAATGCTATACAAAAGATCAGAGCGTCGTATGGAAAAAAGAACGGAATTATGGACGGGCCGGTTACTGACGGCATGATACTACCACCAACAAAGGATTTCGAACTTGGCTGGCAAGGAGGTATTGTAAAATTCGAGCCTCCCTCGACAGCCAGTGGTGTATCATGGGTCCTCTTTCCTGAGAGGAAACCACCACTTGAACTGGGTCCAGAAGTGTCGGTACCGTCGAGTTGGGCCAAGGGATTGCAGCAGGGGGATCCATTACCCGAAACTCCTGCTCACCTTGTTGGAATTGACCCTCTGATCGCACAATTGAGATCGCACCTGACGCACAATTCATCAGTGCTCCTTACTGGAGGTCTCGGCGCAGGAAAATCAGAATGCGCTCAGCTTCTTGCCCACCAGCTTCGGACCGAGTACCTGTTTAACACCACATACTTTCCCTGTCGCAAGCTGGTGACGGACGAGACGCGTGTTGCGACCATCAAAGAAACACTCAATAGGTTGTTTGCCACGGCGTCATGGGGTGCACGTGGTGGTGGAAATGCCATAGTCATTCTGGATGACCTTGACAAGCTATGTCCTGTGGAAACCGAGCTTCAGGTTGGCAATGAGAATGGCCGAAGTCGGCAGGTCAGTGAGTGCCTGATCAATATTGTCCGACAGTATTGCTCCATGGACTCTGGCGTGGTGCTACTAGCAACAGCACAGGGCAAAGAAGCTCTCAACAACGTCATCGTTGGAGGTCACATTGTTCGTGAAATCGTCAGTCTGAAGGCACCCAACAAGGACGGCAGAAGGAAAGTCATTGAAATGCTAGCTTTCAAGGATGCCAAACCAGAGTCAACCGAGCAAGTTAATGGCCATGCCTTCCCAGCCTCTCCATCAAATAGCCGACCAAGCACTTCTCACCGCAGCAATGCTAGTGTCGACAGCATACAAATACCGCCTTCTGACGAATATGGCTTCACCGTCGACTCTTCCATCGACTTTCTCGATCTTGCGGGGCAGACGGACGGTTACATGCCTGGTGATCTTGTTCTGCTCACTTCACGTGCGCGAAACGAAGCACTCATCCGTTCTGTCACATCAACATCTCCTACCGTGACTCTTACGCGAGAAGACTATACTAAAGCCCTTTCAGGCTTTACGCCTGCCTCGTTGAGGAACGTCACATTACAGTCTAGCACCACCAAATGGGAGTCGATAGGTGGTCTACACAACACACGCCAGATTCTCTTGGAGACACTACAATATCCCACCACGTACGCCCCTATCTTCGCAAAATGCCCACTACGTCTCCGCTCAGGTCTACTTCTTTATGGCTACCCTGGATGCGGCAAAACATTGCTCGCCTCTGCGGTAGCAGGTGAATGTGGTCTCAACTTCATTTCAGTCAAGGGCCCTGAGATCCTCAACAAGTACATTGGTGCGTCTGAAAAGTCTGTGCGTGATCTATTTGAGCGAGCAGAGGCAGCGCGGCCTTGCGTCTTGTTCTTTGACGAGTTCGACTCGATCGCGCCGAAGCGTGGTCATGATTCTACAGGCGTAACAGATCGTGTCGTCAATCAGCTCCTCACCCAGATGGACGGTGCAGAAGGTCTTTCAGGCGTCTACGTCTTGGCCGCTACCTCGCGCCCTGATCTCATCGACCCTGCGCTCCTCCGTCCTGGTCGTCTAGACAAATCCCTCCTCTGCGACATGCCCGACGAAGAAGAGCGCATCGACATCCTGCGCGCAGTGACCGCAAAACTGCACCTCGCACCCAGCATCCTCTCAGCCGACACATCTGGCCAGAATCTCCGCGAAATTGCCTCCAGAACAGAAGGCTACTCCGGCGCCGACCTCCAAGCCGTCGTTTACAACGCCCAGCTAGAAGCCATCCACGACGCCCTCGGCGACACCGACCCTTCTAAACTCGATGCCGCCGGCAACAAAAACACCGGCACAAAAGATACAAAGGGCATCCCTGACTTTTCTTACTTCCGCTACGGGGACGACGAGAGCAACACACCCGCCGACTCCGCACTGCGCACCTCGCACCACATCTCCGAGCGCGCCCTTATCGCCCAGAAAATATCATCCCTCCAATCCCTCCGCAAGAAGCAAAAGCAACTCCAACGTTCTGTTAGCGGGCTCCTTGATCCCAAGGACTCTTCCTCTCCCAACGGCCTTGCAGACACCAAAACAGAGGATGCATCTACTGACAGAAAGGATCCTCAGATTCAATGGTCTCACATCGAATCGTCATTGGTGTCTGGAAGAAGCAGTATCTCAGCTCAAGAGCGAATGCGCCTCAAGAGAATATACACGGAGTTTGTCGATGGAAGGGATGGCAATTTGCCGAATGGACAAGGAGGGACGGAGATTGGAGGGAGGAGTAGTTTGATGTGAGATTCTTAGCTTGTCGGAAGGGAAGGGAAGAGGGAGGGTAATATTAGTTAGAGAGGTTTTGTATCGATATATGTATATCCTGGTTTAAAAAGCCTGGCGTAATATCCATCTATCATGTTTGTAATTCACTCGAGAATTTTTTTCGTCACAAGTTACATATCTCAACCTGCCTCTAGTTGAAGACACTTCGAAACCAGTAATAAGTGCATGAATCATATCTTGTTCATTTCATCTTTTACTCCGCATCCCCCCACTTACCCTCAAATATCAAGGTTCCCCATCCCTTATTTCTCCCCTCTCAGTCCAAATACCTTTATTTCGACACCGCACTCTTAACCTGCTCCCCCACCTTCTCCGCCTTCCCCTTCAACGTCGCCTCCCTACCTCCGAAATTCCAGTAGTTCAAATATCGGTATCCCTGCACAAGCTGCGAGGTAAAGTTGATCGCGTGGCAGCCGAACAGCAGGTAGTTGGCCGGTGTAACCGCCATGGCGTAGCGCATAAAGGTAGCGGAGTAGAGAGTTAGGGCACCGGTCATGCGGCCCGAAATACTATTTCACACAAAGTATTAGCAAGGTGAGAGAGGGGGGAGGAAGGGGGAGGGGAGGGGAGGAAACATACATTTCAGGATCCTTACTCATATCCGCAATTGCCGCAATCGGGATACCAAAGTTACTCGCGGGGCCCCAGAAGTCTATAGTATATCACCGTCAGCAATGTTTCCCTCGCCAATTCCCAATCTTTTATCTTCTTCCTTATTCCCTTTGCTTTATCCCGCGCCTTCAACGCAGCCAAGTGCGTGTGTGCGCGTGCCTCTCCGAAAACCGGGGTTCTGAAAACGTACGAGTCGAGCAAAAGTAATCCGTGTACTTGTTTGAGCGGATCTTCGCGTTTAGGGCTTTGATTGCGGCGGCCATGGTTGCGACGTTTCCTTTAGTGGGGTTCCGTTCCTAGGACCAGAAGGGTTGTATGCGACGGCGGGGAGCGGAAGGGGGACGTAGCAAAAGTAAAGCTCGTGGTTCGGAGTTTGCGAGATGGACTCGGAACGGGGACAGGGCTGGGTTGCCAAGGCTTTTTTGATGGGGCCGGGGCGGGAATAGATGGTGCACCACACCGCGAACAGGGACTGCATGATTACATACGGGAAGGACATCACGTGCAGAGTGATATAGCTAGTAAATTGTCCATTGGACTGGGTGCAGACGAAAAGTACGACAGTCCAAGTCTTGAATCACTGCGACTGGTTCTTATTGAGGCCCGCAGGCCAATTGGTATATCTTAAACCCCTCCAACTAACCTTTCGTACACTTATGATCTATGTACGCTCGCCTTGTCAGTGCCATCTGCGGTTTTCAAGCACAGCCTAAACCTTGGAGCACTTGCAACGTCTACTGTCTGCTGGACTTTGATCTCCTTAGTCTCCCGATACGCTCCCTGATATCCGCAACATCGCCGCGCGTTGCATTTGTGACTCGCCAATCTCGACGCTTATTTCTTCTTGTGATTTTCCTTCATATCTACGCGTTGTTGTCCATCTATCTGCCACCGAAACCAGGAGGTCCACCACGACCAGGGAAACCTGGCGGTCCACCGAATCCTGGGGGTCCACCAAAGCCAGGAGGTCCACCAGCGGGAGGGAAGCCAGCTGTCAAGAGTTAGCAGATATTACTCAACTATGTTCGTGGAGACGTACGAGGTCCACCAGGTGGTCCGCCACGGCCTGGGAAGCCAGGTGGCCCTCCAAAACCTCCAGGTGCGCCAGGGAAACCACCTCCAAATCCAGGGCCAGGGGCTCCAACGCCAGGAGCTGGTCCAGTCAAGCCAACAGGGAGACCACGTCCAGCAGGCCGAGCGACACCAGGTCCAGCAGCCAATGCCGCAGTAGTCGAAGGTCCAGAGTTTGCTCCGAGACGCGCAGCGGGGTCCGCAGGCGGTGGCCCATCAACTGACAGTGAAATGACATGAGCACCACGGATAATGGTGAGTCCAATGGCGCGTCGTTCTTCGGTTTCGGTGACTTGCTGGGTTGCGCCCGGTGCGGCTTTGCCCTTTCTCCGTGTGCGGCGGAATTCTTCTGTGTCGGCGAGTACAAGGTTCATGTGCTACGAACAGCGGGTTAGTTAAGTTCTTGCAAAGAGAGAATGCGACACCGACCTTGTCGAATGCGAGCATCTGCCCGACCATTTGCCTACCATCTTGAAGCGTTACCTTCATGCGGTAGTTGATCTAGTCTTGTAAGTTGGGTGCGACTGTGAGCGGAAATCTGGGGCGCTTACTAGATTTTGCTATATCATCGAGCGTCAGTCAGTTTCTATGCGCGTCTTTCTCTCAGGTCAAGGCCTCGAGCTGCTAGGCAGATTTACTTACCATCTTTCCTTGACGGTTTGCAGCGCCCGACATGATGTGGTTTGCGCGTCCGGAGACGACTTGGAAGCTCGAAAAATAGGTATATAGGGTTATTGAGGTCGAATCCCCGTGTAGTTGGCGATCGGCGGGGCGTCTGGAGCTGTTTGTGTTCACAAGACAAAGTTCATGTTCGGAGCTCTGACATGCTGGCACGTGACCTGCCTAGTCTCGCTTAATTCGCGCCCTCCACAGGCCAAATGGATTTCGTGATCGCGAATTCCACTCCAGCGACTTCGACAGCCACCCACGCCCACTAACCTCTGCAGTCAATCACAATGGTACGCAGCAAATATTGACGACAATTTGCATCGCGCATGCTAACAGCAATGGCAGTCCGACTCCAAGGCCTCCAACCCCATGCGGGAGCTCCGCATCCAGAAGCTCGTCCTCAACATCTCCGTTGGCGAGTCTGGTGATCGTCTCACTCGTGCCGCCAAGGTGCTCGAGCAGCTGTCCGGTCAAACTCCCGTCTACTCCAAGGCCCGCTACACCGTCCGTACTTTCGGTATCCGAAGGAACGAAAAGATTGCCGTCCACGTTACCGTCCGTGGTCCCAAGGCCGAGGAGATCCTCGAGCGTGGTCTCAAGGTCAAGGAGTACGAGCTCCGCAAGCGCAACTTCTCAGAGTCCGGCAACTTCGGTTTCGGTATCAGCGAGCACATCGACTTGGGTATCAAGTACGACCCTAGCATCGGGTATGTGGAACATGGACAGTGAATGCAAGAGAGGCAATGGCTGACTGGAGCAGTATCTACGGTATGGACTTCTACGTCTGCATGACCCGCCCCGGTGAGCGTGTCGCCAAGCGCAGGAGGTGCAAGAGCAAGATCGGCCCATCCCACCGCGTCAACCAGGCCGAGACCATCAAGTGGTACAAGAACCGATTCGAGGGAATTGTCCGATAAACGTATTGACGGAGCGGTGAAGAGGGAACGAAGTGAAGATTCTGCACGATAACCAGCATTTTCGGTCTCGGGGGTTCGGTCCAACGGAGTCCTGGAATGTATCTTACAAAAAGAGCAAGCATTGAACTTGCGGCCTATCAATTGAGCTTGGCCCTTGTCTCTTATGAGCGGGTCTACGACCACGTATACAATGGAGGCTTCACTAGGGTGAATGTTCCGCATAACCATTGTGTGGTCATCTCTTGCTCGTTGTTTTCCGCTCGTGACGTGTGTTGTTGTTCTTGAAGTAACTACTAACCTTCAGGTTTTTGCTAGGAACCTCCCCAATTGCTTTCGCATGCGCATATAGATCACTGTGTGCCAGTGTGATTAGTACGCGACTTGTATTGTGACACTTCTGGAAATGATCAAACCGAAACGGGTGCTCTGTCCAATTTGACGTCACAAAATTTTCTAATCAAGAACAAACATGAATCAGTACAGCTCATCTTACTTAAGCTAACCTACACGAAGTCGACTAATGTCTATTTGCCTGTTATGTAACAACCAGTGTAACGAAAAAGATACTGGCATTGTGATTTGGACATGAAGAGCGATTGCAACTTCTATTGACTGCTACAACACTTTGGTAGGAATTCATACTGAAACTGACTCAAAATCTAACAATCGGTCTGTAACCCTATTCGCCACCCTTTTCATCTTGCTTGACATCCACCGCGCGACTCAATGTAGCAATCTTCCTGCACAACACCTTGATCGTCGAAGTCCCCATAACATCCAACATGGGCACATCCGCCTTGACTTCCCTTGCAAGGAATGTCCTGAACTCTATAGCCACTAGCGAATCAATACCATTCGCACTAATCGACTTGTCCTCATCGATATCCGCCGCTGCTATCGACAGCAAACTCGCCAGTTTGCCCTTCACCGCCGTTGTAATGATATCAGCTGCTTCGTCCAATGTTTTCGATTGAGCAAGCAAAGCTTCCACGGGTATCTCAGTGCTCTCAGACGACGCAGCACCAGTCAAGGTCTCACTGTTTAGATGCGCAAAGAGAGGGAAACTCATGAATGATGGCGTCGGCATTCCCTTGTGCTGGTATTTGTCTCTATTAGCCAGACCAGTAACGATCTGCGCGGGAGGATTCTGGCGTGGATCAATGCTATATTCGAGGATCGCATGCAGTTCTTCTTCGCGTATTTGCTCGAGTTCGACGCTTACGCCTTTGTTGATTGCAACGCGCGAGGAGTTCTCGGCGACGTAGCCGACGGAGAGTATGGCGCCGACGTCGATAGTGGAGGCTGCGAGGCCTTGGGAGCGGCGATATGCTGCGAGAGCATCTTGGTAGGTGTTTCCTGCGGCGTAGTTGGCCTGTCCGCGGTTTCCGAGTATGCCGGTTGCGGAGGAAAGGAGGACGAAGTGGTCGAGGTCCTTGGGGAGGTGCTTGTGGAGGTTCCAGGAGCCGAGGACTTTGGGGTTTACGGCGGACATGTAGTTTTCGTAGGTCATATTTTCGAAGATGGAATCCTAGACATGAGGGTTAGTTGAGTTCGTTTTCACTGTAATAGTAGGCTGGTGATAGACTTACCGATAGTTGCATAGCTCCCTGAATCACACCCTTGATGGGTGGCAAAGACTTGCATTCCTTCAGAACTCTCTCAAGATCGGCTGAATCAGTGACGTCGCATTTCTCAATGCGGACTTGACATTTTTGCTCAACCAGATGCTTCTCCATCTCTGCAACGGCCGGAGTGATCTTGCCACTGCGCGATAGGAACAATAGGTTGCGGGCACCCCTGTTCACTATCCATCTTGCAATACTTCGCCCCAATCCTCCCAGTCCACCGCTCAGGACGTATGTTGCGTCTGGCTTGAAGTAGAATGGGGTTTGCTGCTCCGGCACGATCGGGACAATATCGTCAGCATGTGGCACAAACACCATTTTACCAGTTCCGCGTCCAGACTGTAGAGTTTGGAAGCCCTCAACTAGTTTCGAAAGCGGCGAGACTGTTGTTGGTTTTGCGGTTTTGACAACGCCTTCGCTCCATAGGCGTACTGTGTCGTCAGTAAGCTGCTTGACTAGTTGTGGCCGACACTTCATCATTGTAACTAAGTCGACACAAGTCATGGAAGTGCCTCGCAGAAGAGGTTGTAGTTCGATCCTGGAATTGGCTTGAATGTCCTTTTTTCCGATCTCAATGAAACGTCCGAAGGGTGCGAGAAGTTCCCAGGAGCATCGCAAAGCCTGAGAAAGTACGTCAGTAAAACAGACCAAGAGATATTAGCGAAATTTGGGCACATACATCGCCAGCAAGTGAGTTGAGCACAACATCGACTCCATACCCGCCAGTTACTCGTCGAATGCCCTTTGCGAAACTCAAGTCTCGACTCGAGAAAATGTGATCTTCCGGGATACCGTAGTTTTGCACGAGCACCTAATCTCAAGTCAGTAAACAATCCCCTTCATACAGACAAATCGTAACTCACATCTCTCTTCTCAGGCGTCGAACATGTAGCAAATATCTCCGCCCCAACACTCTTCGCATAATTAATCGCCGCTTGTCCCACACCTCCTGCCGCAGCATGAATCAGCACCTTCTCCCCCTTCGCCAACCTCGCCACATCTCTCAGCGCATAAAGCACCGTAACATACACAGCCGGCAGTCCAGCTGCATCGCTGAAGCCCATCGAATCAGGAATCTTCGTCACAACCGACTGGTCCACTCGTCCAAACGTGTGGAAACAACCGACATGATCCAGTCCGGTGATGTACGTGACGCGGTCTCCGACTGCGACATCAGTGACTTGCGAGCCGATACGGGAAATGACGCCCGCGGCTTCGCACCCGATGCTGTAAGCCATGTGTTCGCCCATTGCAATCATCAGGTCGCGGAAGTTGAGGCCCATGGCTTTGATTTCGATCTCGACGTGTGTGGGGTCTAGGGGTGTGGTGTAGACGGGGTCGGTGACCCATTGGAGGCGATCGAGCTGACCAGGTGAGGCCGAAGAAAGTTTGACTGGCCTGCCAGCGTCTTTCCAGGCTGTGGGGATGGGCTGGGGAGTGCTGAATTGGGAGGCAAGGAAGTGGTTTCCGGTAGTGCTTGAGTGCAGGCGGCTGGTGAAGTACGATCCGGCTTTGAAGAGGTATTCGCCTTGCTTTTCTTCTTTGAGGACAGAGTTAGCGAATTGGAGGTTGATGAGTTTGCTTATGCATTCGATGAGATTAGCAGTGTTGGGGCGGGGGGTTGCGATGGATAGAGTAACGAGGTTTGCGTCATCGAGATCCCGTTCCCATCGCACGGTGCGGATGAGACCGAGGGCCATGCTGTTTTCAGGGGTTTCTAACATGTCGCCTGTGACCCAGAGAAGGGCGTGGCATTCTGTTAGCACCTTTCGGACGCCTTCGTAATCTTCTGAAGCCAGGGTTGAGAGAATAGGGGTGTCCAGCTCCAAGAGTGAGACACATAGAGTCTGGCTCAAATCTTGGTCTTTCAGCTCACGGATTGAGGCGATGGAGATACTTCCACTCTGAAATGTCTTCTCCAACTCCTGCTGCAGCCCTGAGACCAAACCCTTGTCCAATGATTCGGGAACAATCATAACTGCTTTGTCCTTTTGCACTTCCAATGCCGCGTTCTGCTCAACAGCACGCGACACAAGAATGCTCTGTGTATGCGACACATCAATTTGAGCATCCTTTAACTCCAGCTCAACTCCATCAAAACCAGCTCCACTCAGAAGCGTCGCCCACTGCTCTTTCGAAGCAAACGGACTCCACTTCCTCGTCTCCTCTTTCGAAAGCCACCAACCACTCAGCTGCCCAAACGCCAACGCTGACCAAAAGTAATCCTGCCTCATACCCTCTTGAATCACAATTCTTCCACCAGGCTTAAGCAGCTTTCTCAAGTTCGACAGCGTAGAATGCAAATCCTCAGTCGCATGAATAACATTCTGTGCCACAACAACGTCGTAAGTTCCAGCCTGGAACCCCTGACTCTCAACATCCTTCTCCGCATGCAAAACTTTATATTCGAAAATCGACTGCCACGCCTTGAATTTTTCGCGCGCTTTGTCGAAAAAGGCGGACGATATATCTGTATATGTGTACTGCAGGACGCTAGATTGCAACAGCCGGCCGTCTTCAGATACCGGGGCCAAGTTCCGGATCACAGCTTCAGTGGACGATCCGGTTCCAGCACCGACTTCGAGAATGCGTAGGTTGGTGCGGTTTTCACCGAGGATATGCAGGTATTTTGATAGGAGTTCGGGGAGGTCTCCAAGGCGCACGAGGTCGGCGTAGACTTGGTCGAGGATGTCGTCTTGGCCGAACATGAGTTGGAGGGGGTCGGTTTCGCCGCGGAGGACGGAAACAATGTTTGAGCCCATTCGGTAGGCTAGACGACCTTCGGCTTTGTAGGCTTGAATTTGGGTGTAGATGTTGGTTTTGGCGGCGTCGTTGTGGCGAATGGCTTCGAAGTCGGAGCGTGGGACTGATGAAATTTTGTCTTCTTTGGTCCAGTGTTCTAGTTGCTCTAGCCAGTTGAAGTAGTTTTGAAGATGGCCTTGGAGGGTCTTTGGGGCTTTTCTATACTCGTCCAGCGCGTCGTGGACAAGGCAGAGAGTGGCTAGTTGCAATCGGTGTACCCATTCGGCTGTTAGGCTGTCTGATCCTACGGGACGTTCTTCTGGAATTAAGTCTGCTTGAGAAATTGTCTCGAGATAAACGGGCCACTTGACCTCGTGACACAACTCTCTGCTAGTCGCTGCTCGCTGATCGGCAGAGTCGAGCGGTGTGGCGCGAATACCAGTGACTGAAATCCTAGTATCACCGGTTGCTTCGTCCCAAACAAGTACGTCGTTGTCATACTTCTCAAAAGCAACTCGCTCAGTTCGACCATGTACTTTGTACTTGTGGCCGGGCAGTGGGCTTAGCTCTGCTGATAGCCAAACGTCTTTGATGAAAGTTGGAACTGCCGGGTTTTCGAGGCTTGTAGCACCGAAGAGATCCATGATAGCGGCAAGAGCAAAATGAATCATGCTGTCGAACGTAGCAGGATGTATCAGATGTGGCGAGGCGTGCTGCTTGGGCATTGACGCCGCAATATCTGGCACTGTTACTCGCCCGATGACTGCTCCGCCTTGATCACCAGTACCCCTGGCGTCTGACCCATTACGGAACAATGGGCCAAACTGGAGTCCTACTGTGGCCATATTCTCATACGCACGGAACATATCAAACGTTGCCTGACATCTGTGCTCGGCATCTTGTAATTCTCGGCGTCTTTTGGCTGACTCCTCTCGAGCTTCTAGCCCATTGTCAACAGGGCCAGTAGTCGTAGCATATTCCACAGCGATGTATCCTGTGCAGTGCTCAATCCAGTCATCGCCAGCAGGATTGTAAGATGAGATCTGGAATCGGCGCCAAGTGTTCGAGACAGTTATGCTGGACTCGTCTACTCGGTTCATCGAAAGCATAACTTCCAATCCGTCTTTACTATCCGGAACAATCATTGCGCGTTTGATCGAAATGTCTCTCAGGCGGAAGGAAGTGATTTCGAGACCTTCGTCGGCAATTTGCTGGATTGCTTCGATGGCCATGATGAGGTAACCTACACCTGGATAGACATGGGAATTGGTGACAATGTGATCACGCAGCCAGGGCTGTTCGTTCAGTCGAAGGACATTTCTCCATTGAGGGCGCTCTTTGTTCCAGTCTGGTACAGGCGCACCGAAGAGGTCATGACGAGGCGCTTTGCGCAACCGGTAATTACGACTCAGACGGCTCTCATACCAGAGAAGTTGAGAGTGGTTGAAAGTGTAGCCAGGTATATCAGTCAGTAGGGCATTTGGCTCAGACTGGGTGCTTTCGTTAACCTTTTGAAGGCTAATTGGATATCCACGAGACCAGATATGTCCCAGTGCAGTCAGCAGCGTCTCAGGCCCGGGTTTGGATCGATTCAAAACAGGGAATGAGGTTATACTGGATCCACTGGGCTGGGTAGCAAGGATATCCTTGATAGCACTTTGGAGAGCGCCATGAGGACCAAGTTCCAACACAATATCCGCGAAATGGTTGCCACCCTGAGCGTCAACTCGGAGTGAAACCTGGCCTTTTTGTGCGGAACGGAAACATGTTGCTGTCAAACCATCCGAAAACCGAACTGGGGAAACCAGGTTTTTGACCCAGTACTCAGCATCGAGTAGTTCTTCAGTAACGAAAGTTCCAGTCACCGTTGAAACCATATCCACGGTGTTCGGTGGGATGGATTTGTCCGGTGATATACCATCCAAAAGTGCGGCATACTCTTCCGCAACATGATCCATGTGCGGCGAGTGGTACGCTTTTTGGATAGCCAATTTTCTCACAAAGATTTCCTTCTCTTGTAGCAAGTCATGCAGTTCCGAGACCAAATGCTCATCTCCTGAAATGGTACAGTTTCTCGGACTGTTGCTGCAGGCAACCACTAGGACCCCTTTCTTAGCCAAAGCGTCCACATATGGCCGGGCATCATGTTCGGACAACCCGACAGCTAGCATTGTACCCTTTTGTTCGCTTTGTTTCGCAGATACTACTCCTCGGTAGTATGCCACGCGCCATGCAGACTCACGAGTCAGCTTTCCGGAAACGTAGGCTGCAGCTATCTCTCCGGAGCTGTGTCCTACAGCTCTTGATGGCTTCACGCCCCATGACCGTAGCAGATCTACTAATGCCACCTGCACCGCCGTGCACGCAGGCTGCGATAACCAAGGCTCATTGACATTGCTTTTTTCTTTAGTTTGGGACAGTTCGTCGAGAAGCGACCAGGTTGCGCCCAAAGATGTAAACAACTGACTTGCTTGCGTTATGCTCTCACGGAATATGGGATACACGAAGAGCTCTCGGCTCATCTCTGCATACTGAGCCCCTTGGCCCGTGAAGACATAGGCGATAGATACGGGTCCGCGGGCTCGGATAGCTTTTGTGTGAACGTTTGGAAGGGCCTCAACCATATCAGAGGTGTCTCCAGCAAGGAGAAAACTGCGCCAGCTGAACTGAGAACGCCGATTCAAAGTGTGAGAATAGTCGTTTAAGAAGGATGAAGGGTATGTAGAATGGGACTTGAAGAAATCAAGCTGTGTTTCGGCATTCCTTGACACACCTGCTTCATCAAAGGCGGAGAGTCCAATGAGTTGAGGAGGTTTTGGTATATGTTCAGCCGACACCCAACTTCTCAGACTATGGCCTTTGTCAACACCATTACCAGCGTGAGCATGGCCGTTGGTTTTCGATTGTGTGTGGGTCCCATTCTGTTTTAGAGCACTCGCGTCTCCATTCAAGTGTGGGGTTTCGCTGAGCTGCTCAGAAGGGACTATAAGAGCTTCCGCAGCCCGGCTCAGAGAATCAATCTTCTCTATGGAGGGTGCCGTAATGGCCGTGCGGTGATTTCCAGTCAGCTCATGATCTCTCAGGTAGTGGTAAGCATCATCCAGGATAGCATGTGCATTCGTTCCTCCTACACCGAAAGAGTTAATTGACACTCGACGGAGACCTGATGTAGGCCATGGAACAGCCTTATCGGCAATAGAAAGATTCCATTTCTCGAAGGGAATCTTGGGGTTTGCCTTTTCGAAATTGGCTTGCGGCGGAATGATACCATTCTCTAGTGCCAGCACACTTTTGATGATTCTATACATGGAATGGTTAGCTATGTTCTTTCTGCTAATTGTGATTCCAGGAGAGGTCCGTTGGGGGATCACATACCCTGCAACACCAGCGGCACCTTCCAAGTGGCCTACACTCGCTTTTACCGAACCTAGATAAAGCGGTTTATCTTTTCGCCTTGATTTGAATGCCTGTGCGATTCCGCGGGCTTCAATCGCGTCTCCTTGTTTCGTGCCAGTACCATGTGCTTCTACTAATGTGGTATCGTCAAAGTTGAGTCCGGCAGACGCGTATGTGGTTCTTATCAATCTTTCTTGTGCGTCGCTACTTGGAAGAGTCAGGCCGGGAGTGCGGCCGTCTTGGTTGATACCTGTGCCACGAACGACTGCGCGGATAGTATCACCATTGCGAAGGGCATCACTAAGACGCTTTACAATCACTGTGCCTGCTCCTTCTCCACGAGCAAAGCCATTGGCGCGGTGATCGAAACTGAAACATCGACCATCGGGACTGAGGAAGCCTTGATGCGACATGCCATTAACGTCGCCTTCAAGAAGACATGATGGTCAGCGATTGTGAAATAAAATTATTGCAGCTGTGACTAACCAGGGTAATTGAGAATTGTTACTCCAGTAATGATAGACATATCGCTCTCCCCTGTTCGTAGGCTCTGGCTACCAAAATGTAAAGCAGCCATGGAGCTAGAGCACGCTGTATCGATAGTCACACTTGGTCCCTTTAGGTCGAAAAACCACGATACACGATTGCTGTGCATTGAGTTGGTAAGGCCAGTAACGCGATGTCTCAACGTTGTCTCTGGATCGCTGTTCAGGATGGCTAGGTGGTCGTGGTTGAAGCCAGAGACGTAAACCGAAGTATTGGATCCTGCGACTTGCTCCAATGTGAAGCCGCTGTTTTCAAGAGCAAGGTACACATTTTCCAGTACCACGCGTTGTTGAGGATCCAGTGACATGGCTTCGCCTTTTGTGATTCCAAAGAAGGAAGAGTCGAAGTATGCTGGATCTTCGGCAAGAAAGTGACCGCCTGGGAAATGCAAGATACTTTGGTCAGCTACTAGTGTTCATCGATCTACGGATTATGCGTATCGTACCTGCGACAGCATGTGTGCCGCCATGTTCAGGATCAGGATGGTAATGACCTGGGCCCATTCGGTCTTCAGGAATTGGTGTATGGGCACATCGCTTCGCCAGTAAAAACTGCCATAGCTTTTCTGTGTTATAGGCTTCTTGTGGAAAACGGGTTGCAAGGCCAACAATGGCTAAAGGCTCTGCTGCTGAAGCAGGCTCAACAAATGACACTGGCATTTTTGGATTTGATATTTTGACGTGAAGAAAATTTGAACTCGATGCATTGGCATGTCGTTTATAGAAAGAGCTTGCACGCTAAAATTTCCAAAATAGTCCATTCTCTTAACTTTGATGCAGGCTTGATTTTTACAGTATCCGCCGTTACCACTAATTACCATATTACCCGATCTGATACAGTCCAATCGAAGATCACCTCCGAATATCTATATCCTTGAAGTCTATACAATGACTCGATATAAGCTCTTCAGTACAGCCGAGACAAGTAGGGGACTGGGTCCAGTGATGGTAGTCGTCAAGGGTGTGTCTTATTTCGTATTCTAACCTCCGTTTTGCTGGTATGACAGCGCTAAGTAGGTAAACTGGAGCCTTAGCGGGCGAATTAATTGGATAGAGGGGCATATCAAGATTTAGTCAAGAATACACAGAGGATAGCGCACTTTAGCATAGCATCACTACCATGCTTAACGGTAAAAAGCATGACTAGATTTAGAAATTTATGTCCGGAAGGAAAAATAGGGTCATTGGATTCGAGAGTTCTCTTTTTGACGGAATACATGTGAACTACAGAAGCGATATCGGAAACGTTCTAAGCATTCGCCTTTGTGAACGATTTCTAAGATCGCCAGGTTTTGGTCCTACAAAATTTATTCGGAGCAGCTCAAAAGAGATGTGACAGGCCCTTGCGTGCATAAGCGCTACTGTAAAACTTACCCTAGGTCGCTGCACTCCACCTCAGCTTCGGCGGTATATAGCGGTCCGATTTCAAAAAACAAATTCCCGCATGACCACGCCACATCTAATTAGTTTTGTTCCGGGCATCTATTGGCACATTCTACACACATGTCTAGTTGATAACGCTAGATGACCTATCCTCCGCATCCTGTTCAAGGGCCTATTTGATTCAGCGCCGTTTTCTATTAGCTAGACCTTTAGACCCGTACCTGGATTCTGATACCACCCTTTCACTACGTGATTATACTAGACCTAGACCTTTACGTGGCTACGAAATATGGCCCTAACTAAACAGCCCGTCCGTTTTCTATCCTATTCTAGATAGGCCTAGCTGCGACGCTAGTTAGCACTCCCCTGTTGAAGCTCTAAGCCCAAAATGTGATCAAAATGGAAATCAAAACCCAAAAACCAAACAAGCACCAATTTTTCCGTATTGTGGGGAAGAAACGGGCCGGCTATTGTATTCCTTGTGGGACCTACATCTCAGAGATGAGAGCATGATCTGAAAGTAAGGGGACGAAAATGAGTCTCTAGAGGAATTTTTTGGGAGCGGTAAAATCAGTCTGTAGAGCATCTTCCTAACATCTTACATAGTCCACGCGATTATATTGGCATCATGGTCCTCGAAATCCAGTGGCAATTTCCAAAGGATTTGCTTTGGTTGCTTTCTCTCATCATAGGACTGATCGCTACAACGATCCTTTTCACCTACTCCATCTCCTACATCTACAGCTTCCAAAGATCTGGGCACGAAGGATCTGAGCCACCTTTACTGCCCTATTGGATACCATACTTTCAGCACCTGCCTGCATTCCTTCTAGACCCAGCAAGTCTTTACGAACGTGGTAGAGAATGCTTCTCAGGGAAACCCTTCACTCTCCTACTAGCCGGGACAAAGTTCTATGTATTTTACTCTCCCGAATCTGTCAGCCATGTCTTCAGTCGCTCTCGATTGTTCACTTTCGAGCCTGTCATGGCAAGCATGATGGAAAATGCTGTTGATCTTCCACCTCCAGACCGACCCAAATTTATTTCATCGACAACGGAAGGAAAAGATAGGAAATTCCTGACCGAAAACCACAACATTTGGACACGCAATCTTTCGGGGAAACGCCTCCATGACATTATGAAAATATACATGTCGGTGCTCCCTACTGTTTTGGAGTCGAATATCGATCTTTCGAGCGACAAGTGGCAGAAAAAGAGTTTGTACCCATTTCTTAGGAAAATCATCTTCGAGACAAGTGTACAAACGTTCTTTGGCCCTCATTTGATACAATTCTGGCCCACCATGTGGGATGACTGGAGAAGATTCGATGATGCTACATATATTGGTGTGCGATCGAACTTGGTATTCAAATTACAGCCCAAGACCCACAGGGCACGTGAGAGGATGTTCCAAGCATTTGAACGTTGGCTAGATGCTGTTGGAAACGATGAGTGGGAAGATACAGATAACGTGTGGTGTGAGAAATGGGGTCTCCGTATGAATTGGGAGAGGGATGTACTGGGTAGGCAATGTGGTTTTACGAAAAGAGGAAGGGCATGCCTCCAGGCCAGCTTTCTTTTTGTGTAAGTATAAGGAAGTTGTCTAAAAGGTGGAAAAGTTGCTAATTGCTTGGAACAGGATTGTGACCAACGCGGCTCCAATGGCTACTTGGTTTGCATACTGTGCTGCATGCAACCCGTCTCGTCTAGCCGAGTACCGTGACGCCGCCACGCTTTTCATGCTTTCTCCCTCAATCGTCTCAGGCTCGGTTTCAACGCCTCATTTTGATCTCCCAGCTCTCGTCGAGAACCCATTTGTTCGGTCCCTCTGGCTGGAAGCGTTGCGTTTAGGGACCATATCTGCAGCTGCACGAGTCGTAACCCGAGAAACCACCCTTGAAGGTTATCTTCTCCGAGCAGGCTCCGTCATCTTGATGCCAGTTCATTTGATGCATTCTGGTGTGGAATTCCCGGAGGCAAAGAAGTTCCAACCAGATCGATGGCTAGGTGTAGATGAAGAGACATTAAAACGGCAGAATATGGTGATGCGCCCCTTCGGAGGGGGCACAAGTTTGTGTTCTGGGAGATTTGTGGCGGAGATGGAGATTGTTGGCGTTGTGAGTGTGCTGCTGGAGATGCTCGATGTGAAATTTGAAGAAACTCTTTCTGAGAATCACTGGGAATTCAATCCCAGAAGTATCGGCGTCATGGCGCCAAAGAAGAGCGTTCCAGTCTGGATAAGGCGAAGAGAAAAGATGTAGACATTCCCACTCTTGAACCTTTTAACTTCATTACTTTGTTCATTACTATAGTAGATTGATTAGATTATCATGCTCTCTTTCTCACAAAATTGAGAATAGAAGGGAATTTCTAAGTGGCTTTGTGCTATAAGGGTTGGAAAATAAGTTTACAACATTGATGTTCGGCATCGTTATCGAAGTTAAAAAAGTGGAGTCTACATACTACCCGTAAGACGCGCTTTGCCGGCAAGCCTGGCTGAGCCGCTGACCAGGTACAATATGTAGTGCCGGAAGCAGCTGGATAATAATTGCAGGGTCAACGGGTTGCCCAGCCTTACCCTTGCTTCTCTTTGTAGAATGAAGTTGACGATCTACCCACGTGACGTGCACGTAGGTATTTATTCCGTGTTGCCGCGGTGAACCTCTCACATAAGGAGCTTCGCGATCCCCAGAAAAAATATCAAATTATCATCTGGGTGCTATTCCTCCAATCGCGATTCGTCGCTTGGCTCAAACATGCAATTTATTGCCGCAATATTTTGCATACTTCTCGCCGTCCTCGGCTTCAAATCATTACACCTCTTCGCGACATCCAATGGATTGTTGGGACACCTGGAGCGCATAATCACGAATAAGTCTACCCCGGCGGGAAACCCGCTACGTAATTTGACCACTGGCGGTCGTTTCCCACGGATCGATCTTCAGCTCAATGCGGTTGCTACGTTCCTTCTACTCTCCTGTGAAGATTACTCGGAGCCGGACGTGAATCTTGTAGGCTTCTGGTTTGATCTATCATGGGGTCCTTCATGGATTTTGATTGTATTAGAGAGTTTCAGGGAGTACAGTCAAAGCCGACTGATGTCTTGGTAAGGAGAAAGAGTGCGCACCCAGTCTTCAATACGCTGTGCTAATCATTGCTGTTTATGACAACAGGATCGCAATCCCAGGGCTGTTCATATTCAATCAGTCACACGCCGTGTTTACTTCCCTTTATTTAGCAATTAGATTGCTCGTTGCAGTTCCAGCGACCACAGAAGAAAGCCTGATGATTGATGCCATCGACGTCCATGCGATTCCCTGGAGCTTCTTATTAGGTTATATCCTGCCAATATCTCTCATGGCGCTGCCTGGAGTATCCATTTACAATGTGAACACACAACACATGCTCGCATCATTTTATCAGCAGTGGCATCTTTACATTAGTATGGCGCATATCCTACTGGTGACATTATGGACCCATACCGGAACTATGAGCAGATTGGAGGACGAATATTTCAAGACCTCATTGTCCACCGTCCGGCCAATTTACGCTTTAGCCTTCACCATGGCTGTCATCTCAGTTTGGGTTCCGATCCTTGCCTCCTTCGCCATCCGTGCATTACAGCGGATCCGCAAAGCACATCCGTCTAGTCACAAGAACCTCCAGCTTTCCAGTATATTCATTCCACCTTCTCCGTGGAGCAATGTGAAATGCAAAAACGCATTCGAAGGAGGAAAATGGCTTCTACAATGGGACGGCATAGTTGGAGGACTCAGTACCGCAGTTTGGGCAATCGCTTTATACGCTGAAGCTCGCAGTGCGGCCGAGCCACAGGAGGCGTTGGGGTCATTTTACATGAGGCTTATGTGGTATATGGTCTTAGGTGGGCCAATTGGTGTTGCAACAGGAGCTTTGTGGGAAAGAGACACACTGGTGTTGAGCGGATCTAAACTTTTGATGGGTTAAAACACCAAGTAAACACTTTCTGTATAGCTAACATCGCTCACACTGCGATCTATCTCACTACCCGTTGATTTTGATAACATTGATTCACCTGTCGGCCCAAGAAGCACCGAATTACACGTAACAGCATTTTTAGCATACATCCACGCCGTGGATCGGGACAAACCAAGCAGAGCGTGCTTGGAAGCGGTGTAGGCGGCGCCACAAGCAGCCCCTCCGTATCGAGACTGTTGAGCAAACCTTGACGATACGACCACCCGATGGCTATGACAAAAAGGACATTATGCAAGCGTGCCTGAGATACATCAGCCCATCGACGTTGACAGAAAGCTGTAATACCAATCAACGGTCGTGGTGATCCCGACTAGGACTAGAAAATTCAAAATGTTGTTTATAACGAATCAAAGAGTCTCCTATTGGCTTCCGATACATCTCGGAAAAATGATGCTGAAGGCCCCAGTCACGATAGCGACCTTTGACTGACGTGGCCAGATAGATCTTTTTCAAAACGACTACCTAGGTAGCGACATGCTGAATTTTCCTGGCGGAGTTGCATTTTGATGCAGCGGTCTGCTTCGGGATTGGATGCTCCGCAGCTGCCGCCGAAAAGAGAGCATATTATGGGGACAAGGAAAACCGAATGAATGGCGTATCCAGGAGCTTTTGCGAGTCTAATGCAGCGCACTGACTTAAAGACGCTAGATGCTGTGAGTAATTCACTTGTGGAGGAAACGTCTTTTACCGGCTCTACTACTAATCGGGCCGAACAGCTATACGAATACCTCGAGGCCATTCCCTGAATGTTATAAATGGGATCCTTGTAAGCACGCGAGCTGGTTTTCGTGACGTGCGTAGTACATGAGACTAGGCTTTCAAGCCTTGTTGGCATTAAGCCATTTAGATCCTTGCCAAAATGCTTGAAGTGGGGTAATTGATCCGATACAGTTTCCTTTTTAAGTTTCGGATAGTAGTTAACTCGGAAGCGTATCATCGCACGTGGCATGTTCATGCAATTCATTAATGTATATTAACGTTCTATTCCTGACTTCCGGAATATGTTCGGGCGGACAAAGCGCTCAATAGTCTAGTAGAGTGATCGCGTATTCTCTAGGTTGCACTTTGCATGGCCAATTGATTGAACGAGACTACCCTAACACTACAAGTTTGGTGCCAATCGATACAAGCGACCCTCCCATGGCTGCAATGTAACTTCATTCAAGCCAGTCTCCGCCGACGTCGCAGCTGTCGTGCAAACGAGATGCATTAGATCTTTCCCGATTTGCCTCGGAGCCCGGGCCTCCTCGCTCGAGAAGTTCAATGCCACTAACATCTCGGTCTCTCCATCAGTACTTGTTTTCGTATACGAGAACACACTGGGGTTTTCTCTGTCAACAAGACGAAAAAACCCGCAACCCAACACATGATACATCTCTTTCCTCATCTGCATCATCTTTACCCAGAAAGAACGTATGCTATTCGGGTTTCCAAGCTGCTCCTCGACATTTATATGAGTGTAATTGTCGATGACCCTAATCCAGGGTTTCACGTCACTAAACCCCGCATGCTCTTTGTCTGACCACTGGACTGGTGTTCTTCCGTTATCTCGCCCCCAGGTGGTAAGCGCATCAATTGACTTCTCCACCGCCTCAGCGTCTTTGGTTGGATCAATATCTTCGATGTGTTCAAGGTCGGCGTTGTCTTTGAAGTCCTCCCGCCCCCAATGTGATGGGACGTTGGTCATTCCAATCTCCTGACCCTGGTAGATGAAAAAGGTTCCGGAAAGGGTTGCAGCCATGAGAGCAAGCATCCTTGCAGCAGCTTCGCGATAGACTCCCTCACCCGGCCCAAAACGGGATACGCTGCGAGCGAAATCGTGGTTCTCGAGGAATGCAGTAGGCCAGCCTCCATCGTCAAGAAGGCTCTGCGTCTTCAGGACGGCATCTTTGAATAATGGTAGCTCTGGCTTTTTCAGCTCGTGCAGACCATCTGTCCACTCATTCCCCACGATGAAGATGTCTGTATCGAGAGCCATCTCTAGTTCTTTCGATTCAGGAGATATGTATCGTAGGAATGTCTCTCGGTCCGTCGAGGGGAGTTCCCCAATTAACACGATGTCCTCTCCAAAGTCCTGCCCAATTCTTTCCTTCAACTCCTTCAACCAGATATGAACTTTTTCACCATTCAGACACCGCGATCCGTCAAGCGGTTGCAATGCTTCTCCAGGATAAACTTCTTTTGCATCAGGGAAGGTTGGATCTTTCCAGTATAACCCAACCAAATCCATCCGGAACCCATCGACACCTCTCTGTAACCAAAATTTCACAGCGCTGTCATATACTGCGCGTCTCAAGTCGTCGCAGAACCAATTCAAGTTTGGTTGATAAGTGGTTCCAAAGCAGAAATAGTATTGATCTCTTGCTTCGACGTACTTCCATGTACTCTTTCCATACCGTGACCCGGTGCGCCAATTATTTGGCGGTTGTCGATTACCTTCGCTATCATATTTTGGATCCCGCCAGATATAAAAATCACTGTATGGCCCTGACCGAGATTTGCAACTCTCCAGGAACCAGTGGTGTTGGTCAGATGAATGATTTGTGACCATATCCATGACAATTTTGATGTTTCGTTTCTTGGCCTCTTTGATGAGGTTTTCCATGTCGGCAATGGTGCCGTATTGTGGGTGAACGGATTCGTAGTCGGAGACATCATATCCCATATCTCTGTTGGGCGAATCATACACAGGAGAAAACCAGATGAGATCGACTTCCAGCGATCGGAGATAGTCGAGATTGCTGATAACTCCATTGAGGTCGCCTATGCCGTCACTATTCGAATCTTTGAAAGATGCCGGCCATATTTGGTAACCAATGGCGGTTTGCCACCAAGGTCGTGAATCTTGTGCCATGGTGAATATGGAGATTTTGGAATAGAGCCGGGCGTTCTGTTATAGCAGGTCCGGCCAAATTGGTGAAGTTTATGACGTACGGGAGTATACGTATTCCATGTGATATTTTGCAAGATCCCTGAGAAAGGCTACCCGGTAGTCGGACCGCTGCCTATTAAACGACCGGAAAAACGATTATGGAATGTTTTCTGTTCGGATTAGCAGCACCTGATGTCTTGCAGAACATCCGGCTGTATTTGGCTGCTGGTAAGCTCCTGCAAGCGCCCGCCAGAAGCCGAGAATCTGGAACTGGACAATCTTCAAACCACAAAATTTCTGCAAATATGATGGGTTTTTGATGCTCTTTTTGCATAGAGTTGAGTACTGATGCTGGAGGAACCATCCTCTACATATTCCATGCCTATGAGTTTCAATCGTGTTGATGCCGATAGGGGATTGCATCGGCACAACATTGTAGCATTTCCAAGTTTTCTACTAACATTAGAGAGCTTTCATTGTCGTGTCATGTCATTCATGCTTCTCTGCCACCGACTCCTCAGTCCAAGCTTGTGAGGGTCTGTCTAGTGCCAGACCGTTGGTCAGGTGTCATTTCGTCCTGTCGGCAGAACCACATACGACATCAGCTGCGGTGAGGAGAAACCGGGGTCTCCAGTTTCAGCATTGCTAGTGTGCAGGGTTACAGTAGCGATGCAAGCATGAATGCGCCACCACGCGATTGACCCACAAACGGTAAGTGTTGGTTGTGGAGCTCGATTCGGGCCTATATAATAGGCGCTTGAAGCGGAGCCAAGAACAACAATGTATCCGGGGCATTTGCGACATTTTTCTGCTTTAGTGATAAACGGCATGTCATTGGTGCTATTTTCCCCCTGCCCACCGTTAACACCCTAGTCGAATGGCTCCACAGTAACTATAGACGCACGTATTCATCCCATGTAGTAAAAATGGAGCTAAGAATTTTCACACTAGTAACGTCTCGATTCTTGTGACCGGCCACGAGAAGAGGTGTGCCAGATAGTTAGGTGTGTTCATTGTCGGTGTACTGCGCCAAGCTAGCGTCAAATGTCATTGCTAAACCTCTTGAGTAAGTTATCGCCACATCCTAGGAGGGATTTGAATCCTTCGTCTGTATTCTGGAGATGGGATCGGAGTGTGTCTTTCTCTGTGACAGAGCTTGAGTCAGAGAAGCTATTCGGTTGGAGGAACAAGCAGTAGTTTACCCCAGAACATCATACGTTTAGATGATAGCTTGGAGTTCAGAAATAATTTTTCATTTGTATTGTTCTATGATATGTGAACTGCATTGAGACTGGTTCCTACGTGCTTACTTTTGCTATGATATGCCTCTATTGACAAAGTTGTGTGACCGGGTCTTTTCTACATAGTGCTCTCGGTTTTTCCCAAAAGAAGAATAGTAGAGGGCTTCAGGAGCCCGTTTTGCGAATTAATCTCTACGCAAGTCTGGGGGAGCAAGGCAAAGCTGGCAAGACACAAGTGGAGGCACCCCCGAGACAAGTAACCCACCTTTTCTCGACTCAGTCCTTGTCAATGCCCAGGCTGAACTAATTGCCACCCCTGACGCCGCAAACGGAGTCTTTGCTCGTGTTTAGAAATCGTCGCCCAGCAGGGTTTAAAAGGTACATGGTATAATACCATGCAACCTGAGGAAACTCACTTCCACGGGATATCCCGCCACTTAACTTGTTCAGTGCTCAACTTGTTCAGTAGTTAATTTGCATAGTGCTCAGCTTGCTCAGTTAATCAGTTTATTCCTTTAGCTCGATTATCCCATCAAACAGTCTACTACTTCACATTTCTGTAATCGAGTGATTAATCATGAAGATTCTTTGTCTCCACGGACGAGGCTCTAACAATGAGGTTAGCAAGATGTCAAATCCCCTTGCGAATTTCCCTCTTTCTGATTACATCCCTAGATTTTCCGCATGCAAACAGCTCCTATCCGTGCAGCACTAGAAGATTTTGAGTGGGTCTTCGTCCAAGGCACTGTCCGCCACACTGAAGGTAAGAGATACGAAACTACTACTTAGAAGAACATTACTAACATGTTCGATACTTGTAACAGGAAACTGGTCTCTACACACATCCGACTTTTCCAAACTCCCTCTATACACATACTATAACCCTTTCGATCCCCAATCTATAATACAAACCCATGAAGAGCTCCTCCACATCATACGGAGCCATGGTCCCTTCGATGGTGTTTTCGCCTACTCTGGCGGAGCAGCACTAGCGGCTGAGCTCCTCATTGAAGCTGCTCGTTCCGAATCAGCTGTCGAGCCTCTATTTCGTTTCGCCGTCTTCGTGAACGGGGCATCGCCATTACGTGTCTTCGAAGTTGACGATGTCGACACGGTGAGCGGCCATGTTGACGTCTCGCAAACATTTCAACAAGCAAAAGAAATGTTTCTCCGACCTAGCGCGCTGCGACACAAGCCTGGTGTCAGCGAAGAGGATCAGGTGGATCATAAGAAGTTGCTCGAACTGTTGAGCAGATTAGAAGGGAAGATGATGTCAGATGGCACTGCTTTTCTGAGCGATGGTACTTATGGACTGTGTCGGTGGGAGCGAATCAAGTTGCAACCTGCATTGATTGAGATTCCGACTCTCCATGTGAGGAGCACGGCGGAAGATCACGCGGACCCGCATCATGGAAAACATTTGGTTGAGCTGTGTGACCAGTTTGATGTAGAGGAGATTCATCACGAATTTGGACACGATTTTCCTAGGGGGAGACAGTTGATGAAGCAGATAGCGGATGCGATCAGAGAAATGGCTGAGTTGGCGTAATAGGGGTGGTCTAGGCAACACAATACCTTTTATTCTAGCAATTTATACCCCTTACCATTCGCAAAGCTTGTGCAACTCAGGTGTTAGTGCGGGTACAGTATCAGACTAAGACAACTGGACGTAGTATCTTTTGAAATCGTAAATAAAACTTAGGCTCTCAGTTGGAGGTAGGCGTTCAAGAGATCGGAGTTCTCCAGCTACTATTGTTCCAGACGCTCAGTATCATCCTCATTCATCAAACGCTGCGAGGCTGTCGCGCCCCCTTTCGACTGAGGGCTTGTCTCATTGTCCAAGTGGCTGTTAGCGTACGGTCTATCCAGAGCTACAGTTATTACCCTGTGTGCATCGTTCTTCGCCCATGCTTTCTGCAAAGACTGCTGTGGGCTGACATCTGGATATAAAAGCGCTGTAAGATTGCGTCCCAACGAGGTTTGATTGAGGAACCATCTCATCCGATTCAACCCAGTGCGCTGTAGAAGCAGTAGTATGGCTGTAGCGACACTTATGATAAGTGTCAGCAACAGTAACAACATTGCTGGTATCGCGTAGACAATATGGTACCTCGTGCTTCGTTGCAGCAGAGTGACGTTGGGTACTTCACGCGGACTGGTCTGATCTTGAGATCCAAATGTGGCTGAACCCGGCGACTTGGACGACCAAGATCGAGTACCAACTACAGCGTTTGCAGCAATGTCTGTCCATATCAGGTTGATAATGTCTGCAGACCGAGTAGCTGTCCGTCCAAGTTCAAGCCATCTTTGATATAGGGCGAATTGGCCATGCCCTGAGTAGTCATGGGTCTCTACAGATGGAATTACTGTGCTGCTTAGTAGGTCTGCATAGATATACTGCATGATGGTGCGGTAAAAGTTTACTCCCGGTATGTTCATCGTGGAGTCTACAACTGAGGACAAAAGGCTCTTAGTATATCCAGGAAGCCATAGTGACTCCTTGTGAATAATTGAGATGTTAGACTTTTCTGCGAACGCCGGGCTTAATAGACCCCAAAGTGGTGTTATATCCCTATAAGTGATGCCAGAGTCTTCCACTCCCCAGATCGGCATGGATAATGTATTGGAATAGGTCTTTTCCGTCACATTGATGACATGCAGATCTGATAACCCTCCGGTACCATTATAGAGAAATGTAACAGCCTTGATAGTAGCCCGGGAAGCCGATGCACAGGTATCAATTGGTTGTGTCCATGCGTCTCCAGGCTTGCCACGATCGAAAGGGTTCAGATCTCACCCTATAGGCCTCGGCGGAGGGTAAAGGGTACCCGTGGCTATCGCAATATTTGAAATGTTTGCTAAAGACCATGTACCTACGCGTCTTGAGCAATATAATCTTGTGTAATAGATTAGGACGTGCGCTTCTTCTGAGTGAAGTGGGAGTATGTACATACCGAAGTATTTGAAAGCATCCGTTGTGACATTATGGGGATTTGTATAGATCTGGTTATGGCTCAAAAAGAAAGTGTGGTTGTCGGCGATGTCTGCGGCCGAAGGAGGGAGATCTAAATGTTGACCAAGCCTATGAGCAATTCTCCTTGGTTTCGGGATGGAACTAGCCACTTTCCCACCACTTCCGCTGAATGAAGCTCTGTTCGACTCATCTTCAAGAAGGTATGATGTCCCGACTGGTACCTGTTCGTACATCCTGAATTCTCCCAGACCGCGCTCTTTGTTCGTCAAATTCATATAGATCATGGTCAATGCGTTGCTAAACCCAGCTGCATAGAGTGCTTTAGCGTGGAGATAGATGCGGTCTTGTGAGCTGTTCATGGTTTGAATGCCTTCCAGAATAACTGTACTATTCAAATTCGCAAACCTGCCACGATCTGTCAGTCGTAGGATGTCACCAGATACCAATGTATGGAGTGTATCGTCTTCTTTGAGATCGCAATCAATCGTTAAATTGTTATCAACGCAACTTGTTTCGGGCACAACGAACAGGATATCTTCTGTCCATATGACTTCATGAGGAAGCTGAGAGGGAATAGTGTGATTACGAAAACCAATTCCACCGCTTTCTAAATCGGCCACCAGCCCTTCGATGATCTTGAATCCATTCCTTGGAAGTAAGCCTTGTATCTGTCGGTATCCTCCCACTAAGTATGGTGATCCGTTGTCGTAGTACTGCCCAGTAGATGAAGAGGTATCATTGTAGCTAGCAAACATGCTTGATAGATTCTGCTGTCTGGTCTCATAGGAACGCCACTGGATATCGAACATACTGGACACACTCCTTTCCATTGCGTCTAGGCCACTTGCCCATAGGTTCTGTGTCTCAAAAGAGATGTTGGTGTAGTAGTAGCCATCTATCCAGTTCAAGTTGAGAGTAAAATTATTGGGATCAGTGTAGAGTTCTCGGATGACAGAGAAGTTTGAGCCGGGACAACTCATCGATCCTTCCGGGCTTCCACAGATACGATTGAAGCCCATATCACTCCTAGGAAGACTTCCGTACCCGAAGGGTGTCAGATCTTGCGCATAACTGAAAGGCACCCTTTGAGGTTTGCTGGACACAGTTGCATCATAAAGACCAAGGGGCGTGACGACGGCAGTCACAGCGACTAGAAATGTTGTGAAGATGCCCAAGTAGACTGCGGCGACAACTGCAGGGTTCACATTCGTACTCGCTGACAAATCCGGGCTAAGAATCGTTGGCCAGTATGTTGAGTGGAGGGTTCGACTAAGCGCAGACCATGTGACAGCGGTCTGATGTACTTGATCGTACCGCCTGTTGATGAAAGCAATGAGGATGAGCGGTATCGCTAGTGGTAACAGGAGTTGTACTTTCCAGGTAGTTAATGACTAGCAAGTAGCTGCGTACATTGAGTTTGACTTACGTGCAGTGGTACCTGCGGCAACCAGCGCAGAGACTTGACCAATAGACAGCAATGCCATTGTGACAGCAACACGGATTGATAGCAAAGCCTTTCTTGTGTCGCAAGTTGGGGTCGTTGTGGTTCGGAGGCAGACAATAACAGATGTTGCTTATGTTCCAAGGTTTGCATCAATCCTGCCCAGGTGATATCCTCTTCACCTATACGAAGAAGTTCTAAGGGGCGGTACATGTAGCTAAGGCTCCCACGGAAGGCAGACCAGCTACAGCCACCTCTGCCATGTCGTAACCTAAACACAAGCAGTCGTTTTACTATCTTGCACTTGGACCAATGGATGAAGAGAGCTCGCAGACAACATGAGCCCGCATTTGCTCATAGTTCAAGATTTAGTCGAATCAGTTGGGCCGGATTCCTGACCCCCAGGCTGGAAGTGGCATGATTTGTGACCATTGCAGCCGCCGAATGGAGGCTGTGAAGATAGTGTCTCGGCACCGTTCAGCTGGTAGAGGTTTGGACCAATTACATAGAGGTGCACCCACGGAAACAGCGTACATTTTGCCTTTGCTTTGCCTCAATCAACGAGTTGAGTCATTTTCAAAGAAGATCCAGTCAAAAAACGTCCACGCCAACTCGTTTACCTGCTATTTTATCTCAACAAACACGTGACAATTACTTTACTTGCTTTTAGACGATCTTCTCGATTTCGTATAACTATGACATGCACTGTATCGGGCAAAACAAGTCAAAGTTGCATTATACAATGGAAAAAAGAAAAGTTCCTTTACCACATAATTGATCGTCAAACCGAAACTTCATAGCAAGAAGCTTGACCAAAACGAGAACGCCTACTACCCATTCGAACTCCAAAAAAAACACCCCCGTATATTATTTCTTTACAACAACCCAAAAACAGGATCCAACCACCTGTCAATAACATAGACGCACGCATTTCCCATGCACTTCGGCTCTCCCTTCACAGCCGCATTATTCACACTCGTAACAGCCCCATCGCCATCTCTTCTCACAGCCGCCGGAAACCCAACAATCGACTTTTCACTACCAACCAACGTCGTATCTATGAATGGATACTCAAGCAAGTACGAAGTAAATGGCTGATTGCTAGGTTGAATAGCCTTGGCACCTTGCCCGACAGCCGCAAGAGCCGCGTTGCTCGGGGCGAAGATGGAGATGTACTTGCCAGCAGGCAGAGATGAGTCTAGAAAGTTGAAGAAAGCCGGGGATGTTGCGTTCAAGAGATCTACGTATGTCGAGAGGTCTGGCAAAGAAGATAGGACCGATGCGATAGTTCCCGAGGGTCGCAACTCGTACTCTAAGATTTTTTTGGCTTGTCGACGTCTAGCGGATGCGATGGCAGATCCGTTCTTGTTCACATCGGTTCCGAAGATCGATACCAAGGGGTCGATTATTGAGGTGATTTTAAAGATTGCTCCGTTTCCAACAGTAGTGCCATGCGCAGAAACTAGTTTGGCTTGGTTGTTGATTGTGATGGTGTTACCCTCAGACGCAAACTTGAGAGGTATGCCTTCGATGCTTATAACGGGCTTTTCCGAATTGCGGACTTCCTCTGTTGTCACTAATCCTTCTGCGATGTGAGTCCTCAGAATGGCTTCGAGGAGCACATATGATGCAGGTGCGGTCAAAGCTGCTGCTAGTCCCGGTTGCAGCGCCTCAAATGCCTGTATCGTTTAGTGATCCACCAGGGTTAAGATATGTCACTGTCGCTACATACAGAATTGATAGGTGCAAAAGCCGTGTACTTCCGTCCATCCGCGAGGATATTGAAGCGCTCTTCGAACGGCGGGCCAGGAATACCGCCAGTACCTCCCGTACTGTTGATAAGGCTGTAGAAAGTAGAAAGTTCTGGATCCTTGGATATTGCAGTCAGGAGGGGTAGCGTATCTACGGTAGCTCGTTCGATTATGGAGGAAGACGCGAGGGCTGCCAGCAAAGCCACTAGACATATCCGTTTGAACAGCATCATGGTGTGTTGACCTTAAACTTCAAATCAGATCTAGAGATTGTTATCTCCTTGAATTGGTTGCCTTAGGGCTAAGTTGAAGCTATGATCGAGGCAGTGTAGGTTGTAATTCAAGTCTCCATCCCCGCTCATGTTATACATAAGTACGTTGGACGGGCTTCGGGCAAGCACATCGGCCCTTCCAGAAGCTGTGTGCTTCCTTGGCGATGCATAAAGGATGGCCCCACCCTATATTCGCCAAAGAAACATGCAGTCAGTAGGGACTATTTCGTTCGTTTCATAATTTACAGTCCGCGGTAATAAGGGGCAAAACTGGGTCGACAACAGGACTAAACGCATTAGCATTATCCACTGTCTTTGTGGCGCCTCCATAGCAGTTCGTTCAGTGTTTTCCGCGGATGAAATATCACTGTGGTGAGGGTATCCCATCTCTGCAATCTCGGGGATACTCAATCGTCGAATAAGGTTTCCCACTCGAACGAATAGAGTTCATTGTGATAAACTGTGGTACGCAGAGCAACCAATGGCGTACAACAGTGACAGGGATCTAGGATTGTTGATTATTTTAAAAAAAAAAACATGATTACAATAACAATTGAATCTGCCGTTAACAGTGGAGAGATCATATGTCGTCAGACGGAACGGGTCTAAAGTAGCCAATCAAGAGTGAGTGCCGATCGGAGTTTGACGGAAGGCAGACATTCAGTTGCATAGGACGCGACCTGATCATGAGACTTCCACTAAACACTGTTGGTAAAATAAGAAAGAATTAAGTCAAGGCTAGGTGAAATGAGTGACAGAAACGTTGTGTGAATTACAGGGCCTAGAGCTGAGAAGTAGGTTTAACCCAGTGACAGGCCAAGGGTTACTTCCACTAGATATGACATCATCAGCTAATTACCACATTCACATGCTAAAATTTACATGATGAAACCTAGCGGATATCCCGCCTTGCGTAATTGCCAGTGTCTCCCTAACTAACCCGAAAGCCAGGCCTACCCACAACTCAGTGTTGATGACTCTTGCTTATCGCGCTCTCGCCCAGTGTAACAAAACTTCTCAAACCCTTCCTCAGCGACTCGGCCACCTTTTTAAAATGCTCTTCTGTCATAGATGAAGGCGGCTTCAGAAGCATGCAATGCTTATTGGTACTCGCCCTGAGCACAATACCGTATTCTAGAAGTACCTTTTGTTCAATATCCGTTGCGATATCAGAAATGAGATCGATCCCAATCATGATACCAGTTCCACGAACTTGCTGAATGGTATGCAGCCCCTCGAGCTCTGACTTGAGGATATCGAGAAACTCCCTGCGGCGCTTTGCACACAGCTCGATCAAGTTCTCCCGGTCGATAATGTCGAGTGCGCGGAGAGCGACAACAGAGCAAACTGGATGACCTGACCAAGTGTAGTCGTGCTGTCAGACATCCGAAAGCATCGTCTTAGTGCTGATGTTGTTGAATGCCGTTTTCCAAATGTCGTTGCGGTAAATCACAGCTCCAGCAGGGAGATAGCCGCATGTAGGACCCTTGCTGATGACCATGATATCTGGCACACGCCGTACAACTCCATACCGAACCAGTGCCCCGTCTTGGCAAACGACATGATCTCATCTGCAATCATCAAGATGCCGTACTTTCTGCAAATTCGCTCCACGAGTAGAAAGAAGTCGCGATGCATGTCGATAGCGCCACCGTCGCCTTGAACGGGCTCAAACACGAAGGCGGCAACGGTATCGGCGCCTTCTTGGAGAATCCGTTCTTCCAGTTCCCGTGCTGTTCCAGCATCAGCAGCATGCCAAAGGAACTCACATAAAAATATCACTTACCAGCCGCCTGTCCAACATTCTCTCCATGCTTCAACTTGCTCCTTTCAAAGAACAGCTCATGCGGCAGATCAATATTGCAAAACATCCTATGCGAGCTGCTCTCATAGAAATCGCGGCCATAGCCCTCCATCCACCTCTTCCATCCATAGTCAGAAAACTCGGGCTTCATAGATACAGGAATAAATGTGCTGCCATGGTAGCAATTGCGGAAAGAGATTAGTTTCTACTTCTTGTAGCCTCCGCCATAGCTAGTACCTAGAAGCCCAGACTTATTCCAATAGCGCAAAATAAGATGATACGCAGCTTCTATGCCCTCGCTGTCGCCAGTAGTAAGGTACACGCTGGAGCAGTCATTTTATCTGGAAAAGCTTGAGCCACGAGGCCGGAAAGGCGTTCGCAGAGTTTAACTGCATTGTTATTGGTCAGATTACGTTGGTTGGAAGAGACTTCCAGCTTCGTCATCTTTGCGTCCGCGTTAGTTTGGCCGTCAGAAACAAAGTAGTATCTGACCAACCTGCTCAAAAGCAACTTGCGCGAAGTCCTTGCGACCGTAGCCAAGATAGGCGACGACAATGCCCCCTATGGCATCCAGATACCTTTTTCCCATGACATCTTTCAAGAAGGCCCCGTCGCCTGAATCGAAGACGACGAGCTGTCTTGGTCCCTTTTGCATGAGGTGATCAAAGCCGTGCATTTGATGCGCCTCGTTGGAGGCTTTGAGGTCTTCTTATGTGGCAGTCTCCTTACCCCCTTGTCCTAGGGTCATCTTCTCCCCATCTTAGAGAGTTATTTGGTCGTAGGAAGACATGACAGTTGTGAGTGAGAAGGGTCGGGAAGACAGCGGAGGAGTCGTGAATGTTTGAAGCGACGATGGCAAGGGGCGACGGATACGGAAGGAGAATATAGTGAAAGAGGATGCTTCCAGCTTTGATGTGGAGTAAGCAACACATGTATCATTTAACAAATGAGGTGGGGAAATATAATAAGAGACATGTCATTTGGATGTCAGCTGAAGACCTCGGAGTCATGCATGCACCATCGTGAGACATGCAGGTAAACAACTCTGAAATTCATCATATCGTCATTCTGAGAGAATAATTAAAAACAATAAATATCGAAAACTCCACTTGCTTAAAGTTCCTTCAGCTCTGGGGTGCCAGCAGTCCGCGGCTCCGAGAATTTGGTTTCAACGAAACACTTGAGTAAGCCATCCTGGCGCTTCTCCTGTAGGTAGTATGCCTTTGCAATGTCCTCAATCTTGAGGCGATGGGTCACCATGAATGTCGGATCAACCTCGCCCTTTTCCAGCATTTCGAGAATTTCCTTCCAATCTGTTGCATGTCAGTAAACAAGCCCGCGCCTTTCGACGTGACATCCTTACATTTCTGAACAGGACACTGTCCGCATCCAATTAGTCGTATACCGCGTTCCATAACCGCGCCGATATTGAAGTGGTTCGTAACTGTAGCACAATGAGTCCAAGTCCACGACCAACTATGATTCGACAACTTACATCCAACGTAATCTCCAATGATACCGACTCGGCCAAACTTCCTGGTTGAGTAAATGCACTCGTTGATCATCTCGGATGTGTCCTGTTCCATTCCAGACATCAACTCAAGCTTGTGTGTCCAAGTCTTTGCATACTCTCCGCCGCTGGCCTCGATGCAAGCATCGACACCTCCGGGGACCATCTCATGAATTTTGGCAGGAATGGACTGCTTCTTAAGCTCTTGATAGTTGATAGTCTCCAGTCCCGGGATCTTTTGCTTTGCAAATTCAGTGCGCCAATTGTTGTCGATGCCAATGACGCGCTTCGCGCCCTTCTTGAATGCCCACACACATGCCATGAGACCAATAGGCCCAAGACCCCAGATGGCAACGCTATCACCTTCAAACACACCTGTGTCACATACACTGTGATAGGAAGTCGGGAGTACGTCAGAGAGATAAAGACCTTCTTGTTGTCAGCATCGTCCACTCATAAACCCAACTAAACAACTTGCCCTTCTCAAACGGAACACTGTCCGGCAACTTCAGAAGATTCTGATCGCCAAACGGCACCCTCACATACTCCGCCTGCCCACCCGCATATCCGCCAACAAAATGCGAATACCCAAATATACCCCCCATCTTCTCGCCATACAGCATCTGATGGACGGTAGATGCATTCGTCTTGTCGCAAGCCGTCGTAAGATTCTGCTTGCAGAACCTACACTCACCGCACGAGACAACGAAACTGTTCACAACGCGATCTCCGACTTTTCGCTCGGTAACTTTAGACCCAACCTGCTCGACGACACCGCAGAATTCGTGGCCGAGGATGTCTCCCTTTTCCGTCTGGATAATGACGCCGTGCAGGAGATGCACGTCACTTCCGCAGACAGTGGAGCCAGTGACTCGTACAAGCACATCGTGGTCCTCGATGAGCTTGGGCTTGCTGACGTCCTCTATGCGGGAATAATTAGTTGAAGCATCATGGGAGTCTCGGGCTGGATGCGCATACGAACACGCACGTCATTCTTTCCCATCCACACCAGCGCCTTCATCTTCTCGCCAGACGGTTCCGCATACTTCTGGCCATCAAGACCCGGGTTGGAGATATCGGCTTGTGTTGTGGCACTCTGCTGGTTGTGACCAAGGACCTTTTCAGCCTGCTTTGCTGCAAAGTTTTCCGCCATGATTGTTTTCCGTGTTATTCCAAGAATACAAGAGTTGAGATTTCTATTCCATGTCTGCAGCATCTTTTTATCATTACTTTACTCTGCCAGTATAACACAACCTTGCAATAAGTTCATCGTGACGCTCCTATGACGAAGCCAACATCGACAGCTGTTCTGAGCAGCGGATGCACTCAGTCGCAACATTCTACATCCCCAATTTCACCGCGTGACGTCAAAATGAAAGAAACATCTGGGTTTCATTACCACCACGCGACGTAAGGTCGAATACCTCACCCTACACTCTCACCACAACCTTTCACCATCTCAAGCCTCCAAACACCACAAACATCCCACATACCCCAAAGAAAAATGCCACAATACCACCACCCTGGGGGCACCGTCTCCTACCCGGACGCAAAATCCCTCTACCCCTCCGTCCCTAGAGTTAGTTTCGGCCGCGCCGTCGCCATCGGTCTCTCCGCCGGCTTCCTCGGTGCCCTCGTGTACACTCCATCCCTAACCTGTCCCCCTTATCAACCCCCCACAAACTAACCAACCAACCCCCAGCATGTCCGGCACCAACAAACTCGAACAACTCCTCACCCACCGCCCCAACTCCTACGTTCCCGCGCGTACAATCGGCAACCACCTGGGCGTCAGCGCCTCCTTCTACGAGCGCAACACCAACCTGCTCAACCACGTGCACCACTTCGGGATGGGCATTCTCACCGGGCCCGTAAGAGCGGTGATGTCGTACTACGGGGTGATTGGCCCGTTTGCGGCGTTTGTACATACGGGGATAAGGATGATGATGGATCAGAGTGTGGAGTTGGCGGCAGGAACGAGCGCGGTGCCGTGGAGTTGGCCGATTAATGAGCAGGTGGTTGATGTGCTGCATAAGGGGGTTTATGCAGTGGTTACGGGGTATGTTTGTGATCGGTTGGTTAGGGGGGTGGACTGGTTTGGTCGGGATTGAGGAGTTGGTGTGTGTAGGTGGACGGCGAGGAGGTTTGAGAGAATGAAAGGATACTTGAGGAAAAACATTAAATATGGTTTTACGATTCTTTGCATATTGTATTGTACATCTAACTCCAACAAAATTTTCGACTGTTAAACTCGTAACTTAAGCATTCTTGTCCATCCTCGCCTTCCCCCTCTCCTCCTTGTTCTCCGGCCCCGGCCGATCCGTCGAAACAGTCCCCTTGAGCTTCGCCGTCTCCGCTACACCTTCGCCCTTCTTACTCTTCTCAGGCTGGTGCGACACCTGCGACGTATGATGCGTATCTGCATTCGACAGGCCCTCTTGTTTGCCAGACATGTGGTTCATGCTTGTTGGTTTGCCGCGGGGATCGGGCTGTTGTTATATTAGCAATCTTGATACATCGAAGAAGAGGGAGAAAGAACGAAAGAAGGCTAGGCATTCGGGTAAAAGGTAGGTGTAAGCAGACGAACCTTGTCATATAAATCAGGCGTCACAGCACCTGGGTCTCCAGACTTTTTGGAATCACGTGGCCCGTGGCCTATGAGACCGCCTTCTTCGTCGGGGTCAGGGCGACCGGCGCCAGGTTGACTGGAATCTGGTTTTTCTTCTATCTTCTTCTGGCCTAGTTTTTCGCCGCTTTTGCCATTCTGAGTCCCGGGTGCAAAGTCATTGTCTGCTTAATCCATTAGCTTCGGTTCAGTGGGAGTGTTGGGAGATTTATCTGACCTTTTGAGGGCGTAGTGTTGCCCTGATTGTTGGAGGCGGTCTCACCCACGTTGGTGTGTTGCGCTTTTGCTTGCTTGCTGTCGGCGTGGGATGTGTCTTGCTTTGTAACGAGATAAAGACCCCCAGCGGTACCAACAGCGGCGGCTGCCATCCTGCAGGTACATTGTTACTTCAAGTTCGGTTTGACATTTCAAGGGTTTTTTTAAACGTACCATGGGACGTTGCTTGTATTCATTTTGGCAGGCAGGCCACGCGCGCTGGCATACGTCCGACCTTGGACTTGGACTGCATTTCGCAATGGGTGGAGCCTGGAAGCTACGCGCAGCGTGGTTGATCGAAGTAAAGACATTGTGGATTGGAAATTAAGGATTGAGATGATTGAGACATGATGGAATCTCAGACAGCGGTTTTGATGATATCTATGCGCTTGGTGTTGCTAACACGGACATATCGTCAGAGCGCAATAGTTGGTGCGTCACACGGGTAATCCCAACGTAGTGTAAGCGTCACTGAAGCACATCACTATGCGATTCCTAATCCGAGGACACTCAAATATTGTCTCTCTCATATAGCTTAAACTTCAAGAGGAGAACGCCTAATCTCTTTCGAGTTGCTCGGTATAAGGACAATCTGGTTAGGAATGGCGTCACCTCGACACCATTGTGATGTATGCTGCGCGTTGACCGGCATCCCATCCCATACTTATCACACCGCACGTAGATTCATAAGAGACAAGACTACGACATATACCGTATCGATCGAGGAAGATTAAGTCAAAAAGAAGAAAATGCCTTTCATTGAGCGGCAGTAAATCGCAGTCCCACGCTAACCCAAGTCCAAACAAAACGCCAAAGAACCCTTCTATAAAAATAAACCAAAATGCCTCACTCCTCTCAAGAGCACTCGACACACCCCACTTCAATCCCCTCAATAACAAACGGCTTGCTGAGCTCACTCGGCACGCTCAGCTTGCCCAAATCAAGATCCTTTACACTCCCCGTCTCGCTGGTGGTCTCACTACCAAGCGCAGAGTCGCTCTTGCGCCTACGGGCCTCAGTCTCCTCTTCAATATAAGCATACTCGTTGCGCCAGTCACACAGCATCCTGCTGTTAACATTGCTGCCGCCACAGAGGACAATGACGACTTTGTCTTCAGGGCGGACAGGGCGACCAAGTGCCTTTTCAAGACGCCCATCGTAACAAAGGGCAACGTTGATGCCGCAGGCGAGCTCGACCATGATGCGCTCGTCGTCGGCGAGGCGCCAGCAGCCCATTGCAGCTTCAGCATCAGGAAGAACGACGCTGCGGACGTTGCCGCGTTGGGCGTATTTGAAGGTTGCGTCTGTGACGCGGGCGCAGCCGAGGCTGGTGGCTTGGGATGTGATTTTGGGGAGGGTGATGACTTCTTTGGCTTGGATGGCTGCGTGCAGACTCTCGGCTCCGGCAGTCTCCATGGCGAGGATGGTGGTCTTGGTCATGTTGAGGGAGTCCATAGCTTGACAGATGCCGTTGAGAAGGCCGCCACCACCGACGGAGCAGATAAGGACGTCGGGTTCCTCGCCGCCGGGCATCTGGGCTGCAATCTCGGTCATGCAGGTGCTGTTGCCTTGCCAGATATCTGGGTGGTCAAAGGGTGGGCAGTAGATGGTTTCTGTTTGTGCCTGCGTGATATGTTAGTCCAGTGAAGCCATGTGATGCGAGATGGGTACGACGTACATAGGGCATGACGTGCTCCTTTAGGTAGGCGTCGGCGTCCTTCCAAGCAGCACCATGTTGGATGACTTCATATGCACCAGCAGCCCTGAGCTTAGCTACCATCAAGGGTGCAGTAGCTGTAGGCACGACGACAGTGCAGAGTAGGTTGAGGGCACGAGCCGAGTGAACAGCAGCGAGACCAGCATTTCCACCACTAGAAGCAAAGATATGAGGGCGTGTGCCTTGAGGAAACTCTGCGAGACGACGGAGGATGTAGTTGCCGATGCCTCTGTTGCTGCATTAGTAAAGTGACAACCATGAACAATGAAGTCGACACTTACCGTGACTTGAATGATCCGGAAGGCTGGAGGTTTTCCAGCTTGAGAAAGACTCTGCTTCTGCGATTTAGAAATCTCTTTTCCGAAAGGGTGGAGGTGAAGTTTGGGTGACAGGAAAAGTGTGACCGTACCATCCCGCTGCTTCAGAAAGCGCATACGACTCCCTCAATGGAGTCTGAACCCAAGGGCTCTGTGCAGACTGCTCCTCATTGTGGTACTCCTTGACGGTCATGTTGAAGATAGTAAACAAAGTTGGGTATCACAGAAAAATATGAAGAACAAATGCAGTAGAAAAGCCTAGTGAAGAGTATAGGACCTGAAGCTTTCAAAGATTGTTTCGCGAATGTCAACCTCAAGTACACAGGATTCTCATCTTTTATCTCTACCAAAATTCTTCTTATCGCTCCGCACGCACCCGCAACCCCAGAGTCCAGGTGCATAGGGCCAGTGGGGTAACTGGCTCATCACAACCACGATATCTAGTATTGATTACCCTATAAAGTGCATGAATTACCCTATAGATTCTCGATAAGGAACAGGCGACCACGTAGGTACCGCAGAATGACACAAGCATGAGACCCGGTCCTCGAAAAACCAGTCCCTGGTTTGCATTTCCCGATGCGGTTATCGGCGGCGGACTACATTCTGCCGGGCGTTACCGCCCCAGATGGCGTTATGCTTTTGGCGGATTTGCCTATCACAAGACGCGAACCAGTCGTTTTGTACAGGGGAGCTTGTCCAAAAGGTACCCATCCTATTACAGCTCGGCGCAACGGTGGGGATGGTGATGGGCTCGGGAAAGTCGCGGAATCAAAGAGGAGATCCCCGACGGAAAGGGAAACTAAAAAGAATAGACCGCATGGCACGTCCTAGCCTGTTATCATGATCGGAATATTCGCCAACAATGCGTTTGCGGCTATTACAGGCACGCCTGAAATGTACTCGCACTGGAATATGACATTTGTGGTGCGGATCCGCAGAAGTAGGAATCTGCGCAGTTCATGCTCGTCCACTGTACCCGGCCCTAGTCTACGCAGCGACTTTGGGCTGTTCGAGCAAGCCCTTTCTGAAGTTCCAGTAACTCGCGCGTATCGGGTCGTATTTGGTCGCCAAAAGATCCAACGCCTGCTCGGCTCTCCTCTTGCCGTCTTCTTCTTCGGCATAAATGTCGGCCAGGAGGTCCAGGGCGTGGCTTGAGTGGACATTGTCGGGGTCTTGGACGTCGGCAAACTCACCTGCAAAGTCCTTGAGGGTGGACTTGGGGAGTCCGGCCGCACGGAGGATTCCAAGGATGTAGTTCCATGGGCTCTGGTTCTGAGGCGCTTTGCGAATGGCTGCTTTTGTGTACCTAGTTGGGTTAGCAGTCAGCCATGCGCAGCAGCAGCAACAGCAGTAGCTCACTCTATCTCGCGGTCGGCAATGTCTGCGCTGGGCTTGCCTTTACGGCCTCCGACGACCAGGTAGTAGCGGTGGTTCCACGCCGAATTATTCCGAACATCTTGCTCAATCATGCCGTGTGTCCATTCCAGCTCTTCGGGTTTGTCAAACATGTCGAACCGTTCGACTAGCCATTGCCTGTAGCTCCACACGTGGTAGTTCTTGGAGTCGAGCTCCAGCATGGAACTGATGAACTCGGGTTCGCCCTCTGGTGAGCCCAGCTGGTCAATAATGGTATGGCGGTGATGCCAGATCTGGTAGTTCTTGAGGTGTTTGAGTGCAGTTGGATTGAGCCATGCGATTTCGTCCTGCAACGACCTGCCGATTTCGGATATGGTTTTCACGCGGTAGAGCCTGTGGAGCATCAGGTAGCCGTAATGTGCGCATGCAGGTCGACTCACCAGACAGTGTAGTGCGCGGGGTTCATGCTGATGATGTGCTCTGTGAGGCCGAGGACTCGCTCGCTGTACTCAGCCTTGGCCATTATGGCGCGCAAATAGCCCATGGCCTCGCTGTACTCGTCGCTATACGCAATGGCAGCGAGGGGGTGCAGACCACCGTCATCCTGGGGGAGGGGTTCTATATCCGCCCATGCCTCGTCATCGTGATAGAATTTGGGCATTCTGCCGTCTCTGCCAGACGCGTCTAGTTCTTCGAAGTATGAGCGCGTGGGGAGCAGGGCGCGCAGTAGGCGATATGGCAGCAAGGTGATGGCCCCTAGCCAGGCGCGGATAAGGTGGAAGAAAGCCATGGCGGGGTCTAGTCGAGCAAACCTCGACTCCACTGCTTGGCGGAAATCGCGACCTCTTCTATCTTTTCATGTCTCGCAGAACAATAGCAGCCTGTTTTGCCCAAGCATGAGCGCCAATTGCATATGAACAATAGGCGGCGCATGTTGGTAACTCTTGTGCCAGGAAATCCCTCGCAGATTGACCCAATTGTGCGCTTAAGGTATTTTCTGAGCCTATGCGACGAACAATGCTAGTAAGGAGCTGGTATTAGATCGCGCCCGTTGCACCCATCACATCCCACTTATGCAGTCTACTTATCTGGAGATGGCGCGTGTGAATACGGGCATGACAGCTGCAAGGACGATGGAAATGGCTTTGTAATAATATATGGGCTTCTCAGTGAGGGCCATACAGGCCATGGTCACGTGGTGCGTGTAACTTGCCATCATCTATACTAATATTTTACCTAGACCGAAGCTGAAGCGGCTAGAGAGACACGTTGAACATATTATTCAGAAGTAAATGGTCATTTATCAAGTAAAAGTCCCAAGAGAGAAATAATTGTGTGCACATCACTACCAACTTCCCTCACATCCCCCCCATCACCCACGCACCTTCTCCCATTTCCCCAACCCTCGCTCTTTCCACCCCCAAAAAATGCCTCTCCATTCCCTTCTCTTACCCTCTCCCTACCTCCTTTTCCCCCACCACATCAGCTCATCCGCGCAAATGTCCCCCACCGACTCCCTCACCACCATACCCCACCAGCAACCCGACCTCCTCCCCAAACCCCAGGACATACTAGTCCCATACCTAATCCTCGACATCGAAGATTACCTTGCCGAAGCCACGGAGGGTAGACAATCTGAATATGATGAATCGTGTTCGCATACAATACAAATCACTGTATTTTCCTCCTACCTTTCTCCTTCCTTTATCACTTGTATCCATAACCCCCCCCCCCCCGGCTTATTGCTAGACCACCCACAGAACCCCTTCGCGGCACCTATTTACCCACGGCTAACAAAGCGCGTCTTCGCCACTTCCAGTCCGACCACGACAACAACAACAACAACAACAACAACAAGAACACCATCCCCTTCCTAAAATCCCTCTTCTCCTACAAATTCTGCAGCACCTGGCAACAATGGGCCACGAACCCTTACAACCTGCACCCGGCCTGGCACCTCTTCATCATGTTTCTGCTGCTGGGCTGGATAGTGGGCAGTTCGGTCTGTGGGTATTATGAGGTTGGGCCTGAGTTGGGGAGTGTGAGGGTTGCGAGGTTTTGTAGGGGCTTGTTGGGGAGTGTGCCACCGATGATACAGTTGCTTTTGTTTTTGTATCCGCCGCTTTTTGTGCAGTTTTGAGATGGGGGATGAATAGGAGGATTGGAGTGGGATGAAGGTGAGTGGCAAAAAAACAAATGAGGAGGGAGTATGATAAAAAGAGATTTCGAGACGGTGGCCTGATGTTTCTTTGCGATTTGCGATTTGCTAGTGTCGGTTGAGGCACATTGGTCCGACATTGAGTTTCTATGGCTTGTGTATTTTACTACAAGGGAAGCGGAAATACTGAATGAATGACAATAATCGAAGGGAGTGAGAAAGTGAGAAAGTAAACACGCCATGGAATTCAACAATCAAACACCCTTTACAAAACTCCACAACCATCAGCACTAACACAAGCGAAATCCTCTTCTCCTCCTGAATCCCCAACACCCTCCCCTCCACAACGAGCCGAAAACCACTTGTCTCCCTCGTCTGACCAAGCCTATACACCCTATCAACCGCCTGATCCTCAATCGCAGGCGCCCACCACGAGTCGGCGAGGATAACTTGGTTCGCAGCCACGAGATTGAGACCGACGCAGTAGACGGATTGGGGGGGGGAGGCATGGAGCCGTCTATGCAGACGAAGGAGTAGGAATGGGAGTAGAGGTGTGGGGAGAAGAGGGAGAGGAAGAAAGGGGCCATTGGGAGAAGATTATTGTTTTTGTAGTTGGGTTCTTGCGGGAGGCGTGGAGGATGGAGAGGAGGGCTTCGATTTTTGTGCTTGTGGATATTTCCAGGGAGGTTTTGTCGGCGAGTTCTTCTTGCGTCGAGGGGGCAGATGGAGCAGAAGGGAGGTGGGGGGGGTTTTTTTTTGCGGGTTTGACGGTTGTGGTGGCGAGAGAGGAGAGGGGCGACCGGCATAAGGGGCATTTGTGTGAGGATTCTATGATGCGCTCGAGACAGGGGGTGCAGAAGGTATGAGCGCAGGTTGTGATGAGGCGGTCTTTGTACATGTCGAGGCAGATGGAGGCAGTCTTCTTGGGAGTCGATGGAGAGTTGGAGGAGTTTTTGGAGGGCGAGTTTGTTTTCGTCTGTTAGGTCTACTGCACCGTTTTCGTCGAGCTGTTGCATGGAGTCGAGACGCTCTTCGCCGACGAGCTGTCAGTGGTTGCATACTTGGCGCAGGCGAAGCAGGACTTGGAGAAGATGGCGGTACGTGGATGCAGCATCCTTTTTGCTAATACTCTTCCTGTACTTGTCGAGTTGACCCTTGGCCTCGGCCTCGAGAACATTGTACTTTTCCTGCTCATGAGGGTGCAGTTTTACTTTGTGGATTTCGCCAGCTTGGCCGCCAGCCCTCTTAGAATATGACCAATTTGCTCTCCTTGGACATTATCGACACGGATGGCGTTTGCATCGTACTGGTTCTGTGGTTCTCTTCGAAGCACCACCGTTTCTCCTTCTGTGGCATATCCATTGTAGTACCTCACGCCGAGAATATTGTCATCTAAAGCGCCGTACAACAGGTAGTTGTAATGCTCCTGGCTATGCCCTTGGATTGCATCGGGGGAGGGCTTTCTGTGAGGCTTCATCTTCCTCATATTCGTCATCGTCCCAAATGTCACCGGGGGTCATGTTAACTGGCGATGAGCTGATGGGCCGCTCGTTGGGCTCCATCGTACGATGTACGAGATTGCTTGGGTGCGCGATATGAGGAGCTATCAGGCGCGTCATCAGCAGTGAGGTCTACGATTTCTGCACGTCGTTTAGGCGCCATCTTGTCTCAATTCACAGTTACAGCACGCAAAAGAAAAAGAAAAGAGGGGGTGTGACAGCGGAGAAGGGTTCAGGGCCTTGATCGCAAGATATGGTTGCAATCGGTCGCGGCGCGGGAGAGTCGGCCGGGGACATGATCTCACGCTAGAACGCGTATGCAGGTGACATCACACCAGGTAATCCACGATGTGCGCTGAAGAAACAGCGCACCATTCATCTCTGCATGCCGATTGCTACTCTGATTGTGAGTAGCAGTTGATGTGAGAAACAGGTTGAGATGTAGTCTTCCTTTTCTACGTTAATATTCAATAACTTTGACTTGTTGAATAAAAACAGCGACAATATGTTTATTGCTTTTCACCTAGTTATCAATTTGACACAACAGCGTGATTACGTCTACATCAGAAGATAGCTACAGCTTAATGCAAGCATGCGTTTTCGTTTCGAGATTACTCTGGTCTCTGAGGCGAGTGTAGTATTAATATGCTTTGCATCGTCGTTTCCTAGCGGTTCCTGGCGATCCATGCATGTAGACTGCACGTGGGTGGATATTGGAGAGCAGCGCTTATGCAGTATTTCCCCGCCGCCATCATCCGCAGCACGCGTAATAAATGAAGAACATGATTTTGTATTGATCTAAGTGGATGCTTGTGACCTAGGCAGTGCAGGTGTGGGCTCGGTAGACAGACATACTGTATAGATTTGTGGTTATTTTTATTTGATTTGATTTAACTAAAAGTTTTCTATCGTATGTTCTACAAATGACAAAACCAATATTCAGAATTCCAGCTGGGCCAACACACTCAGCAAATCAGAAACAAACACAAGTAATAATCGTCTCTCACAGCAAATTCAATGTAACACAGCACATGATACTGCAGGCCGATCACAGTCAACAGTTGTTCGTTCTGCTGTCGAGAGGGTTGCCAAACAAGAAACATGCACTTTGCCAAGGCATTTTCACGTGAAACATGAGAAATGGTTGAGAAGGCCCATGTACCACTCGGGCGATTTTCTCTGATACTGTAGAGAAGCCCAGTCTTAGCATGAGCGTGTGAAATGAAGCATGCAGACAAGACCAAAAAAAACCCCCATGCAAGGTAGAGCCTTTTGCGTATGCTTGTTTTACTGTGATTGCAATCTTTTCATGTGAAACACTACGCGGGGACGCGACAAGCTTCAGCCCACCATGATACACTAACATTGGCAAGACCGAAGGGCGAAGAGAATTGCAATTTCGGAGTTTTGCAGTTCAGCGTATACAGCAATCTTGTCAACTTGATTATTTCCGCCCCACGCCAAATTTCATGCCGTTTGTGATGGCGAGAAATAAATATAGAAAAAAAGAAGGCCAATTCACGCAAATGAGTATGTTCTATCTTTTTCCAGTGAAGACGCCACTAACAAAAAATAGGCGCCGTCACAAAGTGTATATGATAGATTGTGCAATATGTTCACTCTGGCAGGTCAACGACACATGAAGGGCCATGGAGTAATGGCCCTCAAGCAACCGGGGAAACGGACTATCGACCTGCGCCGCATAACGACAGAAGCTGTACGCAGAGCTGTTGAGTTTTTATTTCTGTCTCTCGGCTAGCGCCGGCGCCCAGGTTTCTCCGGTAGACTCACGTGACGTCGGGTAAATCGCGGCGAAGCGAGAGAATGTCAAAATTCTTTCGCGCTGCTTGGCCGGTCTCTTTCTTTCTTCTTTTTCATGGCCGCTGATGATATCTCATATCAAGATAGGAAGAGTAAGACGTAGCCAAATGGCCGCGACTGATTACAACTCATCACCACCTTCTGAGGCCTGTCCCCGACCCGTCCCGTCGTGTTGTCTGTGTGTTCGGAGTACCGACGCGGTTGTTACAGCTGTTGATGCGGAAGCTAGACGCGACCGTTAACTGACACCTGTATGTTTCGCGCATTTGACAGGATGCGCAGGCCTGTGAAACGGACTGGGTGCCAGGCATTCATGGGCGACTTCGCAATGGCGGCTGTTGCTGCTTCAGACAGACGGCCTTTGACCATGGCTTGTTTCAGCGAGGATAGAAAGCCTGGGAGACCCACGACCATGGGTGCACATAGCGGAGCATTATTATCCTATTCTTGCTTCTCGATTTCATGCCTCGACGTGTTTCCGACACAATGGATTCTTTTGCCCGCGGTATTATGTACACACTTGCCACTTACATACGCTGTGCATAGCTGCAGGCTGCCCTGGCGTCTCGTTTCCTGTCGGCTATGTACTCTACTCTTGTAAGTAGTATCTCGGCACCTGTGCCTGCGCACTGCAGTCCCACGGCTATTCGGTGTGTCTGAGCGTCACGGGCCAAGCTCGTCCGACACCGACAGACGGCACTTTGCGGTGTTATGCCGCGGGCTGCTTGCTCACCGACTCGAAATTTGATCGAGCTTGTCCCGGGATTTTGTTCAGTGTGCTCGTAAAAGAGATTCCAGACCGTTTTGATACCTTCCTCATGCAACACCCACGTAGAAGAGCAGCCGGCCGTGAATCATGGGTTGTGTATTACCCGTACAGTACTACTTCTATGTACTCTTGCTGGATGCGTGTCGGCTGCCTACTGCCTGGCAATTTGAAATCACGACTACTTTTACGTCAATCGACGACGTCACTGCCACCCCGTATCCAGCACCCACGATACCACATACGTAGTCTGCGTACTACTGTTGCATGCCAAATCGAACTCTGTATGCTCATCACATTTGTTTAGTTGGCCGAAGAGAGCACAAAACTGGATGCGGCTGCGTCGATATGCGTTCATTAGAATTGCGATCGTCGACCCTGTCATGCTCGTCTGCCCAAGATCTGCACTTGGATCGGCGACTTTAGCTGTAACCACCTGTTGGCTCCTCTGGGAAAGCACAGTTGCTAGCCGTCTACGGACGGTTTGGCCCGCAGCGTTGCAGGTGCAAGATAGACCCTTGATGGAACAAGCAAGCAACAGTGCTGCTGCCGATGATGCTGCGAGGCCCCAGTCTCTTTGTTGAGCCCATTTATTTGGCTGTTACGAGTCACAATTGCAATGTCGAATCACAAGCGTGCGGAGGGCTGGCAGAGATTTGGATGACCAGCCAAGACGCGACTTAGCAAAGATTTGCATAGTAAAGACGCCATTGGAGACTTTGGGCAATGGATTACGCGGGCAGTGTCGTTCCGAAGAACTATGTCGAGGCTAAGCCCAGATTGACAATGGTTTCGCCGTGGGCTTATCATAGAGTGACCATGGCGACAGATGCCCACGTGTCTGTGTGTTGCAAGATGCAGGCCCCATGGACCTCGACCGCCTGTTCGTATGCTGAACTTGGTCAGGTCGGCCGGACCGGCAGTGGCCACGACGGCTCCAGAACGCGGGCCTTGTGCAAGTTCCACTTGCCGTGTGGCCCAGACGAGACATGTGTCTGTTACCGATGTCTTGCGTATCAGACATTGGTCTTTGGCATGCCTGGGCTGCGTTTTACACGAAGGGTCTTGCTGGGCCTACCATGACACGACACTGCATAGCACTTTTGCATGCATTCAGCACTGAGCACCCAGCAGCAGCAAATGTGGGGAAGGCACATATTCCAGAAGGTCGAACGCCGGGGACCAGTCAGACGGCACCCACACGGAGCGACGGAGGGAGATTGCAAACGACCCTAGACCCTGCGCTCAGCATAACGCGAATTTCGTTTGAGAGCAGTCTGGAGGCTCGTGCTGGACAGTGGTGGACAGAGTGGGATAGGTCGAATCTGCGATCTGCCCGCCAGCCAGCTGCCTGATTGGGATGACATGGCCGTTTTGTCACTGCGGTGTGTTGGGGCAATGTCATCATCTTGCCCGCGTTTCACAAGGTCAGCAGCAGCAACAGCAGCAGCAGCAGCAGCAGCAGCAGCAGCAGCAGGTGGAGCAGAGTGGGAATGGGTTGCGTCGAGTTTGGTGGGCTGGAGACGTTCGGCGTCTGGGCGACAGTTGACGTCCGTCATGACTGCCGATAGTCGGGCAAGGACACTGACAGACACGGTGCAGGTGCAGGTGCAGGTGCAGGTGTAGGTGTGAGGCACAGAGTCAGGCCATGAGTTTGCGGCGGTCGCGCAATGCTGGCGTCTTCAGTAGGCGTCTTCGCGGAGGCGGATGGGTGGTCGCGTTGGGTTGGGGCGCGGCATGGCGGACAAACGCGATCAGACGAGTGGCACAGTTGTTCGCTGGACAAAGTTGATGGTCAAGCCGGGTGTCATGGCATTGCATCCGAAGGGCCTTTGAGCGAGTCAAAGGCAGCCCTAGCGGCGATGGGCCTAGTCTAAACCATGGGCGAGGGCGAGCGGCATGGAAGCCACGACCCCGCCAGACTGGAAACCTTCCTGGAATGGTCGAAGATCAGGGCCTTGGACGAACCAGCCAATGCCAGGCCTGAGCCGGCGGCTTGGTGGAGTTGGTGGAGTTGGTGGAGAGAGACGAGAGGGCGCTGTGGGCGAGGTGGGCCGAAGCTATGGAAGCCACGACAGCTTCCCCGGCGCCGAAGCAGTGGCAGGACCACGCACGACCACCAGGCCATCCACTCGTACCCTCGCACCCTCGCACCCGTACGCTCTGTCATCGCGGACAGAGAGGCCCTTTGTCAGCGTGAATCGCATCGGGACCCTGTCGAGTCGTAACACGGCCCCGCTGCGGTGGCCTTCTAGAAATTGCACGCCCTCGCTCGCATGTGAAGCCGCTGACAGAAGACGCAGCGTAAGTGGCCGGTGGCGGGCGAGGGGGCGGTCAGAGAGGGCGGGGGTGGAAGGATGGCAGGGCCTGGGGTTGAGGATAAGACGGTGTGGTGGTGGTGTATGTAGGGAAGGGTAGGGCAGTAGTGTATGTTGTATGTAAGGTAGAGTAAGTGCAGACTAGTATAAGAAGAGTAGGCGTATGTAGGCGTATGTAGACGGATACAGAGATGGGATAGAGAGATAGAGTGCAGTCGTTTGTTCCTGCATCGTTCCTGCAGTAGACGCGCCTCTGGATCAATCAGCTGTGCGGCCAATGTGGGGGAAGACGGCCTGGCGGATACGATCGGGCCTGTTCGACTCGACCACCGCCGCCTGTCCCGCACCTCTCATCCCGCCGCTTTTACCACAACGCCCATTTAGGTCTCGCCGGCGGCTTCACAACTCTGCATCCGCTGCATTCAATAGCTCGCTGCTATTTTGTGCCGCCAGTCGCACCCACACCCCGGCCTGCACAAGTTTTTTTTACCGCCATTGTGTCGACGCTGGACGGTCAGCATCACGAGCGCGTTGCCAACCACCCACGCCCGTTGGCCCTCCATAGATAGAACGCGTTCAAGGGAGCACCCACCCTACTAGATGTGCAGTATCGCAATTCCCGCATGCTATGCCATGCTATGCCGTGCCATGCCCTCGCCATCTTGGCTCCACGCTGCTCGCCGGCTGCAATTGCTGCTACTCTACACTACTCGGCCGGCGGCCATGTGGCAAACCAGGCTCTGAAACAGACTTGCACCATGGACTCAGGCCGCAAGTGCAAGCGTGGCTATATGCCCATCCATCCCATGCACATCCCGATCCCACTCGACCCTCCATGTCATTGTAGGGCTTTGGCAGTGGGGTGGGCACAGTACAGTACGAGGGAAAAAAGAACGGTACTGGTGGCGACGTGCAGCTCATTGCACTCGAGAATGTCGCACCATGGGCCGTGGCCGTGTTTGTAGCCACTGGGAGACGGCGCTGCCCGGCTGCTCCAGCTGGCAAGGCGATGCAGGCCTCTTGCTCTTGCATCATGGCTGACGTTCCTGCGTGAGCCCGGCGCGCCGAGTCTTCGCTCCAGTGTCGCGCGACGCCTGTGGCAATGGATGCACACATACCTTGACCTTGACCTTGTGCGTATGTGTGGTGTGGCTAACGGACGGCAAGCATGGCGCGCTGCAGTTGAATGACTTTGACCTCGCATTCTCTTCGTGGTCGTGAGACATGGCTACCACACTCTGGTCGACGGCCCAACATGTTAGGGAAAGCATAGCGAAGGTTGTTGCTTTCGCCCTCGCCCTCGCCCTCGCCGCCGCCTTCGTCTTTTTGTTGCATGACGCCCCCCATGTCCCAAGTCCAGTCCCAGGTCAGTCCCAAGTTAGTCTCCAGACCCAAGGCGCCGCCGTGGTCAGCGAGCGACAAAACGACATGGGCACCGCGTTACATTGCTTCTGCAAGTGGTCGACGACGGTGATACTGCGGGCGATACGGCATTGTTTGGTGTGACAGACACGGTAGAGGGCGCGCGGCGTTATCACAATCACCCAGCAATCGTCATCCGCAGCGGAAGGGCCGTAACGCTGAGTGGACGTTTCAAAACACTGGGTGCCAGGGTCTGGCAGTTATCATTATCGATTGGCAGATAGCTGGATAGCCTGAATGAAACCCAGCAGCACGCTAATCTCGAGGCGAGTTGGAGTCGTGTGAGAGGCATGCCTGTGGTTCTGGTTAGGTTAGACACACTCACACCCACCTGCCTGTCACCCGCCTATTACACCATACCCACCCTCTTCGTCTTTGCTTCCCACTCCCCCAGCACCAGCGGCAGCGGCAGTCTCAGCAGCGTCTCCACTCGCCATGACTGGCCGTTGTCGCCTCACACACACATACACACACACAGACTCATTCACATCCAGCCGTGCCGCTGCTACTGCAAAAAAACCTTCCGTCGCCTTCTTCAGCTTGGGTGGCTTCGCCATCCGGACTGGGCGGCGGTACAGTCAGTGGCTACGTATGCGTGGTAGGCCGACCCTCCATCCCATCCCACCTGGGCTGGCCGCCAGCCAATACCTGCACGCCTGCCGGCGCCGCCGTGCACATCTCATTTCGCCTATAGCCCCGTGCAGCTATGCATTGGGCGAATAATTTTAGGCCCCAAACCCTGGCCGCAATGCACTCGCTGCTTTTGACGCGAGTCAAGGCGAGGGTCTAACGCAGGATCCCATTCCTAGCTGGCATGTGGAGCACGCTGCGCCCCGACGCACTAAAGCGAGCCGTCCTGGAGCGTGTGCGCATCAGTTCTCTTTTTCACTGGTCTGCCCTGGTCCAAGGTTCATCAACCACGTCCCTCTCGTTTCTTTCCGCCATCGCTGTTCACCATTTCATCTTGGGTCATAATTTTGTGCCCTCACACTCTTTGATCTACAATATCTATTAAGTGACGGTCTCGTTATTGCGAACCGATCCCCAGTCATTCCTTCCACTCCCTCAACATCTCTCTCTGTCTCTCTTCAACAGCATCCTGCCTCTTCCAACACCTACATACTACTAATACACGTCTTCCATCTTCACTCGATACTACACACAATCCCTCATCCATCCAACCAACTATCGGACTGAAGCAACGACACCAACTCATACTACTACACTACCACCATCACAACAGCCATCTGCAATGGATGGTTCATACCCTATTCACCCTACCCAAGCAATGCAATCACCATTCTTCTACTACAACCCAGATCCTCAAGGCGAGAACAACCGCCAGCACGGCCACTTCACACCACACCCTTCAGGACAATCAACCTTCCAGCCACACAACATGTACTACCAGAGGCCCACATCAGCAAACTCACAAATGTCCTACCCTCAGACTGCCTACGCCAGCCAAATGATGACTCCAGTCGCGTCACCCCAGCCAATGTACCAGAAGCCAGCCATCCTGATCCAACCTCAGGATTCCCCCTACCTTCACCCCATTGACACCGACTACTCTTTCTCCCCCGCTACTCCTCCTCTGTCATCATGCGGTAGCAGCACCAGCAGCCCTTCCTCGTACGACATCCTCCCCACTCCTCTCCACGACATGTTCCCCGGTGAGGGCATGGAGGGTGTAAAGCAGGGCTGTGAAGGCGAGGTCTTTTCTGAGATCCTTTCGGCCGGCCTCGAGTGGCGTTCAACCACCCCACCAATGACACCAGGTAAGTTTGCTCACTGTTGAAGAAAACCGTCATGGTTGCGTAGCTTGTTATCCGCAATCAACCGGGTGAAATGTGTGTGTGTGTGAACGGGCTCGCTAACTTGTACACAAGTATACATCCAGCCTCCTTCGGTCAACCAGGGTTCATACCTTCTTTCCGCAACTTCTTGCCCTTCTCTTTCCCCTTCTCCTTCACCTCTTCCCCGCACTACCGTCGCCGAGGCTGAGAACAACTTCTGCAACCCCCGCGATCTTACCGTCTCGGCTGCCTCTGAACTCCCCATTGTCACTCTCTGCCCCGGTGACGAGGAGCATAAGGTTGTTCTCAAGGGTGAAACTGCCAAGGTTGACAATATTGAGTCTGTGCAGACCTTCAGCTTCAACGGCCTTCCCACCTTTGAGCCCCTCTTTGAGCTCGACTGCGAAGACGACTTCAACGGCCTTGTTAACTTCTCCAACGACAACACCCAGTTCCTCGGTAACAAGCGCCAGCGCACTGACCTTGGCGCCTTCTCTCCTGAAGATGACTTCCTGAGCGACGAGAGCTTCACCGACTTCGAGGAGGAGCTTGTCCACAGCCTGCCTCTCACCCCCGCCGCTAGCGAGTTCGACACCATGTCCGCAGTCAAGAGGCAAACAGTCAAGAAGGCCCGCTCCGCCTTCAGCGAGACTGAATCTGACTTCCAGGGTAAGCAACAGACATCAGGTGATGAGCACACCGTGTCTGGAGCCTCAAGCCAACAAGAATCAGGTCAAGCCGAGAACGCCGTCGCCTCCAGCTCTGACGAGAACACCACTCCCGTCGCTCCTACTAGCCGCCGCGGTCGCAAGCAGTCGCTCACCGACGACCCATCCAAGACATTTGTCTGCACTCTCTGCTCCCGTCGCTTCCGCCGCCAGGAACATCTCAAGCGCCACTACCGCTCTCTTCACACTCACGACAAGCCCTTTGAGTGCACTGACTGCGGTAAGAAGTTCTCCAGGAGCGACAACCTCTCTCAGCACCAGCGCACCCACGGAACTGGCGCTGTCAGCCTTGAGGTCATGGGCTCCGACTTCCACCACGCCGACATGCAACACGGTCATGGTAGCCCGTTTGGTGCACAGGCTCCTTCCACCATGGGTGAGATTCTTTACAACGCTGCTGCAGAGATCCCTACGTCAAGCTCTGACGGATCCGAGCACGAGTCAACACCCAGCCAGAAGAAGCGCAAGAGGAACGAGTAGGCATTTGTTTTTGTCGCGTTTCCTGCCTTTCAACATTTAACGACCCTTCATGACATTCACAACACTTGGTAGAAGAAACTTGCATTACGCGAGGCGACTGCTAGTCTTCTTTGACGTCGATACGCAAAGGCGCCATTGCTAGACAGGCGGCGAAGGTTCGCACTTGAGCGATCTGAAGCAATTCAGACCCACACAAGAGTTCCTCGCTTCACTTCTCCTCTTGTATTCTACGCGTCCGATCTTGGTGGCACACACACTTTGATATTAGCCTCTTCTTTTTTTCACACTTCATTTTGCGCGTCGGTTTGGTACGTTTCTTCGGGGTTCTGGAGCGAGGAGACTGGAGGTAAACCATGGGAAGAAACGGGATAGATTTGGTTTTTTTCTCTCTTCCTTCATTTCCTTTTCGCTTGGGTGTTCTTTTTTTCCTCATGACGACATGGCCAACTACCCTACTCACCACCGGCCACTTGTCGCCGCGTTGCCTCAATTGTTCATCATCACTCGTTGTAATTGGGGCTTTGTCGGAGTGGGAATCCATTTTCCCTCCCGGCATTCGCCACCTCTAACATTCTGGGAATCTTCGCTTCTTTTCTTCAAACCATACACACATGTAATCGTCTGAACTGCTCAGCACAAACACACACACACACCCCTACTACCTACCCTCCCTTAGTAAAGCTCTATCGTAGCCCCAATTGTAGGTTAACGGTGCTGGCACTGTCCGACTATCATACATAGCAAAAAATGCGTTACACCGACACTTCGGCCTCTATCTTTTCTCTTACTTTTTCCAAACGCCTTGCATGTGAACTGGAGTGAAGCCGCGTAATGCATAAAGTTGAGTGCTAACCATTTCTTTTTCTGCTCTAGGTCTTAGGTGATCAGTTCGGTGACCGGGGGGGGGGGGTTGGATTGTTCCTGATCAATTAACCTACCACGTATCTGTAAGTAGTAGTAGTCAGCCTGTCGGCAGTGCATCGTTCCTTTTTTGGAAAACATTCATGCTGTTCTAGCGTGCGGCGGCGCGCAACTTTAGCGAGCAATACCACTTCCAACCTGCATTTACACTTCGACTGCATCGGGCCGCCTCAACGTACCCTGCCCCAGCGTCCTAGCCTTATTTTTTTTCCTTCTGTTGCGCCTTTTTGCTCGTGTGCCCAGCCCAGCTCGGCGGACGGCGGCAGCGGCTAACTATTTCACTCACAATTCCCAGGCGCCATGGCGCAATCTCTAAATGTCATCGCGCTGATCTCGGGAGGTAAAGACTCGCTCTTCTCCATACTCCATTGTCAAGCAAACGGCCACCGCGTCGTGGCCCTGGCCAACCTGCACCCGGGGCCCTTGCCTAATGGCGAAGAACAGGACACAAACAGCTACATGTACCAGACGGTCGGCCACTCTGTAGTCCCTCTGTACTCGCAGGCGCTCGATCTGCCGCTGTACCGTCGGCAAATCACGGGTACAGCAGTCGATTCGAACAGGGATTATGCGGCGCCGTTGACATCTTCTTCTTCTCAGCAGACGCATGGTCAAAAACAAAAGATAGATCTAGAGGACGGGGAAGAGATAGTAGAGCAAGATGACGAGACAGAAGATCTTGTCCCATTGCTTAAACGCGTAATGCAAGCCCATCCAACCGCCAACGCCATATCCACCGGCGCAATCCTAAGCACCTACCAGCGCACGCGCGTAGAATCCGTAGCCCTCAGACTAGGTCTTACGCCGCTGGCGTACCTGTGGCAGTACCCACTGCTCCCGCCGTGCGAGCAGTCTGCGCTCTTGCGCGACATGCGTGCCGTTGGGCAACAAGCAATTATCATTAAGACGGCTTCTGGCGGGCTCGACTCTTCTTTTTTGGGGCTGGATGTCGCTGGGGGCCCGGCCGCTGTGGCGCGGTTGAGTAAGGCTATGGGGATGTTTGGGGATGAAGTGGGTGCTGGGGCGATTTTGGGCGAGGGGGGCGAGTTCGAGACGCTGGCGGTGGATGGGCCCGGGCCGCTGTGGAAAAAGAGAATTGGGGTTGAAGGGGAAGCGGTGGTATTGGAGGGGGGGCAGACGGTGCTGAGGGTTGTGAAGAGTTGGGTGGAGGAGAAGAGTGGAATGGGGGATGTAGCGGCGCTGAGGGTGCCGGAGGTGTTTGATGATGAGTTTGCGAAGGTGTTGGAATCGATCGAGGATACGACGACGGATGTTGTACCGGAGAGTACCACTACGCTCACCAACAACCCATCAAGTCGTACCCCCGTCTCCCTCCCTACAAACACCATCCGCTCAACCCCCACCCTCCTCACCATCTCCAACCTCACCTCCCCCACCCCCACCCCCTCATCCCCCTCCCACCAACTCTCATCTATCCTCCTCCTCCTCTCCCACCACCTCTCCAACCACCATGTTCAAAAATCAAACATAACCCACACCACCCTCCTCCTCCGCTCCATGTCCACCTTCACCCTCCTAAACCCCCTCTACGCCTCCTTCTTCACCGCCATCAACCCCCCCTCCCGCGTCACCGTCGCCTGCGACACCGCCATGCCGGAAGGTGTTGACGTGATGCTCAGCGTAATCGCGGAGCGGAGCGAAAAGAGAGAGGGATTGCACGTCCAGAGTATGAGTTATTGGGCTCCGGCGAATATTGGGCCGTATAGTCAGGCTGTTTCTGTCCCGCTGCCTACTTCTACTTCCCTTACCTCTGCGGGCGATGAGGATGCGGAGGAGGCACAGGAGAACAAGGTAGGAGACATGGTCTACATAGCCGGCCAAATCCCCCTGCACCCCGCCTCAATGTCCACCTACACCTCGCGCGGAGTCGCCGGCCAAGTCGTGCTTTCGCTGCAGCATCTGTGGCGGATTGGCGCGGTAAAAGGGGTACGGTGGTGGTGTGGTGGTGGTGTTGCTTACATCCCTTCTTCTAACACGTCCTCTTCCATTCACACAATCCAAAAAGCCTGGCGCACCATCCACCTATCTTCGCATCAGGACTCGCGTCTGCGAGAAGAGGATGCGCAAGAAGATGAAGATATAGACCCCTGGGACGCTCTAAACACCCACTCTTCTTCCTTCTCCGACAAAACACCTAGACACCGGATCCCGCATTACTCTGCTCTCCACAACACCAGTGCAGACGAGGCGGCGATACCGCCGTGTTTCGTAGTCCAAATCTCCTCTCTACCGCGCAATGTAGATGTCGAATGGAGCGCCATGGGCTTGACTTCTCTTAACATTACCTTTTCGCGAGATGGTGAGATGCTTGGGACGACAACAACGACGGTGCAAGGTAGCCTGGCACGATTTTTCAGCCTGGAATTGTCTAGGGAAGGGGATGTCAACGTATTAGCGGGACGGGAGTGGACGGTGGGTACTCTTTACATTTCACGGGATTCAGGGTTGGGGGAGCGGCTGGGGGGTGTTGTAGCGAAGGGAGGTGTGCAGTGGGTTCCTTGTGAGCGGGTGTGGGGGGAGGAAGGGAGGGAGGTTGGGGCTGTATTTGTGGGACGGGTGGATGAGTGAGTGGATGAGGGTATGATTGATGAGTGAGGATATGAGTAACTATACGATTGACGAAGTAGACGATTTAAAGAAAAGATCATTAATCGTTTCAAATCCATGAGCGTTTGAATTCCGTCAAGTCATGTCCGCGAATGTGTCTATATCAGACGTAAAGAACAACTAACTAGCCGCCATGCACAACAATCTCATGTTGTGTACCGAGCCCTTGCCCCAAAACGCCGTACGTTTTCCACGTGTATCTGTATACGTGTATGGTATAATACAAAAAGAAGAGAGGTGCTTTTGTTTTGTTGTTTCATTCATCTCGTGCATGTCATCTGTCAAGGGTATCATGTCTAGGCAATATTCCCGGCGAGGCCGAGAAAGAGGGCTTGAGCTGCGAGTTGCAAAGTCCAGATGCCCACCTTTTTTATTCGCCGCTTGCGTGTAGTCCTGTCCTCAAGGACGTCGCGGGCAAAGGCATCGTACATCTAAAAAGATTAGCACATCGTTGGGAGTGTCATGCTAGGGATTTCATCATACCTCTTTCGATACCTCCTCCATCAACCCGCTGTCGTACAGTGTCCAACTGCCGTCAAACTCGCTGACCTTCTTGACCACTCTGCAGTTGACTGGAATGAAGCTACGGCTCGAGTTGATGTATGCGACAATAGGCCGCACCAGAGCATTGTTGCCATACGAAATGTCCCTGGTGAAGATGGGAACGGCGGCACGGACGTCGTTGAGATGGACGCGCATATCCATGATCATGTAACGCGACTCCTCTCTTTGCTCAGCGTCAGAGTTAGTCTTGTCGTCATGATGGTGTTCATCAAAGCCATGGACAGCATGGTCGGAAAAGTGATGTTTGCGCTGCTGGATGACGGTGGCTTCGACCCGGTCGTACATGTCAGACATGACCTTGGCAATGCTGTCGTCATTGTCGTTGGGGAACATGACATCTGCAACAATGTCGACGTTCCCTTCGTGGATCCAGGAAAACGGGCCCTCGTAACCGCGGTTGAGATGGTCAATATTCAGACCGTCAATGCGTATCCGGCTGTGCTTCTTCCAAGAGCTGCCGTCCTCGGAGGCGCGACCGCTGCTCAATTGCGCACCTGTGTAGTTGTGGGTTTGTCGGGGATGAATGGTGAAGAGAGAGTTGTCGAATGATCCAGACATCATGTTTGCAGAGAGAAAGTCGTAGAAGAGCCATTGTTTCCGCAGCCTGGGAAGGTCACAAGAGAAGATGCTGACGGAAAAGGGCCGGAAGCCGTTTGGCTGGTACACAGTCACCAAGAGATCTTCCATCTTGAACGAGTCGAGTTCAAAGTCTCCAGGTTGGTGCTCGTGCTTGTACGACCTCGGGTCGACGCCTTCAATAGTGCGCACTGAAGTTCGGTCAACTACCCCGCGGATGCCCTTGATCTCAACATCCTCCAATAAGCCTTTGCCGTTGAACCACTTGGAAAAGGACAAGGTGATGTTGACTGTGTCGATGGAAATGTCGAACTGGGTGTAGTTTGTGTCTTCCTCTGGTTCGGACTTGGCCGGAATCCCATCATGTGCGCCCTTGCTATGCTGAACCCGAGCGGCGGCGGCAGCAGCTATCTCCGTATGCGAACCTTTGCTGACCTTTCCTGTGCCCTGTCCGGGGCGGCGCGAGACGAAGACATTCCGGAAGGAAATGACGCCGTCTCCCCACTTGGGCACTACGGCAGTCTCGAAGACGACTTTGATGCCCGAGGACTTTGTCAGATAGTTGCCAATCCACTTGCCAACAGTCTCTTGAGAAAAGGCAGTGTTGATGAGGAAGATGGTCAGCATGAAGAAGGTCGTGGTTCCCAGGATAATCCATAGCACGTGGGCGGCGATGATCCACGAGAAGAGGGCATATATCTCATCAGCATTGAAGGGACGAGTGCTCCGGATGGTGAGCCATTTGAAGTGGATCTTGATGCGCGACCAGAAGCCCGAGGCAGCGGCAAGCAGCTCAGCCTTGGTAGGGCGGTATATATGCGGGAGGTGATGAGGCAGGCGGTCGAGGAGGGGCTTTGAAGTGCCTGGAGTGTCGGCTTCTTGCTTTGGCTCTGGCTGCGAGGACTTTGGCGGCGCATTCGGCTGGGGCGAGAGATTGGCCTGCGGTGCCTGGCCAGACGGGCGACGCTTATTATCCGAAGAGGACGGAGTGAGTGAGCTCTTGCTGCGTCGGTCGCTGCGTGTATTCCTTCTCAGTGCGCGCGAGGCCTTTGACGAGGCGTGCCGGGTCCATGCCGCGAAGACGACCTTGGTGATGCTATGCTGGGCGCTTGATGTATAGGGTGAATTGACAGCGGGAAAGCAGGCTAGCCATGGCGAGGGCGTTGTGCGAGGGCGTTGGGTCGTGGATGCGGTCGAAAAAGCATGTCGAATGGGAGGGCAGGCAAAGGCAGCGCCCTCTCTCAACAGCGGGCCAGCGACGGGGCGCCACAGCAAGCCGAGCGTTCGCACATGCTGGTTCATGATAAGCGCGGCGGGCACATGGTCGACGTCTGCAGAGTGGGTGGGTGCGGACAGAGGGAGAAGAGGGAGTGAATGGCCTGGCTGTGTAGTAGTAGGTCACTAGGTGAGGTAGTCGTGACTGTATAAGGCTTCACGTCATTTCATTTGCCCAGGCATTTATTGATTTGCCCGCCCGCACAAGAGGGCGGCGGCAGAGGGACGCTGACCCTCTAGTCCGCTTTCGGCACACCATCCTGTCGCCTCTCCAAATTTCTTGACCAGCCCCACTCGTCGCGCTCGACGACACCAATTGACCAGACACCACCCGTACATACTGCAATATAGCGGGGAGAAATAAAGAAAAAAAAATATACACAACATGCCTGCTCCTACTGCCCTCCAGCGCCGCCCCGAAGAACTGGCTGACAATGTCGCCATCGAAGCCTCGTCCGTATCGCTGCCCACCGAATCTGACGGCGACCTCATCTCCATGAGCATCGACCCTATTGACGCCCCCAATACAACTTCGGATGCGCCCGAAGAAGACATGCCCATGGTTGACGAGAGCGGCAAGCCCAAGTTCCCCGCCGCCAAGTCGATACCACTCGCCTTCCGCCGCGAGCAGCGCAAGGTGCCCATTCCGCCGCACAGGATGACTCCGCTCAAGAACTCGTGGCCCAAGATCTACCCGCCGCTCGTTGAGCACCTCAAGCTACAGGTCCGCATGAACACAAAGAGCAAGAGCGTCGAGCTGCGCACCTCGAGCGCTACCACCGACACGGGCGCTCTGCAGAAGGGAGAAGATTTGTACGTTGATGTCTTGGGTGGAGCAGCGCTCTGCATATAGACTACAGGAATATGCTGACTCTCTGCAGCGTCAAGGCTTTTACTCTTGGTTTCGACACAGACGACGCTATCGCGGTATGTACACACGACCTTGTATTCGCACACAAGCAACTAACACCCTTTAGCTGCTCCGACTAGATGATCTGTACATTGAGACGTTTGAGATCAAGGACGTGAAATCACTCTCGGGTGAACATCTCAGCCGCGCCATTGGCCGTATCGCCGGCAAGGACGGCAAGACCAAATTCGCCATTGAAAACGCTAGCAGAACACGAAGTACGTTTTAATTCCTGTTCATGATTCCTCACAGCCTCTAACCAAAAACAGTTGTACTCGCGGACCAAAAAATTCACATCCTTGGCGGCTTCAAGAACATCCACATTGCTCGTGAGTCCATTGTCAGCTTGATTCTTGGACAGAACCCCAGCAAAATGTATGGCAATCTGCGGACCATTGCCGGTAGGATGAAGGAGAGGTTTTAGATGCGCAATAGAATTGCTTTCAGAAGGAAGAAAAAAAGCGGCATCAGGCATTTACATGGCGTTAAGGCGAAATGGATCGGGAACATGGCAGGCAAACAATACCATCTGACATGACTTGACGATGATTGGAAGACGATGGGCTAGCGACATTGCTATCATATGGCTATATACGCAATTTACGATTTCCAGATACTCACTATCTTGGTCCATATGATCAAGCCTTGTTCCTCCTCACCGTCCCCTTGACCCTCTTAACACCCTTCCCCAGCGCCCCAAACACAGTCGCAAACCCAAAGCTCCACCCCTTAATCCTAACACTCCACACAAAGAAATACACCAACGCCCAATTACTCACGCAAAACGCGAGGAAAATGCCAAAATCCCTCCACTTATCCCCCGCCGCAATATTCAGCGACGCAAGGTAATCATCGCCCACACTATACGCACAGTACTGGCACCCAGCCGTTGCATTCGGATTCACCAAGTACCCAGGTGCGGACTCCAAAAACTGCCGCGCATACTCCTGGCACGACATGCCACCTGGGGTATCGAAAACCGCCGTCTCCTTCTCACTACACTGAACCGGCACTCCCGTCATCGTCGCCGCCAGCACCCCAGCAATCCAGTATGTTGCGGGGTTAACATAGTACATCCAGTACCGCCAGAAAACCGGCATCATAGCAAACGGGCGTACGACCCCGTTGAAAAGGCCAAACATGACGAAGAAAAACGGTAAAACGTTGGATATAACAGTGAAGGAGGGGGCGAAGGCACAGATCCACTGGCCCCAACTCGATATGAAGAGGAAGAACAAGAGTGTCATGAGGAACACGTACCCCGCCGTCGCACTATCCGCCGGCAGACCCGTAGGAAAATACCAGAGGAGAAAGTACACGACGCTCGATACCACCGCCCCGGGTACCTCCGCCACAACTTGCGCCGTCGAAAACGCAGTCCACCCATATATCCTAGAAGGTAGCTCGCGGGCGGTCCACAAAGCCATATTCGAGTAGAACTTGGGGACTACGCCGTTGACGATGGTGGGCGGGAGGAGCACGATGAGGAAGATGGTAAAGAGTCTGTTCTGTAGGTCTGTAGTGCTGGTGGCGAGAGAGTAGAAGGTGAAGCCGTTGAAGAGACCGAGGATCAAGGAGACAAAGAGTTTGGAGTAGAGGTACGAGGGGGAGCGCCAGTATTGGGTTAGGGTGCGGGCGGTTAGGAGGCGGGTTTGGGTCCAGGTTGAGGCTGCGAATTCGGTGTCTTCTGCGCCTGCATCTTCGTCGTTTTGGGTGGGTGGAGAGAGTTTACTACGGGAAGACTTTATGGTTTCGATTTCTTGGAGGAGCTGGGCGTTGTTGGGGGATTTGAGCCACTCGTCGTTCCAGTCGATTTTGGTGCCGTCTGCGCGCTTGATGGGTTTGGCGGCGGTTTCGAGGATGAATTCTGCGACGTTTTTGCTGGGAGGACAGTGGACGCCGCGGGAGCCAAAGTAGTCGATTACGTCTTTGCCGTTTTCGCCTACGGGGCCGAAATAGAAGGTGTTGCCGCCCGGGTTGAGGGCCAGGATCATGTCGAATTGCTGGATTAGGACGCTGCTGGGCTGGTGGATGGTGCAGACAATGGCTTGGCCGGCCTGTGCGAGCTTCTTGAGAAATTGTACAATTGAATACGCAGAGTTGCTGTCGAGACCACTTGTGGGTTCATCGAGGAAAAGCAAGAGTGAGGGCTTTGCAGCAAGCTCAACTCCAATGGTTAGACGCTTCTTCTGCTCGACGCCCAGGCTCTCGATTAGCGCATCTTGGATATCCTCGAGTTCGAGGAGTTCGATAATCTTATCGACGTAGTCTAGCTTCTCTTTCTGAGGTGTCTTCCTGTCCTGTCGCAAGAGAGCAGAGAACTCGAGGGCCTCGCGAATCGTGGCCGTGCCGTCATGAAGATCCATTTGCTCGCAGAAGCCAGTTCCGCGTTGGAATGCTTTCCCCAGATCACGGCCATCGACAAGAAATTCTCCAGAAACCACTCCAGTTGTCTGTCGCTGTGAAAGGGTGTTGAGCAAAGTCGACTTGCCCGCACCCGAGGCACCAACGAGCGCAATCATGACACCAGGTTTCGCATATCCGTTGACTTTGTTGAGAAGTTTGCGCTCTCCTCCCTGATACGGAACGGTATATTCGACATCTTTCCAGGTAAAGACACTTTCGCTGCTTGAAATGACCTCGAGTGCCTCTTCCTCATGGGCAGTAGTGTTGGAGCTCGACACCGACTCACCAGACACCACCTTCTCTTCATCCGTAGGGCCATCTTCCTTGACAACCTTCTTTGCACGCTTAGTCTTTGCAAAGATCAGCGCACCCCCGCCAGACTTTGCAAAGGAAATCGTCTCAGTGGCAATTACTGTCACCAAGATATACAGCACAGCGAAGGCTACCACAACGCCAAAATTACGCCAAAGATTTGCCCGTGAGTAGTTGAACGACGCCTCGAGGTAGTCTGCACCGGATACTGATCTCGAGTTCGGCGTTGCACCTGTTAAGCTGCATCCTTGGAAAGCAGGGTCAACGTCGGGACCCTGAGGCACCAGCTGGCTGGGAGCACACTCCATCGTCCGGTCGGAGAACTCGTTAGTGAGGACAGCTTCAAAGGAGTACCCGACCGGATTGACCCAGTATAACCATCCGAACCAAATGTATTTGCTTAGCAGCTGCGTCTTGGGGATAGCATAGCCAGTGTAGATGATGAGGAGATTGAGTGCGAGACCAGCAAATCTCACTGCATCATCGATAGTCGGGGATAGAGCAGCAAACATGCGGTACAGCGCGGTAACGCAGAATGTGGTGGTGTAAATGAAGAGAAAGTAGATGAAAAACTTGGAAACATCGGTGTCAAGACCATTCATGAAATACATAATGATCGAGAACGGAATGACCTGCGCAAGCAACAGGGGAAAATCCTGCACAACGCGAGCGATGACCACGGCACTGGGTCGGTAAAAAGCGTAATCCTCGTGTCTTTTGACAACGTCACGTCCAGACACTGCCTTCATAAGCTCAGACAGCTGGAGCCAGCCGAGGAAGAGAATGGAAAAGAAACCAGAACCGCCACGGGTAAAGGCACCAGAAGTATCCATAGCTTGGCCATAGAACAGTGACCCGACGATAAAACTGTTGGAGATGATGATGAAGAACTTGGTGTAGAGCGTCGTCTTGTCGCCCCAGGTTAACCAGAATTCTCGCTGCGTACAGGCGATGACCTGGCGGAAGAAGGAGACAGTGAAGGGCGATTTTTTGCGTACAGTCTTGCTCTTGCTCTCGCGGACGGCTCCCTCGAACTCTTTGGCATCCATATATCCGCTTCGCTCTAGCTCTTCTTCATACTCCTGCAACTCCCTGATTACGCTCTTGTATGCCTCACTCTTGCGATACGCCTTTTCGAGTTCCTCTGGCGTTTTGGGTGCCTTGCCCTCAAAGCCAGAACGGAACTGACGCTCGGTGGGGTCGGTTACTGCAGTCAGGAAATCGGCCGTGGTTTGGCGCTCCGGACACTTGAAGCCGAGGTCGATGAAGTACTGCTTTGCAGCACTTGCTGGACCCTGGTAGATGCATCGACCAGCGTCAATGACCATGACTTTGTCCATTAGCTCATAGATGCCTTCGCCTGCTTGATAAAGAGTGACTAGCGTTGTGCGATTACTCATGTCGGTCATGATACGCAACGACTTGGCGTAGTCAAGAGCAGTACTCGCATCGAGACCCCTAGTACTGTTATCCCAACAGTTGACCGTACTCTTGGTGGCAAGAGTCTCGGCAATTGAGACACGCTTTCGCTCGCCTCCACTGACTCCTCGAACGTACTCGTCTCCCACCTTTGTGTACTTTGTGTGGGATATACCAAAAACTTTGAGGAGTGCCTCAAGTATAATCGGAATCTCATGCTTCTCATGCTTCTTGGTCTTGTTGGTAAGGGCAAACTTGAGTGTCTGCCACACATTCAGGTCAGCCATATGAGAGTCGTCTTCTGGGTTGTAGTTGACTTCGCCCCTGAACTGTTTCCTCTGCTTGTCGGCAGGTATACCGCCATACGACACCTCACCTTCGACAGCAGCATAGCTCTCCCGGTTGTTAGCAATGACTTTGAGAAAGGTTGAACAACCAGATCCAGGTCGTCCTAGGACTAGCATCATCTCTCCATCCTTGACAACGCCGGAGAAGTCATGAATCAAAGTCCGCATATGCTTGTTCTTTCCAAACTTGAGTGCTGGAAACAGGTTTGTTACAATGCGGTAAAGATCCGGACCAAAAGTTCCCAGGATAGCATCGGGCAAGGTTCTCGCAAAAGATGCGGTAGATCCTACGCCCTTGACTGTGAGGTTCTTGTAGACGACGCCAACCTTCTTGGCTGATTGACCATTCTTCCGCTTCTCAAAGTGTCCTTCGCGCATGAATTGGCCAAGTTCGAAATCGTCTTCCTTTTCGCTAGCGAGGGTGCCTCCAATATCACCAGACTTGTCGTCCTCCACGTCGCCTGTGTCTTCCTCGGCACGGGCAACCGACCCTCGACGTTGGGTCTGTCGAGCGCTGATCCTACTAACAGTCCGAGATAAAGCATCTGATCGATGCGATTGGGCTCCGCGTGATCGCGACCTGGACAATGAGGCAAGCTCTCCTCGGAGCACCTCGAGATCTTCTGCTGCGGTCTTTGAGTCGAGCTTTCCGGCGTCGCGTTCGCCCCATGTTCCCGCTCGCTCAAGACGATCACTATCGGGGCTCTCGTCGCTTTGGCTACCAGGAGTTACTGCTTCTTCCCTCCCACTGCGAAGATAATCATCGTCATGCCATGGGTTACGACGATTGTCTCGTTCCGAGGGTGGAATGGAGGATCCCCACATTTTCAGGCCTGTAACGAAAGGAATTGGGTATCAAACCGCTTGCTCAAATGAAAGTGAAAAAAGAGTTGCAACAATATCGCCAAAGTGACCGACTGGAGGCGCAGTCATAAGTACACTTGCAGATGAAGAGTGCTGACAAAACGGTGTACACTGCAGGAGCAATGTTGACCAAAGAAACTATGTGCCCGAGCTGGGCATCTCAAACCAAAATTTCCGCATTACACAGCAAGAGGCAACGGAGATAAGCAAGCCATGTCGTCATGCGCAGATTGGCTCCATGATTAACGTGCCTTGCCGAGGAGCTAAATTGCGAGGTGCACCCACTCTTCTCACCGACCTCGCACGCAATTCAAACGTTGGAGGTCTAACTTTTTCTTGCATTACTAATTCACCTTACCGCTGTAGGCAAAAAGGATACTGAATATTCCCCACTAAGGAAGGTGTCCCTGCGTATTTGGCGTAGACGCGAGTCACTCTCCACCCGTATAATGTGGGCCGAGTGGTAAAACTGACAAATGTGCCTGACCTGGCATGAAGGCTGTATGTTCGAAATGTGGGATGTACGGTACCCCTCTATGAAGTCCCGAGCCGATGTTTCTAGAGTACTCTGCAGTATGTACACACATACATGGCCTTGCATGCATCCTGGCATGGAACGACCCATCCGCGGACTAAGCCTAGGATGTCGATCTTGCCAAGACTAGTAACAGCGTTGTCTTAAGTCCGACGCCCGTAGGTGTACCGGCGACAACATGTTGCTCGGTTGTATCTCCGTGTCGCCTATAAGTAAGTATGCATGCCTATCGACTTGGCATTCTGCTTTGAAAAATGTCCACTGCAAAGTAATCAGGCACAAGTGTATTGCCGCGGCAACTCTCAACGACTCGCACAATGTGATTTGTAATTATAACCATGCAATAGAGATAATATTCTACCTTAAGGGGTATTCGCATTTGAATGTAATCATCGGGTTGTACGTGTTGATTTCGGCTGTCCTCCTCCTAATCGAAATATTGTCCAGTTTACGGCTTCTTCTCGATGAGCTGAGGGATATCCTCAGGCTTGTTCTTGCCCTCGAGAATGTTGTAGACTGCGGTGAACAGGGGAAAGTCGTCCTCCATACCCTGGGCCTTCAAGAACTCATTGACCTCGTAGGCAGTGCTGGTACCCTGCAGCTTCTGCCCATTAAGCTCCGTCTGCTCAATCTCGTCAATGGGCTTGCCGCGCTGGACAGCCATCTTTGCGCAACGAAAGTTTCGTCCACCCATGCATGATGTCACAACATCAGCAACACCGCAGCTTTCCTCGGTGAATGTGCTGGTGCGCGCGCTCTCTCCGAAAAAGGCCTTGCCGAACCTGACCATTTCCAGAATGCCAACACGCATGACAGCGGCTTTGGCATTGTCGCCCCATCCCAGACCGTCTACAAAGCCTGCTGCAAGAGCAATGATGTTCTTCAGAGCACCACCGAGCGACACACCCGCGACGTCGTTAACAATGTGTACATGGAAATAGGGGCGGTGGAAGAGCTTGCGGACGTTTTCGTGCGACAGAGGCGGGTACTCGTTAGGCAAAGCAGTCAGATGCGCAGAGCGCTTGCTGGGCTTCGACTTGCTAGGGTCAATCAGGTCGACGTGAGAAGTGAGGTCAACCTGAGAAGCATTGGGCGAGCCACTTGGGGTGGGATGGCGCGAGTCTAGCGGCGGCGGGTCGTATGCCACCGTAGTCTCGGAATACTTCTCCTGGGCAATCTCAGATGCAATGTTCGCACCTGACAAAGCACCGCAGTAGATGTTGAGCGTCATGCCAATCGTCTCCGACATCAATCGGATGCCCTTCTCGCTGACATCCACACCCTTTGTGCAGCAGATGGCTCGCGCATAGGGGAGGATCTTTCCGACCAGTTGCTGGCATGAACGCGCAATGAATTGATGGGGCAGCACAAAGATGAGCATCGTAGAATCCTTGCACGAGGCGGGGAGATCGGGATTGGCGATGACGTTGGATGGGAGCGTGATGTTTGGGAGGTACTTGACGTTCTCATGGACCCTGTTGATGAGCTGGGAAAGCTTCTCAGGCTGATCCGAGCCGCTGTAGTGACGCGAATCCTTTGGGATTGTGTACTCCTCCTCAAACACCCACATCTGCACTGTTTCTTCAAACAGAGAGGGGTGCTCCTTGACGTTCTCGGCGACTAGTTTGGCCATGGTGGTGCCCCTATACTATCAGTCAGTCAGTGCCCCCCGCTATCGAGTCATCTTGCATAGCTTCAAAGCACAGCTAAGCACTTCCACATGCTAAGTACGTACCAGTTGCCGGAGCCGACCACCGTGACTTTGTGCTTGCGACCAACACCGAGGGATGCCATTTTTGTGTATTCGTGTCTCACTTGGTGCAGATTGTGGTTGCGTAAGAAACTATCTGGCACGACGGTGCGTTTATATGGGAGTTGCAGGCAACGAGGGGTGACGTGGAGAGGCAAGCGCGAGGCAAGCGATAATAGTTTCCCAAATTTGTTAAGCGCCACTTTTGCGGGTTCCTATAATGTCTTTGCACAGTCAGTATGAAAAAAGAGACAAGTTTTCAGCCGCACAGCAGCTTAAATATCACAACAGTATACGAGCTGGGGCGATAACAGGCAGACTGACCTCGGCAGCTTGTGATGCGGCGTTGCCGAAAGCTTCAATTGCTATGGCCCAGGTCCCAAGGCTGGCGGTCAGGGCGTTTTTGACAGTGGCACTGGACTTGGCAACAAGTCGTCGAGCGTGGGTATGGATCTGCTTATACGGATGTGGATGTCGACGGGCTAGAGAGAAATTCGGTATCTTTGCGTCATGGGATCTGCAGCGTCGGACCTGCGGCGTTTGCTGATCAGCAGAATATGCATGACCGACGGCCAATTGCGTTCGAGCAGAGACAGCCAACTAACAACAAAGTCCCAATGACAAGCATCACCAGACGACAACATACGAGAGCACAGGTGCAACATGGGGCGCCGTGGGGCACAATGTAAAAGTAGCAGTATTGGTAGTATTGGGTATTACAAGTCGTGTGTTGCTTCATAACATCGCATTAAGTATCCTCCGAGAGCGATCGCAACCACCATCAGCAGTGATGAACAAGAAAATGCACAAAGATAAACAGCCAAAGCCATAAAACGCCAACGCTAACACGCTGACGAAGATGAGCCCTCTTCAGCGAATGTCCCCACATGGTTGTGCTGATAGCAGTGACGAAAGGCCATCTCGTCACCGTCCAACAGGGACCGGCCCGCGACCCTTTTAGTGTCCTGTTGTTGATTTACAAGGCCATTCCGAAGAGGGCAAAGAGGCCACCAGCGAGAGCAGTGGTGCCGTAGAAGGCAAGGTTGGTAGCAGCGCCGGGGGTAGGGGTGCTGGAGGCAGCGCTGCCGGAGGCATCTCCAGTCGAGGCGGGCGAGCCGCTGCTGGTAGCAGAAGGGCTCGACGAGGCGGACGAGGATCCGGAACCAGAGCCAGAGCCAGAGTTACCGGCTTCGGTAGCCTGCTCGATGGTCTTGTTGCCGCACAGGCTGTCGCGAGCCTGTCCGCACTCAAATTGAGCAGTCGCATCAGTGCCAGAGGCAGAAATACAGTTGCTGTACCAGACAAGGCACATCTGACCGGGGACAGTCTGCTGGTACTGGTCCATGACGCTGGTGACATCGGTACCGTTACGGCACTTGCAAGAGAACTCGAGAGTGGACTGCACGCGTGTTAGCATTTGGTACGCGCATGGCGGGACACGCGACATACAGAATCGCACTTGTTGCCGTTGCTAGCAAGCGAGCCGCGACCACCGCAAAGCTCAACACAGGTGTTTTGGTTGGCCTGGCACCATGACTGCCTGTCGTCCTGGTCGATCGAGTTTGCGGGAACAGAGCAGCACTGGATGGGAGTATTGAAGGTGGTGTTTTGCGCAGACACGAGCCCGGCAAGAGCCGAGGCGGCGGCGATGAAGGTGGAGGAGCGCATTTTTGTGGATGGGAGCAAGAGTATCAATGTCTGAGATTGAGCGGCGTCAGCGGATGGCCGGCAGAGGGATAGGAGTGAGTAGAGCAGGATGGTGAGGCAATATACAGCAGCAATTGCGCAGGCAATGTGCGCAGCGTGTGTTGGCGGAGGTCAGTGGCGACAGGGAGGGCACTTACAGCGGGATGTATGATGCTGGTTTGGTGGAACGGATAACAGAGGCGGGTGTTGTTGCTGGGGGGAGCAGGAATATATGCTCCAACGCACGGGCTGGAGGAAGACGGCTAGTCGGCCGTGCTTGCCTACTACAAGCTAGGGCCATTGTTTTCAAGATACGCTCAGACGCGGCGGAAAGTCGACCTGGGCATCTTTCGCCAGTTGCCCGTTTGCGCGCCAGGAAATTGCTCATTTAGTACACACACATATGGGGCATTGACCCTGCCATCTGCCCTCGCCCTCGCCCTCCAAGCTCCTCCGCTGTCCTGTGTAGCCATCGCCATCTCCATGAGGCAGACGGCGGCTTTGCGCGTCGGACATGGTGACGACGTGTGTACTACACGGCGGCGTTGGTTTCAGGTGTCGCCAGTCGCCAAACCCGCCACGCTTCGGATATGCGCCTGCAGGTTGGACCAAGGCGACCCCGCTCAACCGTCCGTGTCTGCCACTGTCAAGTAGTTACTGGCGCTCCCAAGGCCCCAAGGTGCATCTATCTGACGGTGCCATGCCGCGCCGGCCCAAGTGCGTTGCGCTGCTTGGTTGGGGACGGTGACGGAGAATCAATGGCTCGCTGCATCCCTGCACAGTGGCCGTGCTCTGCATCCGTTGTGCAAACCCCATCTATTACTGACACATCCGAGCTCCACGCCTGCACCACACCGCACCACACCACCACACTGCAAAAAAATAAAAAGAACCGGGACGCCTGCCACGTCGAGTCAGGTCAGATGATGCGCCGTTTCACTTTTGGCGGCCGAGAATGGCAGCAGAGACGGGCAGACAAAACACCAAGCCACAGGCAAGATGCATGGCTGCGGGAGCCTGCCCGTAACGCTGCTGTTACTTGCCTACCTAGGTGGACCGACGTTGCTTGAACCAGTTGCCGCCAACCAGCCTTAGCATGAATAGCGTATTGCCAGTCCTTGCTGGGTCGCTTGCATATCCTCCCTCGGCCCGCGCAGAAGAAGGATGCACTGCGCATCCCACCCGCCCAATCACGCGCCGCGCCCCAGATTGCCCATCCAGGACGCATGCTGTTTTGTTATTGTTGTTATTGCTGTTTTCGAGCCATGGCCATGTCACTGTACACCGACTGAGGGTTCATCTCCACACGCTGCGGATCCTCTCTGCCAAGCACTGCAGTCAGCACGAGGAATGCCACTCGTCCAGATAAGGAACTGCATGTACCTACATACACATTCCTACATATCCAGGTGTAGTGTAGCACACGCAACCCCGAGGCGGTGACTGTGGGGTGTGGCAGTGACAGTGCGCGTCCACATGCAGCCATTGGATGCGGTTGTACCTATAGCATTACCCCAGAACCGCAGTAGTCTCTAGTGACGCATGCATTCCTCGCCAGCCGGTTACGTGGCTGGATCGTGGCGCTACGGCACTCCATCTCCCCTCACTTCTGCCGATGCGCCAGCCACCCAGTATTCGATATCTTTGCCAGCAAACAATGGGCATGATACCCGCACCAGGAATCACTTCACACTTGTCGTGTGAGATAAGCCCATGTGGAGTTATCGCACGGGTGGGGGCTCTGTGCTCCACGCAGCGGAATCCCTACGAACCCGACCTCAGTCAAAGCAACCATCCCTTCTTTCGGCTGTAGTCGTACTCTAGGGTGCAAGAAAAACAACCAATGGAAGAAAATCAGCACACGCACACGGCCACCGCTGACAGCTCGTCGAACATATGGCCCGTGCATACACTATTATCACCACCGCCATGCGGCATTGCAGTCCCTCACACAGTGCACTGCTGTTTGTTTTTGTAACCAACAATTTGTTCCCTAGGTTTCGAATTCTACCTTTTTACTGCACCCCACTATATCCGGGGCTCGTATTATGCCAAGTACTCGTAGGGGCTTTCCCCATAAGCACCGGCTGCAGAATCGCTCCTGCCTCTCCGGCCGAGATGATGTCACGACTCAAACTTGGTCTATTATTCACCTCAAACTGGTGCAGGTTTGCACACATTCCCATGCACTCTCAGGCTGGCGCATCGACACTGCAACCATCTACAATAACCTCTCCGCCTATTGGCGGCCATTTTTCCAATGCAGAACAATTACTTTGTCTGCACCCTGGGCCAGGCGGCTGCCCTAAACACCAGCCCGAAGTCGTACCGAAATATTAGCGAATACATCCATCAGCAATCCCAGAACCACCCCTTACTCCCTGCCGTTGGCTTCCCCATCCCCGCACTAGATCAGCAAGAGTGGAGTTTCAAGGTTCTCACCTTTGCAGACGTTGAACATGCTGTTGGTGTCTTCGCCTCACGTCTCGCAATTGCTCTTGGCCCCTCACGAGAACCACAGACTGTTGCTCTCCTGTGCCATAGCTCTCCTGAATTCCTCTTCAATTGGCTAGGCTTGATCAAGCTGGGACATGCCGTCTTACTCGTAGCCCCCCAATGTCAGCCGGCTGCAATATTGCATCTTTGTACCTCGTGTCAGGTGTCAGTTCTCCTTTACGACGAGGCCCATGCTGAGCGAGCGGATCAGTCGGAGGAACTAGCAAAAGAGCAAGGACTGTCTGCTTTAGAAACAAAGCTGCTACCAATAAGTGCTTCGGAAGACATTTGGCAGGTTATTCAGGAACAAGTCGAGGATAGCATTGAACCACTGCATATCGATCAGGGAGCAGTTGCATACCTGCATCACACTTCTGGAACCTCGTCTGGCCTCCCAAAACCCATCCCTCAATCACATCGCGCAGCCATTGGCGTGCTTCCGCATCTCCCCAAGATACCGGCTGTAGCTTCGTTTACTACGACGCCACTCTACCATGGAGGAATCGCGGATTTGTTTAGATGCTGGACAAGTAATGCCTTGATTTGGCTTTTCCCAGGCAAAGAGGTGCCCATTACAGCACGCAACATTTGTAGTTGTCTGTATGTAGCCAAAGTATATGCAAAGACAGAAGGGCTTCCCAAGGTCAAGTACTTCTCATCGGTCCCGTATGTGCTTCAGATGATGGAAGCTGATGAGCGAGGACTGGAGCTGCTCCAAGAAATGGATATTGTAGGCGTTGGGGGTGCAGCCTTGCCAACTGAAGTTGGTGATCGTCTTGTCAGGAAAAAAGTCAATCTCATTTCACGGTTTGGAAGTGCAGAATGCGGCTTTATCCTATCATCGTATCGTGAATCCTTTGTAGATCAAGATTGGCAGTATTTGAGAAACTACAACCCACCAGAACTCGTAGAGTTTGAAGAGCGTCAGGGCGGTCTGGCTGAACTTGTCATTAAACCTGGGTGGCCACACATGGTACCACCCACAACTTTACACACAGTATGTAGCTAGTTGCTAATTTCTACGCAGGCAAAGCGGAACCGACCTGACGGATCATTCGCCACGGCCGATTTGTTTGCGCCGCATCCTACAATCAAGGACGCTTGGTTGTATCATTCGCGAGCAGATTCCCAACTTACTCTCATCACGGGAAAGAAATTCGATCCAGCCCCACTTGAGGATGCTCTCGCAACATCCCCTAACCTAGATGGTGTCCTCATCTTTGGCAACAGCCGGTCATTCCCAGGTGCATTGCTCCTGCGGTCTAAACAAGCGAGTGAGATGACAAACGACGAATTGCTCAACTCCATAAGGGAGCAAGTCACGAGATTAAACAGTGAAAGCCAAGATCATGCCCGAATACCCTTCGACATGTTGATTCCTATTCACTACCAAGACCAACCGCTCGAGAAAAGTAGCAAGGGTACCATAATTCGAAGGTCTGCAGAAGAACGGTTCCAAGACGTCATCAATCATGCATACATCGCGCAGGATTCCGACACTGCCCCCCAGGTGGCCGATGAAGATCTACCTCAGCACTTGACGGATCTGATTCAGAGTCTGACAGGACAATCTGGACAGCTCACAGAGGATATGGACCTGTTCTCTTATGGTGTTGATTCCATTGCGTGTATGCAGTTAAGAACGCGTTTAAGACGGTTGACCCCGAACATCGAGGGACAGCTACCAATGAGTGTGGTAGAGGATTGCGGTTCGATTCGGCGACTGGCAGACTATGTGTTGCGAAAGAGACATGGAGAAAGTGAGGCGGGAGAGGAAGACGAAGAGAAACTTATGTTAGACATTGTAGAGCGGTATGGCTCATTTGAAAAGCCAGTCTCCGGTGTATCTGCCAATGGACTGCCCGAGGAGAACCAAGGCAGTGATATTGTAGTGCTGACTGGGGCCACTGGGGCGCTGGGTGCGCATATTCTAAGTCTATTACAGAAAAACCCCACAGTCACAGCAGTATACTGTCTTGTCAGAGGAGCGGACGAGACAGCAGCGAGAGAACGTGTGAACAAAGCGCTGCAGCAGCGCAGCCTGATTGACCTAGGTCCTCCTGATGCCCCAAATACCAAGATCAAAGTAGTGCCAGCGCAACTAGGGGAAGAGAATCTGGGACTAGACGACAAGACATACGATCATCTCGCGAAGAAAGCGACTTTGATTGTTCACGTTGCATGGACCGTCAACTTCCGTCTCAAACTGCGAAGCTTTGAGAAAGACAATATTGCTGGGGTGCGAAACCTTCTCAACCTTGCCTTAAAGGCTCGGCGGTCGCAGCTTCCTTGCTTCTTGTACTGTTCCTCTACCGCAGCAGTTATGAATAGCTCCCTGGATGACGCAGGCAAACTGCCCGAAACGCTTAGCTCCAGGCCCTCTTCAGCATCATCCCTGGGCTATTCTCAGTCCAAATGGGTGGCGGAGCACATTTGTCTCCGAGCACACGAGCAAACAGGGCTGCAGGGGCGTATCGCAGTTGTGCGTGTTGGTCAGCTCACTGGTGACTCGACTACAGGGGTGTGGAACACAAAGGAGGCTTGGCCTATGATGCTGAGTACGGCGAGGCTGATCAATTGCCTTCCTGACTTGGGGGATGAGCCTTTGGACTGGCTGCCTGTAGATGTTGCTGCAAGAGCGTTTTTGGAAACGCGCGACACGCTTGACGGAAGTGACTCAATGCCAGTCTACCATGTGTTGAACCCACACCAAAGACCGACGTGGCATCAGATGCTGGAGTGGCTGCAGAAGTGGGAAAACTTTGACATTGTCACGTCAAAGGAATGGGTAGAGCGACTAGAGGAGTCTGGGGGATCGGAGCATTCTGCCTTGAAGCTCTTGGGATTGTGGAAGGCGTCATATGGTGGTGAAGCCGCCGAAGCAGGGACGCGACCACAGTTCTCTATGACGAATACAAGCAAGAAGGTACCGACGTTGAGAGATACCAAACCACTGGACGAAGAATATCTGGGGAAGATGTGGTACTGGATACAGCAAAACGTGCACTGATACGTAGTAACGTACTTAGATGAGGAAGATAGAGTTGCCAAGGGGGATAGTAGTATGTCGTGGTTAAACCTTATTTCCGTCTCTCGGCGTTAACAAGGGACCCTGGCTGCCCGTAGACGTGGTAAGATCCGAGTCCGAGGTCGACGATGCAGAGCCAAATTCAACTTTTGACTCTGTTCAATCAATGACTGCATGCCCAAGTGGCATTGGCATGCGTCGGGGTTCCAAGTTTTCGTGCACCATGTTACGTATCCATCAGCTCACTGTGATGCGACGGCAGAGTGCGTTGGTTAGTACGGTGCAGAGTAGTATGAATCGTGTGTACTAGATGAGGTCCACGGTAGCATGTACATAATGTGTAATGTAGCACGCGGCTGAAGCACAAAAGAACCCTCTGCAAGGGAAGCTGAGCCATTCCTAAGTGCTCACCGCCGGTGCCAGTTTAGTTTTTGTTTCTTTTTCTTTTTTTGCACCCGCACCCGAGTAACGGTTAATGTAACGAGATGGCTATGTGACGGGCCGGCTATGATGATCGGTGACGGTGACAATGACCAGAAATGAGTCAGGGCTGTGCATTCCCTTCCGTCCCGTTCTCGTCGCATAACGGGGGCGGAGCGCAATTCCACCCCGACCTCCGACGTCCTCTGCCAAGCCAGCTCCCTTTTCCAACCGAGGCGCAGGAAGCAGCCCTTGTGAGATTATGGGGTCCACTGGGCGTAAAACGGACGATCCATTCATCTTTTGTGGTCTAGCGGAGGGCTTCCTGTCACATTAGGCACCCATTTTCTGCGCGTGTCGGCCGTTGGGTTGGTGCACAGCGGACCTGCTTCGAGTCACCCAAACAATGAGCATGACCTTGCATGTGCATGTGCAACGCGAAGGGCGGGTCCTGTTAGTGCTGGCAGTCGGTGTTGTTGTGAGAAGGTTAGAGAATGATGTCAGCATACTACTACTAGTAGTCCCAAGGGTAAGAAGAAGAAAAGAAAAAAAGCTTGGAGCCCTCAGCATGCTTGACCGGTAGCGTCGACGCTTGCGGGGCGCGCGCACTCCGGCCCACGATCCAAACGAAACGCTTAATGAAAATGGAGACAGACATGGCCGCACGATCGATGCGCCAACGAAAGCCTTCTCTTCATCGCTTTGACTCGTACACATAGCCTTTCAACTCATTAGCAGCCGAACAAATAGCCCCCTGGCGATGAATTCGTAGTGCAATCTGCAAAGCCATCAGCATGAGCCATGCATCCGCGGAACGACAATTGGGCCATGTGGCTTACAACCAGGCAGCGAAACTACGGCTATCATCGCGCGCCGGACGAATTCCGCCGCATTGTAGCCGAAGGCGTTTGCTAAGGCCCTCTAGAGAGCTTCTAAACTCCGTTCACTAGAGGCCCCTTCTAGGCCTTTCGCGAACGAGGTCCGCACGACTCTGGGCGGTACGACAATGGAACCCGTCCCGGGGCTCCTGCCATTCGGAAAATCCACTTCTGGGGGAGTGTATCATGACTCCTTTTTCTGCCTTCAGCCCCGTAGCGAGTCGTTGGTATAACTAGAGGCCGTCTCCTTCCATCCTCTCCCTGCTCTTGCCGGTTACATTACGCCCTTTTGTTTGCCACCTCTTCGCGTGCACAGTCAGATTAACTTGCGCAAACAAACTAATAAAAGTACACATACCTCTCTGCTCTTTCCCATGAGCGACACAAACGACAACCTCCGTCCATCCAGCATGGCGGACTCTGAAAAGACGGCCACGCCTAGCGTTCAGAACACCACAGGCAAGGAGAACAAGGGTCCTGTCGAGACTGTTCTTCCTGCATCAACAGCGGCTGTCGACGCCGCAGCCCCTATCACCGGTACTGGAGAGAAGAGTTCGCGACCTAGCTCGGTAGCCAGCCCAACACCAGAAAACAACGACGAGGACGACTTCGAATACCCGACCAAATGGAAGCTGGGCGCCATCACCGTGGCATTGTGTTTGAGCGTCTTTTGCATGGCCCTGGTAAGTCTAGTGCAATACCCGTTAGCCCCTTGGTTCCACTACTTTGGTACAACAACGGTGATCGACGCCACCTACTTACGCATATGAAATCGGCCGCCGATCGATCTCGTCAACGTCCGCTAACACGCACATGTATAGGACAACACCATTATCGCAACAGCCATCCCTCGCATTACGGACCAGTTCAAGGCCCTGAACGATGTTGGCTGGTATGGATCGTCGTACCTCCTTACCACGTGCGCGACTCAGCTCATGTACGGTAAATTCTATACCTACTACTCGATCAAGTGGATCTACCTGACTGCCTTGGCCATCTTCGAGTTCGGCTCGCTCATCTGCGCTGTTGCGCCAAACTCGACGGCGCTTATCATTGGACGTGCCATTGCTGGTGTTGGTGCCGCTGGTATCTTCTCAGGAGCCATCTTGATCGTCTCGGTGACGGTACCGCTGCGCCAGCGTCCTACGTACATGGGTGTTATCGGAGGAATGTACGGTATCGCATCCGTTGCTGGCCCGCTGATGGGCGGTGCCTTTACTGACCACGTCAACTGGAGAATGTGCTTCTACATCAACCTTCCCTTTGGTGCCATCACGGCGGCCTTTATCATCCCCTTCCTCCAGGTTACCCGCCGTGGTGGAAAGGTCCAGGCTACATGGCGTGAGCAGATTCAAAAGTTCGATCTTCCCGGAACAGCTTGCTTCTTGCCCGCTATTATTTGCTTGTTGCTCGCTCTCCAGTGGGGTGGCAGCAAGTATCAGTGGAAGGACGGTCGCATCATTGCGCTCTTGGTCCTCTTTGTTCTCCTCACATGCAGCTTCCTTGCTATCCAGTGGTGGAAGCAGGAAGATGCCACGGTTCCTCCTCGCGTCTTCCTGAACCGCAACGTCTGGGGATCTGCATTGTTCGGTGCCATGCTGGGCGCTAGCTTCTTCATCATGGTTTACTACCTGCCCATCTGGTTCCAGGCCATCAAGGGAGCTTCGGCAACCAAGTCTGGAATTATGAACCTCCCCGCCATCCTCGGCCTCGTCATCATTTCGATGATTGCTGGTGGCGCTGTAACTGCTATTGGTTACTACACGCCGTTCATGCTCCTCTCGTCGGTCCTCATGGCCATTGGCGCCGGTCTGCTCGCAACGATGGAAGTCGACAGTGGTTCCCCGCAATGGATTGGCTACCAGTTCATCTTCGGTGCTGGTGTCGGTTTCGGTATGCAGCAGATCCTGGTTGCTGTTCAGACAGCGCTTCCCGCAGAAGACGTTCCCATTGGCACCGCTACCATGATGTTCTTCCAGACTCTTGGCGGCGCTCTCTTCATCTCTGTTGGCCAAAACGTCTTCACCAACCAGCTCATCAAGAACCTGGCCAGCATTGTGCCCGATCTCGATGCCAGTATCGTACTTCGCACCGGTGCAACTGAGCTCAAGCACGCTATTGACCCTGAATTCCTCTCTGGCGTGCTTTCAGCATACAATAAGACGCTTACCCAGACCTTTTACGTGTCAGTTGCCTGTGGAGCGGTCTCGATTTTTGGTGCCGCATTTGTCGAGTGGAAGTCGATGAAGGGCAAGCAGATCACCATGCATGCTGCCTAAGCGGTCCACGCTACAGGAGAAGAATGATATTTCGAGACTTATAGCCTGATAAATGAGCGCCTCTTACTGGCGTCACTCATTGTAACGATACCCCCCCTTTTTTTTGCCTTGTCAAAAATATGAGCATCTAGTAGCGAGCATGGCGTCGGCGTTGGTTTTGCTATTAGGGAGGATTTCTTCTTGGTAGATTGCAATAGATGTACTATGACGGGGTAATTGGCTCTCGAGGTGGACGTGGTGGATTATGGCTCTTCACTCTTATTTACAAGAAAAGAAAAGAATAATTTTAATACTACATTTGCAAAGTACCATCGATTAGCTCTAATACTACAACCGGCTATCCGTGTGGTCCGGCGGAAGCAGAGACGAGCCGGTATCCGAGGACAGCAAGTGACGTCAGCGTGGTCCCTTGAGTGCAGGTGGGTGCAGGTGGCAGATAGTGTGGCTTTTCCACTCCCGCATGTCACATGGAGGTAGTTTTCCCTATCAGGCGGGGCCAAGAAGAGGGGACTAGACAGTAATAGACAGTAGTAAACGACTTTGCATGTTAGACGGGCAAATAGGACCTCGATCCCGTGCAGACTCGACGTAGGATTGGCTTACCCTGCTTGGCCGTTCTAGCCGTCGTCTGTTTAGCCCCAAGGCTTAGCAGAGCTTGTTTTCTGGTAGGGCCGGAGCGTTCCACTGGCGATCAACACTCGCCCGCCCGCTCACTCGCTGCGCCTGCCTTGGATTGCGCGTTCTCCAGTCTTACCGTGTACCTTACCCGGGCTTGCGCGGTATTTCTCCTCCTACACACGCCATGCCGTAGCCGCACTCAATGACACTGCGACTACCAGTATCAGCACCTAATTTTTAGCCCGTCCCCTTTGCGCTCCCTCCCCCTAGCCCCGTTGCGTCGAAACGCGCCCACCGTCCACCAAGCCCGTACGCCCTCGTCGACTTTGCGGCTAGACGCGCCGTCGCGTGTCGCAAGCATGCCGGAAGAGAAGGGTTCGGCGCCACCGGGCGTGCAGAATGGACAGGCGCACCCAACCGTGGAAAAGGACGAGTCTGCGAATGGCGCCAATGTCGAGTACCCAAAGCCGCAGAAGACGGATACGGCCGGCAGCAAGAAAAAGGGTCCCGAGGGAGGCTTCGACGACACGCCGGTACCGCGCGTTCCGCCTGGATACACGATCAAATTTACGCTGCATCGCGCCAACAACCTCCCTCTAGCTGACATCAACACCCTCTCGGCCGATCCCTTCATCGTCGCCCAGCTCATCACCAGCCTGCCCACACGACACAAGGAGGACCCGCCCCTGACCATGCGCACGCATACAGTGCGCCAGAGCACCGATCCAGTATGGAACTATGAATGGATAGTCGCCAACGTACCGGCGTCGGGCTTCAACTTCAAGTGCCGCATCTACGATGAGGACCCCGCAGACCACGACGATCGCCTCGGTAATGTCCATGTCGTCGTTCCTTCGATAAGCGAGAATTGGCCAGGCATACACGACCAGACGTATTCCATCAGGAAGCGCATGATCAGCAAGAGGGCGTATGCGCTGCGCGCTGTCGCGGTTTGCTTCGGAAAGGTGCATCACATGAGCGGAACACTCAACGTCAGCGTAGAGGTACTGGGCAGAACACAAGACGATAACGGAGGACGCACATACACAGTAGGACCGCAGTTCTGGATACGGCATTATTCGCCGCTACTCGGACGCCTGCTGGGCCAGAAAGAACCCAACAACGATGGCGAAGTGTCACGGCGAACTGGCAAGCAAAAACCGCAAAAGTACAATTTCCAGTCGAACCAGATGCAGCTGCGCGGCCCTGTGCCCGAGGCAATGTATCACCGCTTTGTCGAGTTTAAGCCTTTCGTTAAGAGCATGTTCACTGCAAAGGGCGCTAGGGGCTACATCCTCTCCAAAGCCCTACACCACCAACACGCCCGCGTCTACAACTTCGACCACGCGACGGAATTCCAAGTAATCCGCGAGCCCTGTAAAGAGTTCACACAAAAATTCCTCGAACTTGTCCACTACGACCAAGGCGGCCGCATCTTCACCTACGTCCTCACCCTTGACGCCTTATTCCGCTTCACCGAAACCGGCAAGGAATTCGGCATCGACATGCTCAGCAAACACACTATGCACAGCGACGTCGCGCCGTACATTGCTTTTTCTGGTGAATTCTTCATCCGCCGCCTCAAACACAAGGATCGCCGTCCCCCCGACGAAGGAGGAAACAACGTGTCCCACCCCCCTCACGACATCGAAGGCGGACCCCCCGACGAATCCCCCAAGAAAGACCCCGCTTACTACGAACTCGTCATCGACAACGACTCGGGCACCTACCGCCCCAACGCCGCGCTCCTCCCCCACCTAAAAACCTTCTTCGAATCAAACTTCCCTGGCCTCCACATCCGCACCCTCGACTGCCAGGGCGACGCAGAGAAAATGGCCGCTATGAAAGCGGAGCAGCGCGAGCGCAAGAAGAGAGAAGGGGATCCGGTCGTGTACACGCAGATTTCGCGATCTAGCAGCATGAGTAGTAGTGATGAGGAGGAGTTGGATCGCTTGGAGGCAGAGGGCGAAATGGCGCCGAAGCATTTGAGACATCAGATTCAGAGGGAGGCTGGGGCTAGGATGGATGCGCTTAAGGTGCATGCGAGGGGAAGGCCGGGGACGGCGGATGGGGGGGAGGCCAAGGTTGCTGGGGGTGGGTAGGAGGGGGTGGGGCATATGGGTGATGAGCGGGACGGGCACTTGAGCGGGCATTCATTTATCATTATTACTACTACTAACTTACTTACTTACTTACTACTTACTTACTATTATTATTCCTTTTGTGTAATTGGTAGCATTGTTACGTCGCATGTATATGTTTTTCTCTTCGTTATCTTGTAGCTATTTCAGCCTTGTTTTCTTTTTTCTTTTATTTGTGTAACTATACATGATTTTCAGCGCTTTTTGCATTTTCCTCTTTCTCAGCATTACACTTGAACACCATACATACGTAGTTAGTCGGTCGGAAAGAAGAAAGGAGAGAGAAAGAGAGAGGAGAGAAACATGGGATTCGCCCATGTTTTTTCTTGTTGGTGACTGGGTTGGGCTTATAGATACCCTTATTGGGGGGGGGGAGGGTTTCCCCAAATATTCTCGTATGTTTAGTCTTACAGCATAATTGTCGCATGCAAAGTTTATTCGTATCCCAAAAAAAGAAACTCGTCGAATGTTCAAGTTGAAACTAGTAATAAAAACTAACTAACTACATAGTAAAAGAGGTTCATATCAAACTACTCAGAAACCCAAGAAACCAAAAAAAAACTGATTGTTGAAATCCATTCAAGATCTCAATCTAGCATATCTATTATAATGTATAAGACTTCTTTTTTATGTCGTATGTCTAATATGTATTCATCATTTTGACCCAAAATACCCTAATAATATCCCGTCCCGTGCATGTCAAAAAAAAAACAGACAATGCTACAACTGCACCTGAAACTTGGGATTCGTCCTAATCCTTTCCCCGTAAAACCTAAACAGCACCGGCACTGGTATAAACGCCACGCCAATGAATCCCAAGAGTGTATTCCCCCAGCCCAGCCCCAATGAATCAAACATGGGCAGTCCTGCAAGCGGCAGGACCGCTCCAAAAAGCGATCTGAGCACCGTATTGGCCGCAATAACCGACGCAGCGTGCCGCGTAAACGCATCCACAAGATACGTCTGAATAGTCATCATCGACGTGAGACTACCTAGACCCACTGGCGCCATAGCAATGATAGGAACAATCCAGTGCACCTTATTCTTCGTCGTCCATCCGTATATGAAAATGCCGATGGGCAGACCAATCGCACCGGGCAGCGTCAGAATAAGCGGGAGACGATGCTCAGGCTTCGCTTTGCCTTGTGTTTGCTGCTTCTGCTTGATGTGGCGGTCGGAGTATGAGCCAATTAGCATGAGTCCGAGGATCATGCCAATGCCGATGCCTAGGTAGGCGAGACCGACGGAGCCCGAGGAGAATTTGTATTGACCCTCGAACACGAAGGTGATTGTTGTAAAGAAGAGGTACAAAATACCGTAGTTGACCGATATGTAGAGACACATTAGTAGGATGATGGGGGAGAAGAGGAGCATTTTCATCGGCCGGACGATAGCGCGGACGATGATTTCGCGGGGGGGAAGATCTTGTGCTAGTTTCGAGCGGAGATTGGTGTTTCCCGTTGATTTGATGAGGGATTTGGTCTTGCGAGCGAGGAGGATGGGGGCAAAGGTTTCACGGCCGACGACGAGGAAGAGGATGCCAAAGGCGCCACCGAAGATGGCCAGGATCCAGTAGACCCAGCGCCAGACAAGGTTTTCGACGAGGAAGCCTCCGGCGATGGGGCCGACGACGGGCCCGATAAGGGGACCAATGGACCAAACTGTCATTGCGCCTGCGCGCTGCTCGACGGGGAACATGTCTGCGATTGTGCCGCCGCCGAGTGTCAAGGGTGCAGAGCCTGCGCACCCGGCGAGGAAGCGGAAGGCGATGAGCATGCCCATTGAGTCGGAGACGGCGCAGGCAATGTTGAAGATGACGAAGAATACGCCACAGATGTTGTAGAGAGGCATGCGGCCGTAGAGTTCGGACATGGGTGCGATGACTAGGGGTCCGATGGCGAAGCCTAGAATGTACACTGACACGACAAATGCGGCCAGGACCCTTGATGTCTCGTGGAATGATCGCATTACGTACGGTACGCCGGGGGCGAAGAAGGAGGATGCAACTGGAGTGATCAGTGTCATGAGCCCGAGGGCGGCAACAATACTCCATTTCTTCTTCGCAGGCCAGTTTTGAGGGTTATTTGGGTCATCCGGCCCGTCCCAGTCTACAATGTTGGGGTCTTGTTCTTGTTCTTCTTGTGTCTGCATCGCATTCGACAGTGTTTGCTCGTTTGAATGTGTTGAATTTGTTGATGATGATCCGCTCTCGATGCCTTTCTCTGGATCATGAGCGAATGAATCTCCTGTTGTTTCTGTCTCTTTATGATGTGTTGGTTCATATACTTCTTTCATCTGTTCGTTTTGGTGGTCTTGTGTGTCCCGTGTAGGGTCTGGCGAGGCTGGTGTTGCCATTATGAAACTTGGATGTGAACTGACTGTAACGTTGTAAGCACATTGTATTGAACAGACGCACTTTCACACTGCCATGATGTATGAATCAGTATGGAAAGACTGCCTTGAATAGGCGTGCCTAGAATGAACAAGCCTTACCGAACGTTAGTTGTACCACGGAGTGGACGTAAGCAGCTGCAAATCGTCAAGTCTAGCGGAAACTTGCAAATCAGTTCTTAGAAAACCCTAGCACTAAAGTTTCCCTTACTGGACAATACTTGGAGGCTACTTAATAAAGGCGAAGAGAGGTGTACATGGACTAAGAATTGGCAGGCGGCGTAATTCACGGACACAAGACCGTGCGACCCTCCGCAGCGAAGGGTAGCACGCCCGGACTTAAGTATAGGGGCGGAACACATGCGGGTGATCGCATGTCTGCATGTGGCATATTAGTGGAGATTTGCCCTACCTTGGGCTACGTTGTGTCGTCATGTCCGCAGTGAAAGCGAAACCTGTAGAAGTGGAGGCGAAGGCATAACGTATGCTAGTCACTGCAATACAATAAGCACATAAATAACCTTCCATGGAGGGTGAAGGATTGCCGTTTTGGCCGTGATGCTCTTTGATTAGCATGTTGGGCTTCGCAGTGCCGGGCTGTGACTTGCTCCAAGCACCGCGCGGAGGGTCGGAGGGTCGGAGGGTCGTAGGATTCTCGACTACTCCCTACTCGAGATTAAGCGATGCGGATCTCCCCAGACTTGGACATGAATTTGATGCGTGAGTCCGGACGAACTAAAGAATCATTAATATTCACATGTATTCCGGTAACCTGGCTTCAGGTGCGTGGACGAATGTACGGCCGTCCAAAGTTGATGCTGATGGCTCGATATCTGACATTGCCCAGTACCTAAATTTACACAGTGCCTTAATCTGACATACTAATGTCACTTGCTTATTGATGGGATGTGAAGGCAATGTCCACTCACTGCTGTCCGGAGCGAGAGCCCGTGCCGTTTGTGTTGTATGGAGTTGACGATCGCGAACAGATGGTCTTTGGGGGCCGTTGTTTTGCGCTAATCCCAAATAGCTAGTCAGGTGGTAGTCGAGGAAAGCTCAATGGATAGTTATACGCGAATAAACGTTCGATGCTTGCCCCGCAGTTTTTCGTATAGCAGGTTGTCCCACAGACAATGAACAAGGGTCTCTAATCCCTTCCGTCGTATCCGTGTTTACGCAACTGTCAACTTCAAGAAGCCATCTTGAAATCCACTTCGGCAGAACGTGTTAATAACAGAGTTTAACCCTTGGCAGTCGTGTTGAATAGTAAGGACTATGAATCAGTGCAGACCAATGTTTGTGGTGGAAATAAAGTTGACGGATAGTCGTAAGCGCAATACAAAATGCTGACATCTTATCTTACATAGCAGAAGACCCATGGAAGAAAACAAGAACATCGGTGTCAAGACCAGACCGAAATCCGAAGCAAGCGTAAAGGAAAGCATATTGCGTACTTTGCGGCATGTCATTGCAAACGGGGTCCGACCTCAACAAAATGACTTTGAAATACACTACCTCTATCCCTTATTCATGACTTTCCGCCAGCCAAACTCCTCCTTCCATCCTAGCATATCTTTCATCTTCCCATTGCAAATAGGTGAATCCCGATCTCCCATCTTTCGGATAATCTGCACTGTGGGACATGCTTTTCTCAGCCACTCTTCAATGCTTCCCTCCGACTCTGGTATCGTAGTCTCATCATTCACTGCATTAAATATTTGAAATCCTAGTCCATTCGTCTGTAAACAAGCGTGGATAATGCCTGCCAAATCTCTCGCATCCGTGTAGCTCCACGCATGGACTTTGAAGTCCTGCGGCCTTGTCAGATATGCTTCGAACTTTTTAGCGTGATTCTCAGGCTCAATGACGGCCGAGATGCGCAGGCAATAGATGTCCACACTTGGGAAGCGACGGGCGAATGAAGCTGCAGTTTGTTCCATACAGAGTTTCGAGGTGGCGTAGACATCCATTGGCTGTGTAGGCGTGTCCTCGGTTATAGGGAAATGTGCATAATCGACGTCACCTTCTGCATAGGTAACGCCATAAGCGGTGATGCTCGAAGCCAGGATGATCTTTTTATATGATCAGCGATTTTCTTGTCATTCTCAAAAAGACTGTTATACCTTCTTGATTCCAAGCTTGCAAGCTGCTTCGATAACATTGTATGAGCCCATTGTGTTAATTCGAAACGTCTCGTTGTCTGGAATCCTCATTGGCTGTGGTATGCCAGCAAAATGCACAACTGCATCTGGTGTCTTGACTGGTTCCATGAATGGTTCGCTGACGCGGAAATGACAAGACAGACTATTGAACGCCTGTGCGCCATCTGTCAAGTCCGCCTTTAATGTGTACACATCTGGATTGTTCAATGGTGTCACATCGACATTGAGAATCTCATGACCATGAGACAGAAGCCCAGATATGGCATGGCGGCCTGCTACCTATAAGGTGTGCATAGTCAGCAGAATCCAAGTAGGAGGAGATTCATAACCTCATATATCTGTACTCTTGGAAATCTCGAAGACACATGTCAGGGCCCGAGTGCCCTATACATGCCAAGAAAATCTAGGATGCCAAAAATCATAACGAAGTGAATTAAATGCACATACCCCGGAGCCACCCGTGAAAACAATTCGCTTTCTTGATGTTGAGCTAGTTGGCATTGCGCTAGGGTGAATATGCTTGCGAGAGAGGGAGGGAGATAGTGAGACAGTAGACGTATGTGTCTGAATAAGAACCTTTGAAGTTGCAGGTGAGATGGTGATGCTGATTTCGTTGCAGATTTGTCACTCCCAGCACGTTTTTTGCAAGCGGAGTAGTACCCCAGCGTTGTACAGAGTCGTGAGTTCCCCGCGTGCCAGCGGAGTTTCCCCACTTTGTCTCCGTCGGCCCCTTGGCTCAGAGATCAGCGCCAGTTGTAGATGCGCAATACACCAGTTGCTAATATCAGTGGTACTGCAAAAGATACACAGTTGAATAAGAACAGGAAATAACACAGCCAGACTGTTGGTGGTACATTCATTCATGTCTTTCATTTAGAATTCGGCTTCTAATTGGCCGCGGTTTCTTCCGTCATGATGTTCGTCTTTCTACCATGAACAGACCTACACAGTCTGCGTGCCATATCCCCTGATCCTGTCTGCAAAGGCCCAGCTCTGGTTCTCCAGCTTCACGTTCTCGTCTAATTCTACACCCTCCTTGGTCACGACTGCAATCGAGTACTTGTCCATACTCCTAGCATCCCTGTAGAAGAGAACCTTCATACACTCCTTGATCTTCTCCACTGCCTGCTCCTTTGTGACGTTCTCCACAGCAGCCTCGTCTGGCAATATGGTCCTCAAAATCGGCTGGGCGAGATGTGCACCGAAACCTGTGGCTAACGATGGCGACGTGAATGTGGTACCGAGGAGATCTGCACTTGCAAGGAAGGGCTTCGACTCGCCATCCATACCGACAATGAGCAAGTGGTTCCACAGTGGGTCGAACTTGGATCGGCGGTTGTACATGACTTTGGCGAGGTAGGTGTGGAGGTTCTTCGCATTGAGCGAGTTCTCAGAAGAAGAGTAATTCTCGCGAATGTCCAGAGAGTTCAGAAGGCGGTCGATGTACTGCATGTCCGAGACGTCGCCGCCGAAACCCACGACTACCTCATCGTTGAACTTTCGTAGACGCTTGACGTCGGTGAAACGGGCGAGAGATCCGTATGAAGCTGGGCAACAGAATTAGCAAGGCTATCCTCTATTGCTCACTATGTTATGTCATACCCAGGTTGTCCGCCGCAATGACTACGCCATCCTTGAACTTGGCCGCGAGTACTGAGGTACCGGTAACAATCGGGCTCTGAGTGTGCTGATTTGGGCCATCGGATGAGAAGTGTGAGGGATCATAAGCACCGTAAACATCGTCTCTAGGCTGTGATGCATTAGTACTACTGTTATTGGCGGCGGGTGGAAGACGTACACGGCCCCATGCCTGTGGAAGGTGGTTCATGTTTGGGATGTTTTTGTTGAAGCTCAGGATATTACGGAGACAGCGATTCGAGGCCGAGATTGCAACCTGATATCTCAAAGTGGGCGAGAAGGCGAAGCTGTCGTGACGGTGCGTGTGGGCAGTCGGTGGTTGCGCAGCTCGCCTGCCAAGAGATAGACTTGGCCCAAGCTCCGTATACTCAACCCAGCTACAGACGATCGCTCATGAGCATTGTGCACTCCAAGATGCTTGGAATTGATTATCCAGATAGTGATGAGGAAGAGGTCGTACCGGCGACGAAGCCAGAGGTGAGACTCACAAATGTCCCCAAAGGGCTTCGACCGCTACTAATATAGAGTTGACCAACATTCCTGCGACAGTTGCGCCTGCGCCAGCCCCAGAACCACCCTCTGCACCTCCTCCACCTCTCGAGCAACCTTCTGCTTCCCAAGGACCAGTTAGCGGACCCTCGCAAGGACCGACTGCAACACCACCTCCCACTGACAATGGCCCACCGGACGATGCTGTTCCAGGCTCACCATTTACAACAACCCGCGCCTTGATCCAGAACCTCACCTTACCTACCGTACCAAACTTCGATATACCACCTTCACCTCCCGGATCGCCGCCCCAAAAAGCGACCAAGAAATTTGCGCAGTTTCTTGAACTCAAGAAGAAGAACCAACACTTCAACCACCGCTTGGAAAGCTCGTCCGTACTGCGCGACCCAGGCCATTCTCAGAAGTTGCTGGATTTTGCAGGAATAACTGAGGAGGAATCTTATGCATCCACGCTTTCAGACGACGTCGCTATACCGACAAGTTTCCCACCCTGGGCCTACATGGAGGAACTCAAGGCTTCGCAGAAGCAACTTGCAAAAGCGAAGGAGCAGGAAAAGTCAAAGGCACCAAGAAAAGCTCTTGATTTTGTCTCTGCAACCTTCAGTGAAGCAGATACCCCGTCCATGTCCACCTCTGGAAAACGCAAGGAATTGGAACATAGAGGAAGAGATAATGCGAGTTCCAGAAGCATGTTAAAGAGTAGATCGAGGTCACCAAAGAGGAGAAGGTCGAAGTCTAGGGACAGGGAATAGAGATTCGAGCATCATCGCGGTCCATGTACATTAGCGATGAGATGCAGGAACTCTAGTCCAAACCCGTGGAGTTAGACAGGAATGTATAGAAACTATACGTATTTGAGCGAACATAGAAGGTTGTTACTTCATGCCTGTAGCATGTCAACTCTTCTCAGCGATATACGCTGCAATATTGATATTACAAAACGTAGTTATACATAGCAAACTTGCACCTCTAATCCATCATCTCCGGCTACTCTTTCACAATTTACGAAGCTGTCTCGCCGTATCATCCATAGCAATGTATGAGAATGTCATTGCCGGTGCCAGCTTAGCCCCAGGCACTGGATACCTTCTCCCCATCACGCTCGCAGTCGTGTTTCCCGCCGCATACAGTCCCATAATCGGCTTGCCATCTTCCGCCAGCACATGCGCAAAATCGTCCGTCAATAGACCGCCTTTTGTTCCGAGGTCCCCGGGATATAGTCTGACAGCGATGAAGGGTGCTTCTGCAATATAGCCCAGGTTGGGATTTGGTTTATGGTGTAGATCGCCAAAGAAGTTGTCTTAGGGATTCTCTCTTCGAAAGTCCTCGTCGACACCATTGTTTGCAAAGGCGTTGAAACGGGTGATTATATTTTGTAAATTCGTTAGGTCTACATTGATTTACTTGGCTAGACCTGCGATACTGTCGTCTTTGTAAATGAGCCCATTCTCAATCGCCCACTGTGGTATATACCGTGGACCGAACTGGCCGAGAATATACTTGTCGCGGTGTCTTGCATCAATGATGATCCACGAGGGTGCAGCTAAAGTGGCTTCATGGCGTTTGTTCATTATCTTACCGAAATCATCGTAGTCTAAGGCTTCGTTCAGGTAGCGGTGACCATCTCTTTCAACCACAACACCCACCACCGCTTCCTTCTCGTCAGTCACAAGCTCCACCAACTTGCTTCCCCTCCACATCTCCATGCCTTGCTGCTTATTCATATAAAGCAATTGTCCAATCAGTGACTTGCCCAATGTCACCGGCTTTTGGCCAGCCAAAACCTGAACCGCCAATCTGGCTACAACAACACTGACTTTGAGGAAATCTTGGAGATGAGCGCCCATGCGAAACATGTGAGGGCTTTTGTTGGCGTAAACGATAAAGTTGGGACCGGGTGGAAGCCTAATCATAGACCGCCAATCTTTCAGCTTCTTAAGATCAAAAACTTTGCCCTCAATCACACGACCTAGAGGCTTGGAACCTGGCTACAGTGAGTGATGATTAGGCTATCTTACGCTGGCGTGCCACTTAAATCCGCCATCCTCCAAGAATTTTACCATCTTCGGACTCTCGTTGAGGAATGCTAGTTTCCTCTCCTTCGTACTGGACTGTGTGTTTGGTGGTACGACTGCTTCGAGGTAGGTAAGAGCTTCCTCCGGGCTACCTTCCATGCCTGCTGCTTTCGAAACATGGTTGTTCGGGACCCAGAGCGTACCCCCAGAGTATGTACTGGATCCGCCGATCGTAAATGTCTTTTCGACTACCAATGGTTCCAGACCGTGATGCTTTGCACGTAACGTTGCTGTGAGCCCACCTGCACCCGAACTGACTATGACGACGTCGGGCACTTTGTCAAAGTCATTCTCTTTTATTGCCCTGACAATTGCCATAGGGGCTCCGAAATGCCCTCTTTAGATTCCTAAATGGGCATTTCGGGCGATTGGTCGCCTGGGTCTCGACAATGTGCCGCGGAATCTCACGATCATGGTGGAGTTCATCTCTTATGCTGTTTCGAACTCAATGAATGGTGTGTTCCATAAGACAAATCTTGGGGAGGGCAAAAGGTAGAGTCTCATTGAGCTCACGGTTTTGCTATAACGCTGAGGCCCATATTGGGGGCGTACCGGATGGCCGGCTTTAGTAACACAACTTAGGGGCCTTGCCGTCTTACGGGCGAGAGAATCTAGGAAGCGGACGAAATACTCTATACTACAGAGGGGTTATAAAGTTCGGCAGTGGGCTTAGTTCTGGTATCGACCTGGTTCCAGACGTGACTGGTGCAGTCATGCATGGCTAGAACGGCAAACAGCTGACGTATCCCAGAGTAGCAAGTGATGCGATTCTATGCGGATATTGTTAGGATAATCTGGTTTGCTAATCAAGCTTCTACGGGAGTCTAGATTAGTATATTTACAGCGCTCCTTTGATCTTAATCTGTATCGTTGAGGTAAGCAGGGCACGGGGGTGCTGAACTAACGTCTGGTTGAGGGTTAGACTGCACTAGGAGAGCTGATAGCTGGCGTGTAGCACCGCGAAAATTGACTATACAGTACTGGTGACTCAATTGCAGCGCTGGTACCAAGTGTAAGTGAGATGCTTGCGTAGTAATGAGGATGGAAGAAGTCGTGAGGGCACTCACTACTACCATGCTCGTGCGTGCAACGCACCGAACCGCCGAAGACAGCTTTGCTGAGAACGAGAGTGTAGTGCCACATAGAATAATGATTTCGAATTTATAGGAAGAGTGAATCGCTCATTTTACCAAAACTTCACCAACTTTGACTACTTAACGACTACTATAAGGTGCCTATTAAAGTTCTGTCTGGAGCTCAAAGCTCCACAAGACAAGATAGGAACATTCGTATGGGGAGATGATTCTCCCAAACGGATTGGCCTTAAACAGCGAATCGCTCACGTATTCCACTATTCAATATGTTACAGTAGTATGTACTGATTATGTCTAATCTTTAGTTTATGTTTACAACTAATGATAGAAAAGCTCCAGTACAGGGTGTAGAAGTTGTAGATAGGTACAGATGCCATAAGCATACAAAAGTGCAGAGCAAAACCTGGGTTACTCTATTCAACGGATCCCTGCAGTGAAGCAGAATGTACATGACAATCATAGTGAAATCAACTTGATCTGAAATCATAAAGCTGCACGCCCTCACCACATTAGCGCCAAGACATTAGCGCATGGAAGCTCCCAGGCACTCGAGCTCCGCGTACTACAGCTTCATCACCCAAAACCAGAATCGCCGGCCGACTGAGATACGACGCTCTTAACCACTCACACATAATCTCTTTGTACCTCTTGTCCAGTTCCAATCCCTAGATAACGCAATGGCTGCACTCTACACAGGTGCACCTCCACAAGGCGGCCCAGGCTACTCGTTCAAGCAAACCCCCACAACTGTCTCATCCGGCGAGCGGCAACATGGTTTTTACCCGTACGTACGTCCAAGAATACTCATATGACATTATACTAAACAGTCGACAGGTACACCGACAACGGCGGCTCAACGCTGGGCATCTCCGGCGCCGACTTCGCCATCCTCGCCGGCGACACACGCTCGACATCCGGCTACAACATCAACACACGCTACGCACCCAAGCTCTTCAAGATCGGCGGCGAAGGCTCCGACAGCAAGGGCGCCAGGATAGTCCTCTCAGTCGTAGGCTTCGCAGCCGATGCCCACGCCCTCAAGGAACGCCTCGACACCATCGTCAAGATGTACAAGTACCAGCACGGCAAACCCATGACCGTCTCGGCATGTGCACAGCGACTCAGCCACATTCTATACAACAAGCGCTTCTTCCCTTACTACGTACACGCTATCCTGGGTGGTTTGGATGAAGACGGCAAGGGCGCCCTGTACTCGTACGATCCCGTCGGCAGCTACGAGCGCGAACAATGTAGGGCAGCCGGTGCGGCTGCATCCCTCATCATGCCTTTCTTGGACAATCAGGTCAACTTCAAGAACATGTACGAGCCCGGTAGCGGAGTGGGCCACGAACTCAAGTCGAAACAAGCAGAGCCGCTGCCTAGGGACCACGTCGAGGATCTGGTGCGGGACGCTTTTACGAGTGCTGTTGAGAGACACATTGAGGTTGGTGACGGGTTGCAGATGATGATTATCACGAAGGAGGGCATAGCTGAGACCTACACCCCGCTCAAGAGGGATTAAGGGCTTGGTTTTATGGGTGAGGAGGGGTATATTCACGAACATGATGACTTTAAGAGTGCAGAGCAACATGTACGAATAAACATAGCACTTGCTACTTTAGATGATGATCAGGGCCTAGTCATTCTACCAATTACAAGGCTGGTTCAGTACCACTTTGCTCCAACCTTTCTGACGACTCGCACGGGTTTCTTTTTTCCTTTTCCAGGCCGTTCAGTGTACCGACTGCGGATAAAGGCCATTGTGGCATATCCATATGTCGTAGGCACTCATTTGAGAAGACGTAGTAAGTAGGTTTGCTAACGCAAATGTACAGCTGCATCGTTCATTCGTATGCAGACAAGCGGTACAGCTCCACTTCTTGTTAATAAAGCACTTGATCATATAGTAGGGTTATCACAAGACATCGGATCTCAGACACAAATATTAAAAAGCCACAGGACTATGCAAGACGAGTACTACACAATTGGTATATCATTTCATTTCATTTCATTTCGTACATATGATTGTCCTCCGACATCAAATTCTATTATTCATAGCGATTTTGTTTTCCCTAGGACGCGCAAAGGTTCATCCTAGTCACACTCTGCACATGACGTGCTTACAGGTTAATGGCAGTCCTGAAGTTGTTGCCAGCGTAGATGGCATTGTCACCAAGCTCCTCCTCGATGCGGAGAATCTGGTTGAGTTTGGCGAGACGCTCAGATCGAGCTGGCGCACCAGTCTTGATCTGACCAGCTCGCAGACCGACGACAATGTCAGCAATGGTGACATCTTCAGTCTCACCAGAGCGGTGGGAGACCATAACTCCCCAGCCGGCACCGAAAGCGTCCTTGGCAGCCTGGATGGCCTCGGTGATGGTACCAATCTGGTTGACCTTGAGGAGAAGGGCGTTGCAGGACTTGAGCTCGATAGCCTTCTTGATGAACTCAGGGTTGGTGACAGTCAGATCGTCACCAACAATCTGGAAGTCGGAAGTCTTGAAGAAGTAAGACCAGGCCTCCCAGTCATCCTCAGCGAAGGGGTCCTCGATGCTGACAATGGGGTACTTCTCGGCCAGAGACTTGTACAGCTCGGCGAGTTGCTCGTATGTGAGCCACTTGCTCTTATCGCTGTCGGGGTTCTTGAAGTCAAGGTCGTACTTCTTCTCCTCGGCCTTGTAGAACTCGCTGGATGCAACATCCATGGCGATCTTGATCTTGCCAGTGTAACCAGCCTCCTCAATGGCCTTGGTGATGAGGTCAAGGGCCTCCTCAGGGGTCTGAATATCGGGGGCAACACCACCCTCGTCACCAACGTTTCCAGCAGATTGGCCGTAGGTCTTCTTGGCAAGGGACTTGAGCTTCTGGTAGACTTCGGCACCTTGGCGCATAGCCTCGGAGAAGGTAGGAGCCTCACTGCAGGGTGTTAGCTAGGTATATGCGTGCACGCATTGCAGTGAGCTTACCTTGGGACAATCATGAATTCTTGGAAAGCAAGACGACCACCGGCGTGCGAGCCACCGTTGAGAACGTTTTGGACTGTTTTGTCAGCTAGGGAGTTTCCAGTCAGACTCGAAGAACTTACAGGGTACGGGAAGGACGTAGGGCTTCTTGGTGCCAGCCAAGTCGGAGATGTGTGCGTAGAGAGGGACACCCTTCTCGGCAGCAGCGGCCTTTGCGATAGCCATTGAGACACCGAGGATGGCGTTAGCGCCCAGGTTGGTCTTGTTCTTGGTGCCATCAAGCTTGTTAAGGAAAGCATCTACGGCAGATTGGTCCTTAACGTCGAGCTTCTCCTTGATGAGGGCGGGGGCAATGGTGTCGTTGACGTTGGCAACAGCCTTGGTGACACCCTTGCCGCCCCACTTTGACTTGTCGCCATCGCGGAGTTCGCAGGCCTCGTGGGAGCCGGTCGAGGCACCAGAGGGGACAATGGCACGGTGAAGACCGGTCTCAGTGACGATGTCAACCTCGACGGTAGGGTTACCCTTTGGGAGAGTTAGTGATGAGGTTGAGTTGGAGGGGGGGGCGTGGCGTGATCATACGCGAGAGTCGTAGACAGAGCGGGCGTGGATCTTGGTGATGGCCATGGTGACTGCAATGCTGATGGCAAGTTAATTGATGAGACTAGAGAGGCAGAGGGATGGAGCAGAAGATAAGTAGAGAGGACGGATGCGCGGGTCACAAAGTCCGGCCGCGGATAAGATGTGGAGCAGAAATTTCGACTTACTAGGAGTATGTAAAAGCTCAGGTCGGTGTTGTTTTGTTTGGGTGGGGTGTTCCAGAGCTTATAAGCCCGGCAAGGTTTGGAGGGGTCGTTGAGCAGATTCAGCCCCGCTATGACGCTGCCGCCTCATTGGCAGCCACGGCCTCTCTCGTAAGAGCATGCAGCAACATTATCACAGAAGCCATCGAGGGGGGGAGAGCCGCGCAGGCATCCCGTGGAAAGCAATGGAATCTACCCGGCAGAGGCCCATTGAGAGCCTCCCGGTGAAGATTAATGCACGGGAGATCGCCTCGCTTACCTATGTCTAGTTTGCCGTGCTATGCTCCATGCTCGAGAGGACATGGCTGAATCTATGCTGACATGCTGTGGCATCGGCTGGCACCATGCCGTCTCTCAATGGCCATGCGTGGGTACTGACTACGCTTGTGAATGGGTTCCGGCCTTTTTGGTATCGTGAAACTTTGTTACCTCAGTTTATACCGCAGGCTAAGGCGAGTCCAAGGGGCGCCAAGGCAGTCATCCGGTGAGGCTGCTTGACTGCTTCACATCTCACACAGGAAGAAGTGGAGCCGGCATGAGATTGCTTTTTAAGAGTCTGAAAATCCATAGCCAGATAGGCACGGCGGCTGAAACGAGCTCTTGATCAACGCTTTGGAAACACGAGTACCCTCTTCACCATTGCGGAGATCCACACATATCAAACCTTGCTTCTATGGCTTGCTGCATAGGCAGACGAAGGCTGCTTCTCTGGAGCATGACCAGAAAATCCACACTACGGGTTAAGAATTGAGTCATGTATCGAAAAATCTAGAGATGGAACTTTCGGAATCTTGAAGATACTTTTCATGGAGGGAGCAATGGCTCTCAGGTAGAGCTCACGGTATGCCAAGAGATTACGTGGCCCAAGCTCCCGCGGTGTAGCCTGCGCGTCAATCATAGGTACCTACCTCTATTCGCGTGTGTCCCCCTCCAGCATCCAGACCCGTCGAAACCCCTCCAGGCTGCACAGGCACAATTTCCCCAGGATCATAACCATCAGCCTCAAAAGCCAACAGAATCAGCAGCCATGGAAGTCCTACTAGGTATCACGGGCAAGGACTTTACCCTCATCGCCGCCTCCAAAGCCGCCATGCGAGGCGCCACCATCCTCAAAGCCTCGGACGACAAGACCAGGGAACTCAACAAGCACACCCTAATGGCATTTTCTGGTGAAGCAGGAGACACTGTTCAATTTGCCGAGTTCATCCAAGCAAACGTACAGCTATACTCGATGCGTAACAACATGGAGCTGTCACCAGCGGCAACCGCCAACTTCGTCCGGGGAGAGCTAGCATCAGCACTGAGGTCACGGAAACCCTACACAGTCAATCTGCTCCTGGGCGGCTATGACACGATTGCGGACAAGCCTACATTATACTGGATTGACTACCTTGCGAGTCAAGCAGCGCTTCCTTATGCGGCACATGGCTATGCTCAGTATGCTATACCCTCTCCGACGGAAATTGAATGACGCTAACACATGGGTTTCAGGTACTACTGTCTCTCTCTGCTCGACAAGCACCACCACCCGGACATCGACTACGAGCAAGGCTTGAAGATTATGCGCATGTGCACCGAGGAGCTGAAGCGCCGTCTACCCGTTGATTTCAAGGGTGTGATGGTCAAGGCCATAACAAAGGATGGTATCAAGGATGTAGAATTTGAGGACGATGTGAAGGTGGTGATCCCATAGAGGCTGTAGTAGGCTTAGTGGAGGCTACAACACTTTACAGCATGTATAAAGTCGGTAGCCGGCATGGAAAAGGCACCGGGAATGATGACCACGTTCATGAATCAAGGCATTGAAGAAGTGCCATCAATTAATGACAATGATACATTACGAAATTGGCTGTGTCAAATGGTGGGTTGTTGTGCTTGTAATCTGCCCCGTGTTGGGAACGTCTCTGTCCAGCAATTGTCAGACTTGGCTAGTCTGTGAAGATGCTTCTCAATGGAACCAGGCCCCGTGCGGTCACGACGCCTTCACATCGAACCGCGGAGCATCAGATACAACCCCCACGCAGTGGTGTACACGAGTATGTATGTATTCCACGGCCGCAAAGCGCCATATCACGTGGGGTGCAGCACCTCAATGCCAATATGATTGCAGTATCACTTGACAAAAGCACGTGTGCAGAAAATTATGTATGTTCTCCCAATAAATCGACACCGACATCTCATCGCCATCACTGAAGACGACCCAACGAGATGCCAGCTTCCTACAGGAGGTTCGCTCTTCGATCCCACGCCACCGTAGTGGCTGGCAACTAAAAGACAAAGATGTTCTGATAGTCGTGGCTGGAATCGTTTGTATTTTTTTGATCAAGGAGCGAGAAAGGAGGACGAGGGCCGAAGAGGTTTTAAGCTGTGCGCTTGCCAAGACTGCGATGCACGGTGCAGGTAAGAATTTTTGGGTGTGCACGGGCGTTTATGACGATGGCTGGCTGGCTGGTGAGGGCGAGGCTGGGAATCACAACTCTTGGATTCATTTATGATCTCGCGACGGCCATCATGTTCTAGCCTTCACTATAGGATTCTGACACTCTTCAAACGAAAACGAGGAAGCACTGTGCGCCGAAAAAGGTACCAGCGGTAGAGTCTCCGAACGCCGGCTCTACGCTGTCATGATCACTCTCTGCGGATCCCCCAACGACAAGCAAAATCCCGAGAACCGAGACGATAGATGACTTTGAAGGCACTGACTATCGCGGGAACAGCAAGGACATCTTCATCTTCATATGGTGATACTACCCGGTCATCCACAAACTCAAGTCGCATGTCATAGTGCATATATTCCACATGCTATTTTCAAAAGTCAAAGTTTTTTTCATTTATGGGGGTGGCTAATGGGAATGGAGCATATTGCGATCCATCAAGGATAATGACAGTATCACCGCTCAGAAGAACTACATAGTCCTCCTCCACCGCCGGACACGTGCTTGCCTAGTCGGACTTATTCGCAACAATGTCGTTGTTTAGTTCTTGTAACCGTTCTTGTATCCATTCACCATGACCTCCTGCAGACCCTGGGGAATGCCATTGGCATGGCCTTTGGCAGTGCCGTTGACTGCACCATTGCTCAAACCATTCATCACCTTCTTGGATTCATTCATGGCCTCCTCAATAGGCTTGTCGTTCAAGGTGTATCCAGTGTCGGATGCGTCGACATACGCATCGAGACCAGCGCCCTGGCGAGGGTACTCCTTCATCAGCTCCTTGTGTCGTCGTAGAGCCTTGTTCATCTCCTCAGCAGAGACGTCGTTGAGGAAGACGCAAGTACCAATGGGGTTTGGTACGGCAGCACGAAGCAGGCCGTCACGGGTCTTGAGGATGGCCTTTGTGGCCTTATCGAGCATCTCCTCATCGAAGAGCTCGTGGTCCATGGATAGACCAGCCCTGGAGAACAGGTTCAACAGCCTCTTGTGCTCCTCGTCACTGAGAAGACCACGCTCGTTTGCCAATGTGGCAGAGTACGCCATGTCAATGGAAATAGCATGGCCATGGCGGAGCGGTACCTTGGGAGAGAGCTACGAGAATGTCAGTGGCGTTGACAGCTAAGCATCACGAAAAACTTACCTCGTGTAGAGGACTCCAGGTGTGACCGTAGGCAATGACACGATCGAGGCCAATCTCGTGAAGGTTGGGTGTCTCGAGCTTCAGCATCTCGTGGATACCAGCACGGTTGATCTCATCAGCTGCCTGAAGAACCTCCTTGTCATCACCCTCACGGCCGAAGCGGGAAGTGATCAACTTCTCGCAGTACTTGTCCAGCAAGTCAAATGTTGGCTTGTGAGCACATGTTGAAATCTTAATCAACTCTGCGAAGCCATTGCGTACCTGACCCTCAGGCAGGGTCTTGAGGAACGAAAAGTCCAAGAAAGTGTGCATAGGAGCGTGGTATGCTCCCAGGCGGTTTTTGTAGTTGCCATAGTTGACCGCGACCTTGATGCTAACACTAGCATCGATCAGGCCAATAACGGTAGTGGGAATGCGGATGAAGTTGGTGTTCCTGCGGTAGGCGGCACAAGCAAATCTAAGGTCACGGGTTAATCCTATTCTTCAAACGCAGTCAGGCCAGAGTGCCTTAAGAGTTATGTTTTACCCAGCAACATCAGTCACTAATCCTCCACCCTGTGTCATATTAGCATCAGCGGAGAGCAAACGAACTGACTGAATGACTTACGACTACAAGCACCGGCTCCTTGCGGATAATACCAAAGTCAGTCATCGAGTCAACGATGCTAAGAAGGGTCTCCATTGACTTGGCCTTCTCGCCAATCATGGTCTTGTGTATGGTCAATGGCAGGTTGTAATGGTCAAAGTACTTTTGCATCTCATCACCATAGATGTTGAAGATGTTCAAGTCCATGACAGCCAGACAACGACCCCAACGCTCATAGCACTTGGCCAGATTGTTGTTGGCGGGGTTGAAGACGCCATCGAGGAAGGTGAAGTCATATTCAATCTTCTCGTACCCCTCGACATGGAAGCCGTTCTGGGTCTCGATAACAGAAGCCTTGAGATCTGACATTGTGAAAAAGATTGGAAAAGTGTGAATGAGAAAAGTTGAGTTCTGCAGAAAGAAGGTACCGAGACATGTGCTCTATATACATTTTACGAGACCAATGTCATTGATGAGCACTGGCACATTCCTCGCTACACGCTCCTCGATTATTGGCTCATAGCCCTCAAGAGCGACCAGGAGACGTCAAGCATACGCACCACTATCGTCCATGATGTGACCTTTCATGGGTCCCGCGTTGTTTCGACTTGGTACGGGATTACTAGGAGACAAACTAGGCTCTTGCTGGCCAGCAATGATGATATGACTCTGGGGATGTTGACTTTGGTAGCGGCAGAAACCGGCTCTTGCACATGGGATATGCCATTTGCCCATGCAAACATGTGCTTTTCCATGCTTGGAGAAATGCAGAACCCTAGTAATCACTATCGACCAGGGGCCGAAGTGGCGTAGCACGAGCTGCTAGCCGATCTGGTGCGAAGACGGAGTCTCACCCGGTTGTGGAGAAGCAAATACACTACGACTGCGGGGCAAGCACAGAAAATCACCTCATACCCACTATATTTTATGCATTGAACGGTGGCTGACGGCCTAGGGGTGTGTTGAGGGTGATCAGAGGTGCGGGTAGTATGTCAAGCGAGTCCCATGCGCCTACTATGAGCAATTAGGGCATACAGGAAACCACCAGTCCCATAAGAATGGGGATTTTAACACCAAAAATCTACGGACAATTGCGGTATACATGGAAGAATTGTGACGAACTTAGGCTGGTTTTCGATCTTAGCTCCCGCTTCGGGTAGATAAAGTTTTGCGGATCCCAAGATCGTTGAGCTATTTAACTCTGAATCGACAAGCGTAAGTTGTCACGGCTGTCTTCTTCCAACTATAACAGGCTAGTAAAGGCTACTGGGCTCTAGATCGTTGATGACAACAGGTATATATACAAAAATGAAACGTCAATACCGTGCAGAAGCAGATATGCACCAGTCAAGCGGCCCACTATGGCACCAAGTATCCACATGGTACCGCGTACTACTTGCCGTAGTCAGTGCCAAGGGGGCATACTGGATGCACACACGGCTTGGGGCCACCAAACTGGCATGATCCAACGTCTCCGCTACATTGGCATCCCACGCGCAATACGGGGTTTTGGCAGTAAAAGCAATACGGCGGGTGCTTTTTGTGGCAACCCGTTGGTAATGTTCTAACATAACCGATGACACCTTGTGCTTTTGCCACAGCAGGGGGATGGTTCTGTAGGTTGCGTACTAAACGTGTGGGACAAACTGCGGACCCCTCAACTATCTCACATGTTCCTGCATTGCATTTCGTCATGATTAGCACCAGCCCCGCACTAGGGTCTACGCGTTGAGGGGCATAGACACCTCCAGACGCGTCGAGTGTGACAGCCACTGATACATTTTCATTTCGCCATTGAACGGCAGCAATCATGGGTAGCTTCGACCAGAGCAAAGCGTACGCAGCACAAGAGGAAGAGGGTGCTTTTTTTGACGATGGGCGGGAGATTGAGCTGCTGCACTTTGTTTACTCGCACCCCAACATTGACAAGATACGAGGCTCACCAGAGGGCGTCTTAGCTGCCATTGATGAATATGGGCGAACAAAGAAGTATCTCATGAATGTAGGAGAGGACAAGGGCCGCATTGTCACTGATCTCATTGCAGAGGTCAAGCCAAAAACTATGGTATGCAAGTCTCAAGGAGCAAGACCATTTTCTAACATCAAGCAGATCGAACTCGGTGGTTACGTGGGTTACTCGTGTATCCTCTTCGCAGACGCAGTACGAAAAGCTGGCGGTGAGCGATACTTTAGCTTCGAGCGTGATCCTGCATTCGCGGCAGTCATCATGTCCCTTGTCGACCTTGCAGGGCTCAGTGATCTCGTAAAGGTGGTCGTGGGCTCGAGCGATGAGGGAATTGCACGTCTGGTAGCATCTGGCCAGCTCAAGCATGTAGATCTCATGTTCTTAGACCACTACAAGCCAGCCTACACGACGGATCTCAAGCTCTGCGAAGAACTAGGGTTGATTACCAAGGGCTCAGTGCTCGCTGCAGACAACGTCATTAAGCCCGGAAATCCGCCATACTTGAAGTACGTCAGGTCGAGCGTCGAGGACAAGGTCAAGGAGGCTGGAGAGAAGGGCCAAACGAACCTCAATGGCATTGCTGAGACGAATGTCAAGATGTACGAGAAGCGATATGGCAAGGCCAAGTTCAGTGAAAGCAAAGGCAACCCGCGTCTGCAGTACGAGAGCAAGCTGGTCAACAGCTTCGAGCCGACGGGCGTTCCTGTAAGTCTAGACTTTCGACCAGCTCCATGGCCGAGTGCTGAACATCACAGGACGGGATCGAGATTACGCGATGCGTTGGGTAGGAACGCGTGAGAATAGAGGGATATGGGCGGCACAGTTGGATCACTGGGGGTCAGGGGGCGGATGTGGAGTCCGGGGACCGACAGGAAGGAGGGGGGTGGAATATTCAATACGGGTCCAGCTACAAGAGTGAATGTGATCAAACATGCAATCCTCCTTGCTGATGACGGAGCTACAAGAAGGATGAAAACGCCACCTCGGAATTCAATGCAGTGACTATGCAGTAGGTGGTCAGTCACAAAGAAGCAAATACGCGACACAGCAGGGATGAGGATCTACACGACGTCTACTTTGCATTTGCTGGATCTCAGACGGAACGACCGGTGTCTAGCGCTGCCGCACATGTCGTACCCGCATATTGTCCACAGGCCAAATAACGATGACGTTTAGACTAGCCGACCACCCATATCTTTCGCCGTGCGCCCGTCTGCCCCACGCATTTCGACCACCTCGTATGTAAGGTATACTGACATGCACGCGCGGCAAGCATTGTACCGAGCCGTCTGAGCCGCTAGTATTCATTACTTGCAGCTTGCAGTCTACGTGTGGACGAATCCCACTGGTCGGTGCGCCTGGGATCAAAGTAAGCCCGTGAGGGTGTGTTGGGACTTGTCTGAACGGTGAAACACTGCTAGGACAAGTGCCGAGGTCACGAGCTCCAACATCCAGCATCCTAACCCCAGAAACATGGCCAAAGGCATCGAGCCTGATGCTGCCGTGCCGTTTTACTACCGCCATGTGGGCAAGAATGTGCTGCTGCTGGCGCTGAGCGCGGTGCTTGCTCCTCTCTCGGCCGCTTTGGTCCTGCTGGGGCTTGCTGTGACGAAGCTCCACGGACAGCGCACGGCAACATTCACCAGAGAGGACAGGAGACATGTTGCAGCAACACGGAGGCGCAAGACGATTCTCGTCACGGGCGTGTCCATGACAAAAGGCTTGACTATTGCTCGAAATTTGGCCCAGCATACACCGCATCGCATCATTGGTGCCGACATATCCACTTTCTCTCCAGGCCGATTCTCAACCGCAATATCAAAGTACTTTCGTCTGCAGACACCCATTGGTGACGATGCAGAGCCATACATCGACTCCCTCCTCTCCATTATCCAGAATGAAAAGGTCGACTTGTGGATCTCCTGTTCCAGTGTTATTGCAGCAGTCGAAGACGGACAGGTTGTCCGTCTAGCAGAGATACAAGCACGAGAGCGCGGACGTCCGTTTGAAGCCATCCAATTCCGTGAAGATGTCGTTGAAAAGTTTCACGAAAAGGACAAGTGTATTGACTACATTGAGTCACTCGGTCTCCCGGTTCCGGAATCCCATCGCTGCACAGACGCAAACGAGGCGCTTGATGTGCTCATGAGAGAACTGCACAGAACCCCTACAAAAGGAAAAAAAGACAGCCGCCAAAAATTCATCATGAAACCAATTGGAGTGGACGACAAGGCCAGGAACAACATGATGACTTTGCTCCCTTTCCAGACGACAACCGCAACAGCCGACTACATCCACTCGCTCAACATCAGCAAAGACAACCCCTTCCAGCTCCAGCAATACATCAAAGGAAACGAATACTGCACTCATGCCCTCGTCGTCCGCGGAAAAGTAAAAGCCTTCACCAGCTGTCCCAGTCTCGAGCTCCTGATGCACTACAAAGCGCTCCCCCCCTCCTCCCCCCTAAGCCAAAAAATGCTCGCCTTCACTGAGCGTGTCTGCGCAGAAGGCGGCCCAAACTTCACCGGCCACTTGAGTTTCGACTTCCTCGTCGAAAACGACGACAGAGGCGCCGACGCAAAATTCTACCCCATCGAATCCAACCCCCGTGCTCACACCGCGGTCGTGCTCTTCGAACAAACACCCGAATTGGCAGATGCCTATCTCTCCATCTTCAACTCCCCTTCTTCTTCTTCTTCTTCTTCTTCATCTTCCAAGCCAGATGCACTACCCCCAGTCTTCCCGCGCACGCCCACAAAATCTTACTATTGGCTCGGCCACGACCTCGTCGCCCTCGGTATCCTGCCTCTTCTCGACACTCTTTGGGGTGCTAAATCCCCACAACACGCTCTCACTGATTTATTGACGTTCGTCAAGCACATTGCTTCGTGGAAAGACGGAACCTACACGTTTGAAGATCCTGTACCATTTTTCATCTTGTACCATGTTTATTGGCCTGCAAAGTTTGTGCAAGCATTGAGTGAGGGTAGGGTGTGGAGTCGCGTTAACGTTAGTACGACTAAGATGTTTGAGGGGTAGGCTGGTTGCGTGAGATTATACGACACGTGAGATAATACGACACGTGAGATTATACGACGGGCTGGGGCCAGGGGACGATGGGGGAGAGCGCAAACGTATTGCGATGAATGTGCCTTATGTAATTTTACCAAGTCTGATTCATGGACATGGGATAAGTAGGTATAGCATAGTAGGTAGTATAATATAATGCATTCTGTTTTTTTTTGGTTTCGTAAGCACTCGTGTTGCATGTTCTATGTAAAACAAAACTAGCACGCTATTTTGTGAACTTGTCAAGGTCCCGTAACATCCGTTAGCTTTGTTTGTTTTAGACTTTTTGAACTTTTTAACTTTCCAACGCATGAATACGGCGTACCCCCCGCAATTACCCTGGGGTATTATAATAGTATCGTGTGATATTGGGACCGGAGATGGAGGGAGGGAGGGAGGGAGATATATCATGCTGATATCAGCGTATGATATCACGTATGCTAAGTCCGTGCTCGAAAGAAGAGGAAGAAGAATGTCACTGTATATAGTTCATTTCGCTCCGTAAAAAACAGCTATTTTGGATTCTAGAGAGATGCGGTTTAGAGGTGTATGTAAGCAAGCAAGCAAGTAAAAAAAAAACTAAAAAACTCAACGAGTGCATGATTGTAGCACAAGAGAGAGAGAGGGAGAGAGGGAGAGAGAGGGAGAGAGAGAGGGAGAGAGAGAGAGAGAGAAAGAATGGACATGGTATGTATTTCGCACGCATCCGCATCCAGCATGTTCCCGTCTCAAAAACGAAAAAGCCAGACAGGGAAAAAAAAGGTATAGGAAAGAAGAGAATAGAGGGAGATGAAAAAAACATATATCACCATATAATTCCCCTCCACTCAAACGACCCATCAATGTTCCTCCACTTATTCCCTTCAATCGCATCCCTCCACCCCATCATCACCCCCAAAAGTCGGCAACTCACACTGCTCACCGTGCAAATCACCGTATCGGCTTTGCCCAGCACCGCCAGATCAAGCAGGTACGCGCGTCCCACCAACTCCCGCAGTTTCATCGCCGACTCCGGGATATCGGACGCGGGGTTCTTTGTGACTTCCTTCATATCTTTCGCATTTCCCACGGGTTGACCGAGGGAAAAGAAGACATCGCGGTAGAAGCCACCCTCCCAGCCTGTAACCTCGTCGATCCAAGCGTTCTTCTTTGGCTCTTTCTGTGCGGCTTCGAGTTGCTGTTTAGTAGCGAGGACGATGCGGTCTTGGGCGCGGATGCTGTTTGGACCGAGTTCGGGGGAGTCGTAGACGAGGGGGTCGTCGGAGGCGAGGATCATTTTGGAGCTGGTGTGGCGGGGGGTCAAGGGGGAAGAGGAGCGCTTTTTGGAGCGTTTGGATTCGCCTTCGACGATTTCAATGTAAAGGTCACGTGCGGTTTCGATGTAGCGGGCGAGGGGAATGTAATCTTTTGCATATTGGTATTCCATGGGGTGTTTGTCGCCGTGGCGGACGTGCATGCCGATGCTGAGGCCGCCTTCGAGTTTGACGGCGCCGTACATGTCTTTAGATTTCTGGAGCACGTAGGCCTCGTCGTCCTGGCGGAGCTTGAAGAGGGCTTCGTAGCCGGTGCGGGCGAGGGCGAAGATCTTGGATTGGCGGAGTACGCCCACTTTTCTTGCGTCTTCGTATTGCTCGGTGAAGGCATGGCCAAAGGTGCTCTTCACGGTTGCATCACTGACCACAAGATGGTTCGCGGAGTGGGGACAAGGGACGACATGTGATGGCGGGGGAGGAAGGCAGCCTGCAGAGGGTGGGGGTTGGAAGTATGTCGAGTACTTTCCGTAGGGCCTAGTCACTGTTAGTCCAAGAAATGTTTTTGGGAGTGCACCGAGCATACCAGCGAGAGTCGTCGATGAAGAAAGCACGGTTCTCAGTCTTCGCCAGACCATACGACATCCACAACCGCATCAGCGTATTTCCAAACCCAGCATCTCCAGTCTCCATGACGTAGGTCAAGCTCCTGTCACAGACCTTGAGCCCCTCTGTCGAAGCTCCATCCTTCATAGCCTGATCCTCGACAAAGTTCTTGGGCCTTCCCTTTGACTTGGCAGGTGGCAACAGTGCCTGTTCCTCCGCCTCTTTGATATCAATGTAGTATTGATCTTTTTGGTTATAAGGCACCATCCTCCTAGCATGACTCGCCGATTTCTTAGACCCCTGACTGACTTCCTTGGACACTTCCATCGCCTGGTGACATATCTCGCGGTACTGTGCCGGCTGCAGCGGGAAATCATAAGTTGACGGAATCGATACGGTCCACCTCATTTTGCCCTTTGCATCTATGAGCGCAACAGCAGATGGCTCGTGCGGCAACCGGCTACCTCCAACCATTTCCCACTCATCCTCAACCTCGTCGTCATAAGGTGTTGCATAATGCGAGTTTGTGTAGATGTGCCTCAGTACAATCCACAGAAGAAAAGCCACGCCACAGCACCCCAAAAGTATCCTCTTTACGAACTTGCCATGGTTCGGGTGCGGGATCTTTCCATGTTTGGGTAGCAGGCTCGGAAGACTCGGGCTGGCGGGGGGAGATCTCGCAAGTAGTCCGCGCCGGGAGGGGAGTGTCGGAGAGAGAAAAGCGCTAGATGTGGCCGAGTGAGGTGGGGGTTCCAATTGCGAATATTGCGGTGTCGACTGCAACGACAGACCGGGGTTCCGTCTCGCATGCATCTTTGTGATTTTTTGAGTGACTTGATTCAGCATAATGAGAAGCAGAGATATGATGTCGTCAGCACCTCAGGCAATTCGATTCGTAACTAGGGTGGAATTGCGAAAATCCGGCCAAATCGGGCGATTTGCTGGCCGTGCGTGTCGTACCACTCGGATGATGCAGGAAGCTATGCAGCAAGTACAATGTGCTGCTCGTATAAGCAGGATGACCGTTGCGAACGGGTCGTAAAAATCAAAAGTTTTGTAAGTGAAGGAGGGGACGAAGGGCACCGCCGTTCAAACAAGCAAAGTCGGAAAAAAGTAAAAAAAAAAATGAGCAAGAAAAGATAGGACGCAGTCCCCTGTGAACAAGAATGTAGGATGAAGTGGAAGAGAAAAAAGGAAGAAAAGATGCACAAGAAGAGAAAGTGGAAATAAGGCCCGGTCCTTCAAGAAGCCATAGAGATCAAGGCGTAAGAGTGGGCAACCTTTCCTGGTGCAAGAGTGGTTTCACACCCAAAACGAGAGGGTACTCGTACTTGGGATTGGACCGATGAAGAGTATCCACCCAAAAAAGCGAGATCTAAGGAACCCTCGTCTAACAATGCCGCGGGAGAAGAAGGGTGAAAAAGGCCACTGTGCGGTCCGAGGGCCAGGAGGAGCAAAAACGATTCACAAAAGACGGCAGAGGAGGGGCTCGATAGGGTCGAAGGTTAAGATTGGGAAGGAGAAGGGGACTTGCTTATTTGAGCAAAAGGTGGGACAAGAATGAATGCGGAAGGCGGGAGGGAGGTTCTTTCATTTCGCTGCATGTGCGGGGGCGAGGGGGTAAGAAGGTGTTTCAGCTGCGTCTTTTAGTGTAACGTCGTCGAGGCGCTGGTGCTGGGAGGCGTTGCTCCATCTCCGGCGCTAAGCAGTAGTGTCTAGGACCGACCACCTGACGACGTTCTACCACGGCTTGCCCATGTGTGGTTGGTGGCGTGTACAGACCATACATATTTAAATGGGGGCTGGCCTACTATCCGTCTCTGCCCTAAGTTTGAAATAAACAGGCACACACCAGTCCTGCTGCGTGTTTGCAAACTGCTATTATTAAAGACACTTTTTCTATTCCAGAAACATTATGCACAGCCGGGCATGCAGTCAGACGGGCATCAACTGGATCGTCCCGAGAGGCCCCGGTAAGGCTTACTATCAATTGGGTAACCGTGTCTACTACCATACTTAGTCTTATCTACTAGATGACAGTGGGAATACGTATGCAGTCTTTTCTAAATACTACTAATACAAAAAATGTCTTCTACCTAATTTATTAACACAAATGCAAGCGCCCGCTACCCAGAGGAAATGGACGTGAGACTAGTCATGTGATCTGGACAGGACAGATCATGAAGCTACTTGATGTGGCTGCTATATGTGCATCGTGAGCGAAACAAAAATGTTGACCAACTATGTAAGATGAAAAAAGGGGGTATCAGATCGAAGGTCCCTTGACGCAGGAAGGTGGGGGAAGAATGTAAAGAAAAACGAAACAAAAAAGGTAGTGTACAATCCTCCCGGGGCTGCATCGAATTGGGTAATGCAACAAAAGACCCCTCCCCCCCAATCGTCTAATGCCTGTGCGTACCCATCGCAGACGCGGTTCCCGGGTTCCCAGGTCGGGAATCCATTCCTGTACCGGTGTTGTACTCCGTAACCCATTCAACGCCAATCGCTATGGAATCCCTCGTAATTGAAGAGAGATTGCTGCATGTGAAAGATATAATAGAAAATAAAACTTTTGAGGTACTCGGTCTGGCGCCGTTGGTGCTGACTCTTCTCATCCCCATTACAGTACCTCTTTTTGTCTTTAAATGTAACGATGCGGTGCTGGTCCGTGTCAGGTACCCGACATGACGCTCTCGCGGTTTGCTTTTGTCATCTAGACAAAGCCCATCAGCCTTCGGTGACTGGCATGAGACTGCTCCGCCTGGCAGTCTTCTCAACGCGTCCAGTGATCATCTCGTCGAGCATGCGCGTCATCTCTTCGATGTTCTTGGTTGTGCCGTTGGAAGTTGGAGGGGGCGGAAAGGGCGCTTTCACACTAGGTGCAGGTGATGTCGGACCCTTGTGAGCCATGCTGGCGGCGCTGCCATCACTGGCGCTGCGTTGGTAGCCCGAGGTTCGACGGCTGCCTGGTGATTCGCTTCCCATGTCGTGTGCATTGTCATTCTTCTTGCGCGCCGATGTGAGGGCTGAAATCATCCGCTCCTTGTCTTCAAGTTGTGCGCGAAGGTTCACAATCTCATTGTCTCTCTCAGCAAGAGCCGCGATCATGCTACCTTCCTCACTACCAGTGAGCCTGTGTGATAGTGACAGAGAAACTCGAGAATGGCTAGCTCTCCGAGCGTGCAGCAGACGCTTTTCAAGGGTAGCAATGTAACGGTTCTTGTCCGAGAGATCGGCTTGCAGTGCTTGTATCTGCACGCTTTGAGTCGCATAACCGTCTCCATTGTCACCAACAGAATCGTCCTCTTCAGAGCCGTCGGGGTGTGGTTGCGGGGTGCTTTTTCTGCGGAAGGCTCCAAGAGTGTGATGACTTGCAGACGAACGAATCGACATTGGTCGCATATCTGTGTGTGTATTATTACTCACAACAGACTGGCGCTGCAGGCTCATGGATGTATACGACCGGCCATTGTTGACACCGAGTGATTTCGAACTCAGAATCAACCGGTTGAGATGCTCGATTCGCTCCTTCAGTGCGGTTCTGGCCAGCTGCATTTCCAGCATCTGCTCTTCGTGTCGTCGCTTGTCCTCGAGCTCACGGACCCTTTCTTCTTCCTTGTCCCTCTTGATGTCATCATCTTCTACTTCTTTTTCTTTGACTTCCTTGGACTTGCCCTCGGCCAACTGCTTCTTCAGGTCCTCAATCTCTAGACGGTAGCGGTCAAGAAGAGCCCGGCTCCCCGCGTCTCCGCCAGCACCCATGGACTCGTCTGCCTTCTTGGCATGGCTGACAATGTTGTTCTTGGCTCGAGATGCAAACTTGAGCGTATTCAAGGTTTCACCCGTATGACTGATCGCCGCTGCGGGGCTCCCGCTAGCTCCGATCTGAATTGTGCATAGAATGCTGACCAAGGAGTTTCCGGAAAGCGCTGGTTGCAAGAGGCGGGTAAGTTTGCTGTCTCGGTAGGGTAAATGCTTATCTCCTTTGCCCTTGTCCTTTTCCGACTTTTCCTTGTCTGAGGCTAGGCGACCAATGACTGTACCCAAGGTGAGTAGACTCTTGTTGATATGAGAACCTTCAGTCCTCCTCTCTTTGCTATCAGCTGCCTTTTCAGATCCAGCTAAATCGATAAGACTCAGTGTCGAGACACGCACACCGCCAGGAACAATGGCAGAGCGCTTGTCACCGGATGCGACTGCGGGGCCGGGCGCACGTTCTCTGCTTTCGACAACGATTTGCACCACTGCGTGACTTCGCGAACTGCGTGCGTTGAACTGCGTGCCTGCCACTTTTCGAGAATTGTCTCCGCGGGCAATGACTCGAAGCAACTGTGTGGGACTCTGCACGATTTCTTCTTTGAGCGGCGTCGCATAAACACCGCGCTTGCTGTCCTCGCGCAATTTAATTTCCTCAACAGGCCCAGTCTGACCATGCATGCCAACAACAGGTCCTGCCAGCAGGTCGATGATTTTTTCGTTGTAGATTTCAATGTAACTGACTCGCAGGAGAAACTCGCGCTGCGGTGTCTCTCGAATGTAAGAGAAGATGTCGGTAATGGCCAATGGTATGACACCGGGGTTGGTTGCTGTTCCTTGCATCGAAAATGTCTTTCCAGTTCCAGTCATGCCGTATGCGAAGACGGTACCGTGATAGCCTTCCATGACTCGGCGTACAAGTCGCTTGGCTGCTGCATCGTAGACGCGTGCGTTGTTATCTTGTGGGTCAAATACATTATCTGCACCATGTCGAATTAGCTAGGGTCGGTCATCTCAAACGCAGGTTGTGCAACTATACCATAGTAGTAATCTCCACCCTCCTTGCCTCGATAGGCTATCAATGCGCGCTTGTTGTTGACTTCCCAGTCCATGTCATGTTTTCCATCTTTTGCTCCAACGTCCGGGCGCACGCGTACGCTAACAATAACATTGCCTTTTCCATCCTTGGGAGGCCTGCCATCTTTGTTTGGACCGTCTTCGCCATCTTCGGCGGTAGTCGCGCTTGTTGCATATGATCCCTGTGGAGACGAGTTGCGGCTGTGGGGTGGAGATGGAAGACTAAGATGTCCAGTCTCTACGGCTACCGAGTCTGCGCTTCCGTTGAGTAGACTAGGGGAGAGGGGAGATTTCGGCAGCAAACCGCGGCCGCCAATGTTTGAGGCGCGAGGCTTCTTGAGACTGCTATCGCGCGGGGGCAGCGATGATTTTGGTACCGTTTTTGAGCCTACGCCCACGTCTCCTCCTGGCGTGCTACTCGTTGAGAGCGGGCTCGAGGGGTTTGACCTTCCGCTGTGTCTGGGGGGTTGTGGAAAGGAGCCGATGCTAACTGTCTTGCGTAGTGATTTACCAGCCGGTAGTGACGCAGCAGAACCACCATCGTCGTGCGTCAAGCCGTTAGCAGCCTGAAGTTTTGAATTCGACAAGGACCGGTGTGGCAACGCGGACGAGGAGACTGTGCGGTTGTTTGTGGCGCCGGGCAGCAGCGAAGATCGGGCGGTGGTGGGACCAACATTTGAGTTTCTTGACTTTGCAACGGGCAGCGAAGGCAAGGGACCTGTTGGCGGCGCAATCGAGGGTCGCGAAGGGCGAGGGAGCGAGTTGCCCGACATGGTGATGGGGCGCGCCGCGTATGGAGGAGTGCTAATGCAGCTTGGGCGGCGGGAGTTGGCGCTGCACTGCTGGCGTGGTCGCCTTTGTTTTTCCAGGTAGACCTGCTACGCCACAGCACACATGTCAGTCGGACAGCCGTGACTGGGCACCAGCGCAGAAGTTGCACAGGAGGGGGGCAGAGAGGATAGTTAAAAAAGAGCGACAAAGTGGGCAGGGGAGCGCGGGGCGTGAGGGTCAGTAGCGGATGCGGGTCGTGTCGTGGCCGTAGGCGTCGTGGGGGACTACCGACTGGCGGAGGTCTGACCAAGAAAAGGTAGGGAGGGATGGAGATGGAGATGCTGCTGCTGTTGCTGCTGCTGGGCACACACACATACACACACGCGGCGAACAAGCGGCGGCGCGTGAGGACGGCGTGGATGGACGAGGGCGAGGGGCGGCGACGGTGGCAGTGACGGCAGCAATAGTGTAGCAGCAGCAGGGAGGGATGGCGAGAGCAGACTCAGGGTCTCTGCGAGGTCTCGCTCTCTCTTTCGCAGGCCTGCACAACGGGTCCTGCGTGGTGGGGAACAAGGAACGTTGGTGAGTGGTCGGCTGGTCGCCGAGAAGCCCAAGCGTGGCCGTCCCCTGGCAGGCGGAAGTGAACAAGAGCGAGTGTGTGGGCGTGTATGGGTGGATGGATATGTGTGTGTGTGTGTGCAGGGGCCCGAGGAGCCACCGACCGACAAAACCTCCGCCCGCTAAGTACAGGAACGAGTGGGTGAGCAAGCGAGGGCGGCCCCGTGTAGCGTACGTACTATCTGATTACAGACTATAGGCGTGGGTACGGTATATATCTCTCGCTGTGCGGGTTGTGTGGGCGTGTGGGCGTGTGCGAGTATGTACAACAAGACGACGGTGGCATTGGGTGCTGGCAGGCGACTTTGATGGCTATGTATGCGCCTGAGGTACTCGGACAGTGACAGCCACAGCAGCAAGCAGCAAGCAGTAGCCACCATGACGGCCGTTACCAATTCCCTCCCCATCAGGCCGCTCCCTGCAAAAAGGGGCAAGGCTTCACATCTCCATGTTGAAGCCAGCTCCTCATCCATGTTGGCTCTGTCGACTAAAGACGTTAGGCCTCACGCCAACCAACCGTCTATCCCCATCCGTCATCAAGCCCTGCCACCCGCCAGGCTATGTCAAGTAAGCACCCTCACACACACACGCTCGCGTATCATCCCGGGCCCGGCTTCATGCAGCCCGCCCTGGTCTCGTCATGTACCTATCCATATACAGCAATCTGCATCTGAACTTACTACACACACTGTACGCACCACATTCTACCGGTCCTGGTACCCTGTCCTGTCCTGTCCTGTCCTGCAAGTGCCGGCTTGCGTCAAGGCTATTTTACAGACATCACGTCTCGGAGATGATGTTTTGCTGATCGCCTCCCGGCACCATGCCCTCATGCCGCACATGTCTCTTTGTCAAGACGTTTATGCCCTCGATAGCACGCCGGCTTTTGATCCCGGCTGCATGTTGTTGCCTCTGGCTGCGTCGCATGTGCTGCTTTGCATGCGCTGCAATCTCCGCGTCGCAAAGTCAATGGTGATCCCAGCGGCCTGTCCGTAATCTGGCTCGTCCAATCACGCCCCTTCACCCTCGCAGCCTCGCATGTGAGAGGAACGCCTTGGTCTCTCGATGCTGCCGCCAAGCCAAGCCTCATCTTGCACCCCACCACCCCCTATGTGCCCTTTAGCCTGACCAAGAGAGGCTGTCTGTCACTGTCATCCTCCATCGCAGTAAGTATGCCACCCCCACCATCGCTACACCTGCACCACTGCATTCACTGCCCAGACACCCTAGTGGGGGAACTGGCTCTTCGCTAGGACCAAATCGAGGCCCCCCCCCTCCCCACTCGAATCGTGGAGACACTCGCCTCTGTGCTCTTTTCGGAACATTATCGACACCGGCATTTAGATCCAGCTACTCGTGAAACACGCAAGAGTGCCACCCAGAGGCCACTGCATTCGGCTGCTGCCGGCCATCTTGACAGCGCCTATAAAAATAAATCCCTTCCTAAGCCAGCCCTGCCATCACCATCGTCTCGTCTTGTCCCGTGATACAGGCATTCTAGAAGCAGGCTAACTCTCCTTCTACAACGTACCCCATCCAAACAAGTCCCTTCCAAGCTTGGTAATGGCCAGGTACTGCATCTGCCACAGCCCAAGATCCACGGCCATTTCCAACACGCCACACAGCGCTACCCGCAACACCTGTCTGCTAATCCCTACCAAACTCAGGTCACTACCTATCTCTAGTGAGCTAATCATGCGGTGCGGGCCTCCCTGCCGTCCTTGGCCCGACACATAGTGCAAAGCTATCGTTTGCAGCGTCAGCATGCGAATGGGGAGCATCGCAAGCCCGACAAGCTGAGCCCGCACCATGGCCCCAATCATTTGAGCTGGCTCGCACGACAGTTGCGTCACACGATGATACCTCTCCTTCTCCCACAAGTCAACTGCTCCCACCGACTCGCTCCTTCTGCCCTCTCGTGGAGATCCAAACGTTTCTGCAACCTCGCTATGACTTGACAGCGTCCTTGGTGGAAGGCGGACTTCCATCTCTACAATGCCTTCTCGTGATGTAATCCGTATCCGCGGGTCATTCTCCTCCTCTTCCGAGTCTGCTGTCGAACCTGGCGGGCTTGTAGAACGCATCAGCGCATCGACTGCGCTCACTGGGATGGTAATCACATCCGCCTCCAACGGTTCGTTTGCCCGCTGATCTTGTGTTTGAACGACAGGTAGACTTAGTGGGGTAGCGTTCGTAACCTGCGTACCACCAACATGTATTGTCTGGGCATCGCTCGTATCTTGTGCCGAGTTCACACCGACTGTTTGTTTCCGTTCTGTGCTCGAGGCTGCAAGTGGGAAAGCCCATCCCAGCATCCAAAGTACCTTGTGGATGCCATTGCGTATCAGCCGAGGTGACTCCCGTCGTAGCCCCAGCACAGTCAACGCCCGGTCTTTTCCATTGATATCCCGGCTGGCTGTGTCAGGCTTGTCGGGGCGAATGATTGATGATTCCACAGCTTCGTACACACAGGCATAAACCCAGCGCTCAAGTATATGCTCGCAACACAAAATGATGGCGGGCGAGAAGAAGAAAACGGTGAAACGATCTGCGAATGAATCGGTGGCATGCTGAGGCAAGTAGGCTGGTAGTAGCGGCGATGATAATGCAAACGGAATCAGAGTGCGCCATGAGGGAAGGAGTGGTCGAGCAGGCACTATGCCCAAGCGTTGCAGCGCAGCGTGATAGTAAAACGGGCAGCAGAGGATCTCAAGGCCAACGCGGAGGCTATTTGGTGTAAGCAATCATCCGACCTCGAGACATGTGGGTCACACCTTGCTCTTAGTAGTCTCCTCGTTCGGCGGAACACATTGCGTGTCTTTGCACTTGCGCGTGTGGCGTGGAGTAAGCGTTCAATCGGCTGATACATGAACACGCTATATACGGCAGTTTGTATATTCAGAGCGGCAAAGACCCGGGGAGCAAAGCCTGCATACATGATTGAGATCCCTGACAAGGCACACTCGGAACTAACAATCTGACTAAATGTGAGGCCATGATGATATCGAAATGTCTGTGGTTGTCAGCAGTGGCCTGTTGCAGACGGAACGAATCGACCGTACCAGCACCCTATCTCTGATGGTACCTATCCACCATGTGCAAATGTTTTCTGCAAACGTTGTGGCCAAAGCGACTGCATTGCCCATAGTATCCTCAGCCTCGAGCAGTTGGAGGCGCTCTTCGCTTGAACCAGGTAGTCCCTCTGCGGGCGAGCGTCTTCTTTCTACTACGCCCACCGATGCAAGCACGTCATTCTGAGCGCCTCTGAGCTTCTTGCCGTACTGGTGGGAGCGCGGGTTGATGGGGTTCCCGCGCTCATCGTAAAGCTGCATGTAGTTGTTCGCAGTGGCCTCATGGTACTGCGCAGGAATCTCAGACTGCGCCGATTCGAGCTGCACATACTCTGGAGACTGCGAAGCGCAAGATGTGGGCTCAAATGCAGAGCGCCCCTGTAGTGCTCATCAGACATTGCTTCGCGCGGCCTGTTCTAGTGGGGTATATACAAATGCTATCTTGTCCAGGTAGGCTTGTCGGCCCATGGTGGGGATGTGAATGGCTGCTATTGTGTGCAAGCAATGAGTGAAACTACCGCTCCTTGGGAACACAGACTGGTGGACATGTTGGGTGGTGAAAACATGGCCAACATTGTCGTTGGAGGCTGAGTACTCGACTGAGACAGACGCGCTTGCGCCAAACGTCAGCGCAAGCGCGTGGTTGCGACGGCTCTTATCGATAAACTTTTTTCCATCTTCAACTTTCGCGACATGTCTCATCCACAACCTCCAAGAAGAGCCTTGACGCCACCAATTCCTACACCAACATGGCGGCGCAAAGAACTGCTGTGAAGACTACCTACGAGGTTGGCCGTACCTTGCAGCCCATCTACTCGGGAGGCAGTTTGGCATTGAGCCAGGACGGGCGCATCCTGGCTGCTAGCTTGGGTGAAGATGTTCTCCTCACCGACCTCACAAATGGACAAGAGCTGGCAAGAGCTGAGGGCGACGGCGAGGCAATCACAGCATTGACTTGTAAGTAATATCTTCAGCTGTAGCAACAATCGCTAACATTTGCTAGTAACGCCTTCTGCTTCGCATCTCATTGTATGCTCGCGATCACTGTCCATGCGCCTATTCTCTCTCAGCCCTTCTGAAAACGGGGACGACTCCATCGAGCTCGAACTTGTCCGCACTCTTCGACCGCATACGTCACCTGTAGTCACTCTGGCCATAGACCGCACAGGAACGCTGCTGGCAACCGGAGGTGCAGATGGTGTTGTCAAAGTTTGGGACATCCGCGGCGGCTACACCACCCACGCTTTCCATGGCCATGGTGGGGTTGTTTCCGCGCTTCATTTCTTTGAGGTTGAGGTCGCTGAGCGGGAAGACGCATCTGAAAACAACAAGAAGCGGAAGAGGAAATCAAGACAAGAAGGCGCCGAGGTCGAACAAGCCCAGGGCGAAAGTCAGATACAGTTCCGACTCGCTTCAGGTGCCGAGGATGGAAAAATCAGAATCTGGGATTTGCACAAGAGGAAGAGCGCCGCCATATTAGATTCGCACGTTTCTGTGGTTCGATCGCTGCAGTATTCACCGCAGGAAAAGCTGCTCCTTTCTGGCAGCAGAGACAAGACTCTGATTGCATGGGACTCGCACAGGTGGAAGGCGCAACGCACCATTGCTGCACTTGAAGGAATCGAGAGCGCCGGTTTTGTTGCAGACGGAAAGATTCTGTACTCTGGCGGAGAAAATGGCAGGGTACGACTTTGGTCAACATCAAGCGGACGAGAACTCACAGCAGAGCAAGAATCTGGCATAGAAACGGATGAGATTGTCAATATTCTCTACTACCCAACCCTCCCTTACCTGATCTCAGTACATGCTGACCAGGTACTCAACTTCCACTCTCTCAGATCAGCCGAATCCCTTGTCGTCGAGGAGACGATTGATCCCCTACCAGTCTTTCGGCGTGTCTCCGGGACGCATGACGAAGTCATTGACATTGCGTACGTCGGCCGTGACAAATCATTGCTGGCATTGAACACCAACTCCGAGGACATTCGCATCATCACATTGAACGAGTCAGATGGAGATGACGCAACAGAAGGAAAGTACTTTGGCGCAGATGTGGGACTACTAAAAGGCCATGATGATATTGTCATCTGTCTAGATGTGGATTGGTCGGGACATTGGCTCGTCACAGGTGCAAAGGACAATACAGCCCGGCTATGGCGACTAGATCCCGAACACGGATCATACACTTGTGCAGCAGTCTTGACTGGTCACGCTGAATCGCTGGGTGCGATTGCGTTACCTCATACAGTGCCCCAGGAGTCGTCTGCTGCATTTACAGATCCGCTATCACACCCCCCAGCATATATTGTAACAGGATCTCAAGATCGGACCGTGAAGCGGTGGGACACGACTAAGGAGATGAAGGGAAAGCTACGAGCAAAGTATACTCGCAAAGCACACGACAAGGACATCAACGCAATTGACATTGATCCTTCTGGGACTCTGTTCGCTTCTGCGTCACAGGATCGTACAGTCAAGATCTACTCGGCTGCTGAAGGAGAGGCGATTGGTGTCCTTCGAGGTCACCGTCGTGGTGTCTGGAGCGTCAAGTTTGCCCCAAAAGACTCACAGGCCCCGAATTCGAGTGGCAAGGGCTTGATTGCAACTGGCAGTGGAGACAAGACGGTCAAGATCTGGAGTCTGGCAGACTACAGCTGTCTTTTGACTCTCGAAGGTCATTCCAACAGCGTCCTGAAGCTCGCATGGCTCCCATACCATCCAGTCGACGCGCGAGACAAGCGAGGTCCGCAAGTCGCCTCTGCAGCCGGTGACGGACTGGTCAAGATCTGGGACTCCACCTCCGGCGAGACAATGTCCACCCTCGACAACCACACCGACCGCGTCTGGGCCCTCGTCACCCACCCTCAAACTGGCGCCCTCGTCTCGGGCGGCGGCGACAGCGTCATCACCTTCTGGCAAGACACA